CACTTTTTAGTTTAGGTTGCTATTATTTAAAGCAGTGTACTATAGTAAGTAATTCTTTATTATAGATCTTATAATTACTTTTTATAAGACTTATTCTTTTTAAGAAGTATGTAATAGGCCTAATAGTCCTGTCTAGCTTAGTCTAGAAAAGAACTCCTGCTACTATGTAGTCTAAGGCATTAGCTTTTACAAGTATTAGTAGTTTAAAGTTAAAGTAGTAGAGTATTAAGGCTTTAGTAAAAGCTTTCTTTAGCTAGTTAAAAAACTATTAGTAATTTAAGTTAAAGTTAAATTAAATTTTTTTTTTTAGTAAGTGTAATTATAAGGCTTACTTACTATAAAAAGTTGTTAATAAATTATTAGTAGAAGTTAGTAAATTCTATAAAAGCTTAAACATTTTTTACATTTTTTAGGTATTACTAATCTAGCATAGTCTAAACCTTAATAAGGTCTATTTAGATACTATCTATAAAAATTACATATTCTAAATATATAACCTTTAATTAGTAGAACTTGCATTTATTTATGTTAAGTTGCAGACCTGCTTCTTCTATAGCCTTTAGCACTAGGCGTACATGCTGTTTATGCTCTAAAAGGCTATTACTGTAGATTAGAATATTGTTAATATACATAGTGCAGAACATGTCTAGGTAGGGTTAGAGTAAGTTATTTACAAAATGTTAAAAAGTACTAGGTGTGTTAGCTAAGCTAAAAGGCATTACTAGGTACTTAAATAGTCTATATTAAGTCTAAAACACTGTTAGCTACTTATTACCCTTTACTATTTTTAGCTTATTAAAGGCAGTAATAATATTTAACTTTATAAAATACTTTACTTTACTTAGTTAGCTTAGAGTTTTCTATAAAAAAGAAATTAAGTATTAGTTTTTAATAGTAATAGTGTTTAGTCTTTAGTAGTTAACATAGAATTAAAGCCTACCCCTAGGTTTCTTTATAAATAGTATAAGTAACACTATTAGTAAAAAGCTAGCTTAAATAAACCTTTTTTTAAGTTTTTATTAAGGTATTTTTAAAGCACTTTTAATTTATTTAGTAACATCTTATATAGTAGCCTATAACTAGGTTATTTACTAGGCTTAAAAGTTATTTAGTAATTATATAAATGTTATATTAAAAGCTTATTAGACTTATTTTAGAAAAAGATATGTAATAAGTTATAGTAGTTTTAAGGGACTATTATTTTTAAGTTAGTGTGTTTTTAAAGAGCTAAAGCTTAGTCTATATTAGAAATTATAACTGTGTAGATTTTATAATCTAGTTATTAAGCTAAGGTTATAAATAAAGTAGGTTCTATATAGCAGATGTCTATCTACTGTTTAAGTTCTAGTTTGTGTTTAAATTAAGTAAGTAAAAATTTCTTAAAGGCTTTTTTTTTTTAAGTTTAAGTAGTTATTAAATTATTTTATATAGCCTATTTTAGTAAAAGGCTTAGCTTATTAGCCTTACTTAAGTAGTTCTTTTCTAGGTTATTAAAAAGTAAGTCTAAAAACCTTTTATATTAAGTGCTACTTAGGTGTTATTTAGGTGTAAGTATAAGTATATATTTTAGCATTAAAAAGAGTTAAAGTTTAAAACTTACTTTTAGTAATTAAAAGTAACTTTATGCTAATATAGCTATAGTTATTCTAGAATTAGGTTATAACATTTTATGTTTATTACATAGAGCTTAATCTGCTTCTTATAGTGTTAGTAGGTAATTATAATAGTTATAGTATAAAAAATAAAACTTTTTTTAAGTTATTTTTTATTAAATTTAGTTAAGTAAATTATTTAGGTAAGTAGTGTTAATTAGAGATTTAGTTTACACGCTAGTTCTTTATTAATATAACTTATACTATTTACTTTTAAGTTAATAAGAGCTTATATTAAGGCTAATATAGTTTTTTATTATAAATATATAAAAATATTAACTTAGTACTTCTAGTTATTAGTAGGAGACTTAGCCTATAAGTTAGTAAAAATCTAGTGTTAAATTAGTCCTAAAGGGCAACTTAGCCCTAAGACAAGCCTTTTTGCAGGCTCCTACTGCTATAGCTGCAGCTATGTTAAGAGTAGTAAAAAAGATTAGAGCTTAAATATAAGTTAAAGCCCTTATAAAAATAAAATTAAGATAGTAAAAATCTTTAATAAGTACTAGTAGCACTACTTACATAGACTTAAAAAAAGAGAATAAAGCAGTTTTAAAAGATATAACTATGCTTACTGCACTTAAAGTATTAACTTTTTTTTTTATAATCTTTATACTTTCTAGAACTAACTAAAGCATAATTTAAATTAATTTTTATTATATTAAGGTTCTTATTTATAACTGCGCTAGTTTAGGGGTGTATTAGGGCTTGTACAGGGAGGAACCTTATGTTATTATTGTAGGTAGTAATTAGGTTTACATACGCGTTAAGGTTGTTTAGAAGGGGTTCTTTTACTATAGCGCGTTACAGTTTAGTTAAGAGAGAGTTATATAAGGCTATAATTAGACCTATCTTATTTAGGCCTATATTAAATGTAAGTTAGTAAAACTTAGTAAAGTGTAAAGTAAAGCTTTTTTTTTTTATTATAAAGTGTTTAGGTAACTTAGAGCTGTTAACTTTTTATTTAAGTCTTTATAAGTTACTTATAAAAACACTATAAATTAATTTAAGTTAATAATATTTTTATTTATTAGTAAGTTAATTAAAGCTGTTACATTATAGTTAAGTTAAAAGTAGGCATATAGTAACTAAAAGTGTTTAAAAGGGAATTAGTTTACATTTTTTTTAAGTTTATATTAAAGCTTATGTAAAAAAAAAGGTAGGTCTTTCTGTTTTCTATTAAATAGTAAGGGATTAAGAAGTTAGTTAGATTTTATTACTAAGTTAAAAAAGTTATAAGTTATAAGTAGTGTTAGGTAGGAGAGAGTTAAGCTATTTCTAGACTTTTAGGTAAGCTTTAAGGCTAGTAAGTTCTTAGTTTCTACTACTATAATAAAAGTTAAAGCAGAAATAGACTACTTAATAACATAAAGCTATTTTTTAAAGTCCTTTTAAAAAGCTTTAAAGCTTATAATATAGCAGCTTTCTTATAAAGTAAGCGCTTTTTAAAAAGCTTTTTAGCTTACTTTAATAGCTTAGAGTTATATAAGTACTAAGCTTATTAGATTAAATTTAGAGGCTATTCTTAGCTAAAGTTTTAACATAATGTAATGTTATAATTATGCACAAGTAAGGTTATAAAGCTTTATAGAGGTCTAGTTTAATTACTATGTAAAGTATTATAGTAAGTACAAGACATTATGTAAGAAATAAAAAGGTTTAAAAAAAATTAGTAATTAAATACTTAGCTTAAAAGTCTAAGCGCTTTAAGTATAAATTAAGCCTGTTCTAGGTTTAGTTAGTGTTAAGGCAGTTTATGCTTAAGTTTATGTCTATATTGTGTTGTGTTTGTGTTAGACGTGCACTAATAATACTCTAGTACGCGTCTGATACGGTTATGTCTGGGATCTGGGGAGGATACCGTGACATTTTAGTAGAAGAGGCTTACTATACTAGCAGCGCTTCTTTTTATTAATTAGCGCATCTTTAACCTGCTTAAGCTTACGCTAGAGAAGAATGCAACATACTAAGAATAACTAAATAGTTTTTTTAAGCTTTTATATATCTTTTTTATAAAAATTACTAATAACTTTATTTAAAAAGCTTTTAACTCTTTTTTAATCTTTTACACTAAGCGCTAAGCTAGTACTTTTACTAAAAAATAGTTACTTTTTTTACTTATAGTAAAATTAATTTAAGACTACTTATAGCTTAAATAGTAATAAACTAGTTACTTTAAAAGCACTAAAAATAGTTTTATGCTTAAAAAATGTTTTTTAAGCTTTATTAAATATGCTATAAAAGTTTTTTTTTTAATTAATAATAGTTTTTAGTATTTATCTATAAAGCTAGCTAGCTTAGCTAAGTAGGCTAACAAAAAAGGTTTAAACATGTAGACATTAAAAGGCTGCAGTGTATAAGTTATATATAGTAGGTATATAGCTAAGAGGATCTTATTATTATTACAGTACTTAATAAACTTTATTAAAACATATAATTTATAGCTATTTAAAAATAAAAGTTAGTATACTTATTACACCTTTACTTTAGTCTTATAATTAAACACATGTTTAAGCTATGCTAGGCCTAGTTTATTATTTATCTAACTTATAAGTAATAAAGTAAAAAAAGCTTAATACTTAAAAAAGTTAAAATTTTATAGCTAAAAGTTTTATATATAGTTAGAAATAGCTTAGTAGATTAGTGTAAGTATAAAAAAGCTACTATTAGCGCAGATGTAAGCTATTATTATAATCTACTTATAATTACTATTCTATATAAGCTGCTACTTAATACCTTACTTATACTACTATCTAGAGAAGATTTACTTTATTTTTAATAGTACTTTAATTAAGAAGCCCTTTTTATTTATATTATAAGTATGCTATAGTTTTATGCTATATTACTTAATTTTTTTATGTACAAGCTTAAAATATAGTAAGTACTTAAATGCTAAGTTAGCTTTATTACACACAGCGTCTATGCTAGATGTTTATTAAGATAATAAGTTAATAAAGTGCCTTTTAATAAATTAATTAACTTAGCTTTTACTAGCTTACTTACTACTTATTTTTATTATAAAATTTTAAATTATTTATTTTAAAAAAAATAGACCTTTTATGTAAAGTTTATTAATATACTTTACTAGCTTTTTTTTCTACACTAGGCTAAGTAGTTACTAATTTTTAAGTTTCTCTGCACGTAGGCAGGTAACACATTAGTGACGCCTTAAGAGTGTAGATTAATTAACGCTATACTGCCTAGCTACTGCAGCATAATTTAGTAATTCTCTAGGTTTTAGTAATTTTAGCAACTCTAAAGCAGCCTTAATACTGCCTATATTAGTTAAGAGAGAGGTGGTTGAAGTTTTAACAGCTTCGCGCAGAACCGTGCATTACGCGAGGCCGTGCATTACACGCTAAAACACAGTAGCGGCTGAGCAAGACTAAGCCGACCCTGAGCAAATCCAACGGGCTCATACCTGATTTCGACTACGAGCAGGTCTAATACCCAGAGTACGGAGATTCGCGCGAGGTGCCCTGGCTTCAGCACCCCCGGGTTGAAGATGGGGTCACGCCATAGCGGGTGGGTCGGAAACTTCTCTTGGAGGAAGACTGAATCTTGAAGGAGGATTATACGAAGCTGGACGAGCAGCTGGAGGAACCTCTTCCCAGCGAGATTACACCTGTCAACGTCTAGCTGCTGCTCGGCCTCGGACGTGTCCGTGCTGGCTGGCTCATTAGATTCGAACCACGTCTTCCACTCGTCTACGGACCACCCTCTGAATTGTACTACAATCAGCTGCTACCAAGCAATGCCAATGCTAGCCGAGCATCGGCATCACTCAAAAAGTGCTAGTATCCTTGGCTTCACATCAACCTTTGCACCAGATACCACCCTTCAATACATGTGGGAAATCCCACATTTTCAAAAAGTCGACTATTCTTCTAGAAAATAGACCCAAAACTCACGTTTATTGGACCTAGGTCTCTAGATAGGCGCCCAGACCTGATTGTACATTCCCAAGAGAGGAAGGCAGACGACAAAAGGCCAGGCTTCCTCTAGAAATCCCGCATTCAGCTGAGTCCCAAGTTCGCCAGCAGCTAGCTCATGCATAGAGCTGAATTACATCGCGCGATCGTGCATATGAGACCATGTCCGAACCGTCTAGACCTGGAACTCGAGGCAGCAGGACCGTGTCTTCTGTAACTCTCTCAGCCCTACACGGCGATTCTTCCGCAGGATTTTGTGCAGAGCTCCTGGAGCATGACCTGTATGAGACAAGTATGGGCTCTATAGCACAATGGGTGGTCAGCTAGAGCTGAGTGCTTCGTATCTGCCTAGCTCTACGTAAACCCACTGTGGCCTCTCCAGTCCAGTACATGCGGTTACTTCAGCTCCTTCCTCGCTTGTACAGTTGCACCAACTTGGAGAACCTCTAAGCTAAAAATTCGGCTTCAAAACGTTTTGTGTTCTCCCAAATTTTGATAACGCTTTTTCAACCACTCTTCATTATTACTAGCGGTGTCACTGCTACCACAGCCTTGCCCCAAGATCTCAACCGTGATGACGGCGGAAGACGAAAACGACAAGGAGCTCAGTGAGAAGATCATTGATGTGGCAGAAGCGGCAGAGAAGTGGCAGGTTTTGGCGCCATATGCAGAAAAGGTAGCAAGCTTCGTGGAGGAATATGGCGAAATCATTGATGGAATCGGAACGGCCTTTGCAGTAGTTGGTGTTGTCTGGGGTATCTACTCAAAGATGGAGAAGGCTAAAGAAGATGCTGCTCAGCGTGCGGCGATGGTCGAGAAGATTACTAAAGCTGGTACATCTCAACCCCTTATTGATTATGAGAGTCTCGGAAAAGCTGACATGGTGCATAGTCAACGGAATGATCAAACGCTCGACCGCGGAGGTGCAAGCTTCCATCCGCGAGGAATCGGTCGGGACTACCCTTGCTCTCGTGCAAACCGTTCAGGTGGGATTCAGTCGTGATGTAGTACCTTACTTCAAGGAGTATCCAGTCAGCGGGTGGGATACTGGCCTTGTGGACCTGTACTTGTTCAACGCGCGACAAGCGATTGAGGAACTGCATCTTCTCATCGAAAAGCATGCCAAAATTGGTGACGGCGGCACTCTACTCGTTCTTTACCGTAACTTGAACAGCATCTTGCAGTGCAAGTTCACCATCGACAAGTGGCGCCGCGGCGACGACCCGGAGGTCATCAACCAAGCATCTATAGAGGCGGAACGTCTTTTCCAGGCCGCAATCACCGTCAACAATGGCATGCGACTCATGAGCGACTTATCCTTCTCTCCAGGCCTCGTTTACTGGCAAGTTGGGGGTGGTAACCGGCCATCTCTCGCGCATTACAAGTATTACTACAAAGGTCAGATAGGGCCAACGATCAACAAGGATCCGAAAATCGTCTCTCGGGCTTACATTGAGCATCGAGCTGCGGCCCGCAGCACTGTGGTCCCATCCGACGTAAATGTGTGGATCAGACAGGCAGTGGAACTGAGGGGTGAACTTTACGACCGCAAGAATGGAAGAGTAGGAGGCCCCGGCGGTCCTGCACCAGGTCCTTCTCCCCCATCAGCCTGGGATAGCAATGCCTGGTACAAAATCACGAATGCAGCAAAACCGGGGATGGCGCTCGATGTCGTCAATGATGGCAACCAAGCGACCGACGGCAAGCTGCAGCTGGCCGCAGCGGGAAACTTCAGTGGTCAGCACTGGCAGATCCGGCCGTCCAAAACCAATTCTGGTATGTACAATCTCTGCACAATGTGGCTCGGAGTCAACAGGTGCATGGACGTATATGGGAATGACAAAACAACGCCGCATTTGACCGCGGCAGGCGGCTACACTGGACAGGAATGGAAAATCGAAATGGACGGAAGAGGGGCTTGGAAGATTACGAACGCGTACTCGGCGCCGCTACTTCTCGCAGCTGATGAGAATGGGTCTGGAGTGCATTTGGTAAATCCTCAATTGTCTCCTTCATTGCAGTGGACTGTTGCCTGGGTTAGACCTATCACGGAGACTGGATTTGGCCTCTAGAGTAGGGCCGGGATTTAACCTGACCTCTCCCGAGGAATATGCGGACTGTGTCTACTGCGGTCTATCCTTGCGTTCTATGTACATGTACCACTTCATGAGCGAATTTCGCGCCTCGTTGCCAACCGTTTCCTTTTCTGCGCGCGCGAGAGAAGCCCAGCCTCTTCCTTCAGCACAGAGGTCTGCGCGCGCCGAAGGGGAAGGGTTGCTCACGATAAAATGCGAATGAATCTTGGCAGAGTCCGTTCCGCAGAAAGAACGCCCGCATGCCGTTCCTTGCGAGAAAACACCACAACTGCTCGAAGGAAGGCTCAAAATCAGGCACCCTGGGCCTGGGCTGATTACAGGCGTCGTGTTACATTGATCGTCCACATTGAGCATAGGGGCCCGATTGGAACCCGGGTTCAAAAGAATTTATACATAATCTGAAAAATAAGTTAAGAAGTAAAAATAATAGATCACGTAAGTGGTTAAACAAAGTCGATGTTGTTGCAAGTGTATAGTGAGTTTGCATCGACAAATCGAATCACGTTGAACTTCAAGAGGCTATCAACTCCATGTTTCGCTGGTATCAGAATGCAGCAAAGTGCTATGTCTATTTATCTGATGTCCCTACCACGAATCTAAAAGCAAGCAGCGAAGTCTTAGAATGCAGTTGGGAGCCAGCTTTTCGGGAAAGCCGATGGTTCACCCGAGGTTGGACCCTTCAAGAGCTTCTTGCCCCACATTCGGTCGAGTTCTTCTCTCAAGACGGCAAAAAGCTTGGCAACAAGAGAACACTGAAGCGAATAATTCACGAGACTACGAGTATTGCTCTTGAAGCCCTCCAAGGGGCCCCTTTATGTAAATTTGACGTTTCCGAGCGATTATCATGGGCTGAAAGTCGACAAACCACGCGGAAAGAGGACAAGGCGTACTCGCTTCTAGGCATATTTGGCATCTACATGCCACTTATATATGGCGAAGGAGAAGAACACGCGTTTAAACGCCTCCGGAAAAAGATCACTAAGCTCTCGAACAGTTTCCAGCAGCAGCAAGCCATAAACAAAGACCAGGAATGCATCCAGCACTTACGCCTCACCGACCCCCGCGATGACAAGAAGCGTATTGAGGGGACTAAGGGCGGAATATTGGAGGACTCATACCACTGGATCCTTGAAAACTCCGACTTCCAACGATGGCGCGACGGCGAGCAGAGCCGATTGCTATGGATCAAGGGCGATCCGGGTAAGGGCAAGACAATGCTGCTCTGTGGCATCATCGATGAGTTGAATGAGTCAGTGGCTAAGACACATCAGCTGTCCTACTTCTTCTGTCAGGCCACGGACTCGCGAATTAACAGCGCCGCAGCTGTGCTGCGAGGTATATTGTACTTGCTTGTCACTCAGCAGCCGTTGTTAGTCTCACACCTGCGGAAGAAGCACGATCAAGCAGGCCAATCCGTCTTTAAAGACGCTAATGCTTGGGTTGTTCTCTTAGATATTTTTACGAATATGATACGAGACTCGGACCTAAAAATAGTCTGTCCAGTTGTCGACGCTCTTGATGAATGCGTGGCGGATTTGCTAAAGCTTTTTGACTTAGTAATTCGTACCTCAACGTTATCAGCCCGCATTAAGTGGCTCTTGTCAAGCCGAAACGAGATGCACATCGAACAGAAACTAAGACACATAGACGCTAGGGCGAGGTTGGGTCTGGAGCTAAAGGAAAATGCAGAACAGGTGTCCTGCGCTGTTGACGCGTACATTAACAATAAGCTATCCCGCCTTGACTCTCTTGAAGACGACAGCCTGAGAGATCAAGTGCGAGACATCCTACGCCGGAAGGCGAGCGGGACATTCCTCTGGGTCGCACTCGTGGTCCAGGAGCTTGAGGACCCGGAGATCTGGAACCCTTTGCAGGTGGTAGAAGAAGCGCCACCAGGTTTGCACCAGCTGTACGATCGCATGATGAATCAAATCAATCGGCGAAAGAGAGACTCTGAGGTTTGCCGGCTGCTGCTGTCTACTGCCTGCATCGCATATCGTCCGCTTTACCTAGCTGAAATGGGCAGCTTGTGCGGACTATCAGGCAAGGTTCCCGTACTCACAAAAAACGTAAGAACGATCACGGCTATGTGTGGTTCATTTCTCACCGTTAGGGATGATCAGGTCTACTTAATACACCAATCAGCCAAGGACTACTTAAGCAACAAGATGCAAGACACGATCTTCCCATATCAAGGCAGGATTCACCATAACATGTTCTCTAGGTCACTCAAGCTCATGTCTAATGCACTGAAACGTGACATGCACAGCTTAAGCGATCCAGGTTTTCCGATCCATAAGGTTCATGTACCAGTTGATGATCCGCTAGCGACTATGCAATATTCGTGCGTCCATTGGGTCGACCACCTCTGTGACTGGAATTCCAGCTCTGCAAACCACAAGATTAACCCTCAGGACAAAGATGCTATTAAAGTTTTTATTAAACAGAAATACCTTTACTAGCTCAAGTCTCTAAGCCTCTGTAGAAGCATGTCCAAGGGTGTGCTTGCAATAGCAAAGCTTAGCGCTTTAGCTCAGGTCAGTACTAAAGCAGGAATGCTCCATGTAAATACTAATATAACTTAGAGGCAAACAGATGCGCTAAGCTTCATAGAACTACTTCAAGATGCGCGCCTGTTTATTATGTGTCATATTCAAGCAATACAGAAGAGCCCTCTTCAGGTATATGTATCTGCACTCTTGTTCAGTCCAGAGCGTAGCCTTCTAAGGACTTTGTTTAAAAAAGAAGAGATAAATTGGATCACAGTTAAGCCAGTTATAGGACAATAGAGTGCCTGCCTCTCGACGCTCGAGGGCCATAGCGACTGGGTCAGCTCAGTCGCCTTCTCGCCCGACTCGACACAGCTGGCGTCCGGCTCCAGCGACAACACCGTCAAGATCTGGGATGCGAGCAGCGGCGCCTGCCTGTCGACGCTCGAGGGCCATAGCAACTGGGTCAGGTCAGTCGCCTTCTCGCCCGACTCGACACGGCTGGCGTCTGGGTCCAGCGATAGCACAGACAATCAAGGCCTAGACATAAGTTTGGATCGTGCGTGGATAGCCTACAATTCGGAGAACATATTATGGCTACCATCAGAGTATAGGCCGTGTTGTTTTACAGTATCTAAGAATAGGATTGGTATTGGCACTAGCAATGGAAGGGTTTGGATATGTAATGTTGAGGGTAACAAGCCTAATTTGTCTTGAGGCGCTAGGACTATTTGAACCATTACTATTTTCTATCATATATTTATTATTCCCTCTGTTTCATAGAGGGCCGGGGATCAGCACAAATATATAGCGTATAGATTTGCCACAGCGAAGCTTCGAGCATGCTCGAGATCGAGTTGGTGGTAAGACGGCTACTTCTAGAATGTTCTATATGTGCTTTGTGGATTCGACACTTCTGCCTCGTCAAACTGACTAACTCCTCCAGTGACGCTAGCAGGGAGGATGGCTGACCCGCACTGACACAGATCTTGCGCCGAAGGCGATACAATATTTTGATGTGGATGAAGAGATGATGGTGTGGCGTCTTGCCAGCACAGCCACCATCGGATACGATTTCGGATAAAAACGGCCCGGCACCTGGTGGTCAGCTAGGGCCTTGGAACGCCAGCCCTGCTCCTAATCCAAAGTCGGATTTTAGATGTCCCGCAGCTCTTGGCAGCGGCGCTGCACAGCCATGGGTCTGACGGTCGTCCTCGATCCATTACACCCTAACGATGGGGTGGGACGTGTCAGGTCGTTCTGCACTAGCCAGGACCGGTACTCGCTTCTGCTTGAGGTACCGATCAGCGTGGCGACCCTGCACAAAATCGCGCCCGGCAGCGCGCATAGGGCTGATGATGACTTCCTGGTATGGAGGGAGGTTGCGAGGGTAGGATAAGGCCATTCTACAAAAATTCAGGGCGAAAAAGGCTTAAGGGTAGCACTATAGGATAGGAAGCCCGTTATGCCACAACATAATGCGCTGTACAAATTAGGCGCAGAAGTGACAATGCGAACGTAATTTTTAGGTAGGAGGAATTACGGAGATTCAGAATTAGCTACAGCAGATTATTTTTATAGAATTATGGCAATATTTGTTGTGCGCATAAGCTTTCTAGTTGCTGAAAGTTAAAGTACCCCTCGTTTGTCTTGCCACACAGTGTGTCTCGTTACGCATTAAGGGACGTTAGTTGCTTAGCCGAGTGACACCATTTGTTTTCGAGCTGGTCGTTCCTTGCGATAATTGTCGTGCACAATTGTGTGGCTTGGATTAATTTTGGGGAGAGTAGGTTTAAGTAATGCACCATTATGCTTTCGTGATGTTGTCGTAATGTGAGGAATTGTCTCTGTAGAAAAGAGTAGTTGAGATCCCACGGCTCGCCAAACTTACCTGGATAGCCTAAGATACGTAGCAAGATGAAGAATACGGATCAAATAATTATCATGCCAAAGTGCACTTTCGATCCCTCTTTCGTAAACCCTCTCACTTCATGCCTGACTTAACCCATCGGCAGGCATTCATTCAGTCAAGTTACCGCGGTATTGGTAATGTTTTCCAAACCTGAGGGACCGAAAGCCGTTATTCCGGCGTAGGAACCTTAGAATGCTATCCTGTATTGACTTTCCCCTGAACCCCCTGGATTTAAGTTTCATCAGACCTAATTTTTTTGATTTCTCGTGGTATGGCCACTAGTTCTAGAACGTAGGCTTCACGTAGAGATGGACGAAAGCTTCATGAGACGATAATAACTCTATACGAAAAAGTCATAGCTATTAATGGAAAGCTGTAAGTAATACATAATAGTACATTCCTAGTATTCCTATATTTATACCTGAGTAGACTCCATAATGCAAGTAATCATGATGTAGCTAATGTGCAAATACTCGTTGATGCTTGGTTGCCTATATTCTTCTCCAAGACAACAACCAGTTAACCACCAAAGCTATTCTTTCGCCGTGGAAATTTGCAACCTATATGGAATAGTCTATTTCTCATACACTTCTAATTCTACCCTCTAATGAGACACCGGGTTATGAAGCTCACGTGATGTGGGCGATCCGATCACGGGAACTTCGGCACTACCGGCAGAGTCCAACAGAAGGAAGGCCAGCCTTAATCAAACAAAGAAGCTTTGAACAGCTTCAACATAAGCTTCCCGAGGTAGATGATAGGTCCACCATGGCATCGGAATGCGTCGTTGGGCAACTCTCCCTTACGCTTTTTGATTTAAATTTTGGGAAATACGTTGGGTACATCATTTCCTCAATTCCCATCGCTTAATCGCTGTACAATACGCGGTTGCTGACTAAATTGATGCCACTTGCCTGGAACGAGGAGTTGAGTAGGGTCGTCCTTGAAATCTGAAATCGTGAAGAGAAACCGACATCATCAACACTACCATAATGGGATTATAGTTTAGAATTAATTGGAGCGGAGCACAGGTGGCCCCAAAACCGTGCATCGATAGCCTCAGCACAGAATCTTGAACGAGAGATCGGTCTATGTTATATCTGTAACCCGGAGAGCTGCCCAATCAACCCAAAGCTTAGCTCCTCTCGCTTATATATATACCTCATGGCCCCTCGGCTTCGTCACATACACAATACATCGCTTCACACATGCTCATGTCCCTACAAGCTTACAATATCTTCTATTACCTCTATTCAGTGCTTCTAAGGCTCCTTGTGCTCGTAGTCTTTAGACTATGAGCTACTCCCAACCTGCTTGACCATTTCTTTTCTCCTTCTGTAACCTTGCAATGACACGAGTTATGAGAGGCGTCAGTCATGTATTGTGGACTGAGGGTCCGGGAGCCAGGTGATTGAAAAAGTAGGGTGGGATGCCAAGCCCAAGGCCTGTTTTTTCAGGGGGCACATCACGTGTATCCTTACCTAATCTGTCTCACACATCGTCGTGTTCCCGACCTGCCCATAGGATATGCCTCACTACCTCCTCCACGACTTTGCTTCGTTCTGGATATCGTCCCTTAATACCATTCGTAACATAGCTTTTAAATTGCTTGAAACATCCGCGTACCGTGATGTAGAGAGCACCAGTAGTTCTGTGCTTTGGTGTACTAACTCCGAATTGGGTGGGAGGTTGAAAACCCGTTGAAGTGCGCTTTTTATGGATTAATACCACTGGCATTATGGCAACGCCACTATGAGTTTGAGGGATCGATATTCCTGCGTTTTCTGACCGTCTAAGGCAAGTCGAACAGGGTTTGACGATCGCCTAGCGGACAGGACATGAGAACGGAGGCGTTGGAGGTGGTCCAGTCATAGGAATCTCCCTATACACAACTCTTGCCCACCAAATCCCTACTAGTCCATGCTATTGCGCTCGCGCAACCGTAAGCATTAAGTGTACTGCTCTACCGTACCCTTTGTCTAATCCTGTTACAGATAAGAGCTAGTATCTCTACTTAAATAGCTTCTGGTCGGCGACTTGGGTGGGGCGCTACTTCCTCCTTACGGAGAGCTCCCGATATATTATCTAGAAGCGGTTAGGCTGTTCCCTCATCAGCTAGCTTATACGAGTATCCCCTTCATTTCAGTGTTGCGGCTCTGCGGGAGAGGGTGCTCAGCCTCAGCTTAAAATTAGCGAATATCCCAAGATTGTACCCATTCTCAGCCTTAGCGTCAACGCGCCACGAAATGTAACATTGCGTCCAGCGCTCAACTTTCGCAGGATATAAATACAACCGCGATGCAGTATATAAGATCGTCGTCACTCCCTTCAGTTGTCTTACCAGTCTGCACAGAACACCATTTCCACTCAAACAAGTCCGTCTCAATCTTCACCACAACTCCACCGCCACCTTCCAACTCTCAAACTGATACTTGAAACCCGATTCTCTCTGTTTATTCTAAGATGCAATTCCCGGCTGCAGTTATCGTTCTTGCTGCCGCTGCAAAAATCGCCCTAGCAGGAACATGCGAAACAGGAGCCAAATACTGTGGCTGGTACTTAACATCTAGCGACAACCCTGATCGTAAGTTCACAGCCTCCCAATTACCTTTTCCCATCCTCTCTCAACCCGGCCGGCCAGCCAGTCTCCCAAAGCCCTACTGAAGTTTCATAGCATACACCCCCTCCGAGCTCGCCTTGTCTCTCTGCGGCTCCGACGCTTGCCAAAATGACATCTACAATATGGTGTGGGCCTGCACCGGAGGTGATGGTGTTACGTCGCTTCAGTTTTGCGGTAATACTGGGACCGGAGGGGGGTGTCTTGGCCCGACGGCACATTGTGTTTGAGAAGGAATGGTCCCCGATGAAAGGGTAGAGCTAAGGAATATGATGTAACATGGAACTTAGGTTGAAGGGAATGGTGTGGGGTTGATTAACGAGAATAGAGGCTAAACTAGGTGGGAAAGGGGGACGGGATGAGAAGGTATTCAATATGAAGGTTTGGAATTGTGGTGTTTGGAGTAAGATACCTTCCTCTCCAAATTTCGCAAATTAGATTTTGCCAATTCCGTACCCAATCACGTTCCTACTAATCCAAATTCCTCCGCAAGTCGCCAACCCATCAGGGAATTAAAGAGCCCGTCTAACAGCAGTCGACGTCTAGAAGAACCTTTTGGGCACACACAAGGCGCTGGAGGAAGATCCTCGTGGGTGTTCGTACACCGACGTTCCGAGATGGAGTTCAACCAAAGCTCTGCAATAGCCAACGCGCCTACACCTCGCAGCCGCCAACCGACACTTCCTATTTCTATTGATCGCCGCGATCTTCCACCTTCCGCTCCGCTTGTTCAGCAGCCACACTATTTGCTGTCACTTCTCCTTACAACCGCCACCATTTCCTCCGACGTCGTTCCCTACAAGAGTGATCGTCCGCTGACTGTGGCCCACTATATTTTGAGCCGCCTTGGGTGATCTTTAAGACATTCCGTTTCGAGGAACCTCCATCTACCTTGTGGCTTGCATTGTCTCTTTGTAGACCGCCAGTTCCCAACTAAGGTGATCTGGTCTTTTCGGGGCTCCTTAGCTCCTTGACCCATCGGTGAAGCTCACCAGCAACAGCGGTAAATCTAGGATCGTTTTCATCTTCAAACTTCGTCATGCCTATGTGATTGCTACGTATCCCTATTGCAATGTAACCGGGAAGGGTTGCAGAGTGAGATGAAACAACCTGACACAGAATAAGTTTCCTAGTAACACTAGAAATATTACTTAACTTACTATTCCTATGCCAGGCAAGGGTAATTCCTCGAAGAAACAAGTGATTGCAATTGGCGGAAGTCTATCCTGGCTTCGTGACCGAATCATGGTGTAAAAATTGTTTTGAATCTGCTTGAGAGGTTCAGAGTCACTCTTGAGAACAGCCAAAATTTCAGCGTTGGTCTGCTTGAGCACGCCGATAGCCTTAGCTAGACTTTCCATCCACTGAGCTAGACCGGAACCAAGGTGTGGAGTGCCGAGGAACACAATCCCACGAGTACAGAGGAATATTTGCTTAATGTGTTTTTCCGGATGGTGCTGTGCTTTTGACAGAGCCTAAACAATTAAAGCCTGCGCTTTGGCTCACAATTAAGCCGAATAACTCACATCTTTACAGACAAGACCCCCCAAGCTGTGGCAGACAAAGATGATCGGACGGTCATTCTGCTCTAGTAAGTTTAATTCCTTTTATAGAGCGACTGTAGAAGGCTCACAGGGTCATCATCCACTCTATAAGTGGCAACTGCGGCCAGTAAGTTCATTGCATGATCTCCAATCCTATTTTTTGACACCATGCCTCGCCAGTCGGTTACGTAGGCGTCGTATCCGAATGTGAGTATTCGGGCTTTGGGCACTTTAGACGGCAGCAGAACCTTTGGCCACGGATCAGTCGCGCTTTTTGTTTTCCATGTCTTCTCTCGATCACCGGTGAGGCCATGCACGAAGATAATGCTAAGTTGAGAGAGGGTGAGCAGATACCCGCAAGGTCGCAATATTCGCGCTACATAAGGTAGACGGCGATGACAAACGGTTGACTAGATAACTTACTCGATTACGCTGCCACCCCCATCGTGTAGCAGCTTAATTCCAGAAGGAAACTTCTTCCTTGATGACGACGCCACTGGTGCCGCTGGTGTCATGGAGATATCGTCAGAAGGAGCTGGCTTGTTGATGGCGAGCTGTTTCCGTGAAGCCCACGGCCACTTCACCATGATCATACCCTGGCGCACTGAGCGCGTTGAAGTCGCGTCCATCTGTAACACTTCATGATTTCTTGTGTGTCGCCGCACCCGAAACATGACATACGTAATAATGATACCTAGGACAACAGCAACACCAAGACCAATGCTAATTTTGGCCGCTGTACTTAAACCTGATTTTGATAGTGAGCTAGGAAGATGAGGAATCGTAGTCGAAGATGAGGAAGGTAAGGACCTAGACGTTGAAGGGAGAGAAGAGGCGCCAGGTGTGGCAGATGGTTGGGGTGACGTAAATGAACTCCCACTCGTCATGCTTCTATGCACGCTAGTAGGTGCTTTGTCTGTAATTGTTAATGCTAGAAGAGATTCAGTATTTATGTCTCAATTACGCCTATTATTTCCCATCTGCTTTTCTATTAGGAAGGTTTTTGACTTACTGGTTGTAGGGAGAGGAGGAGTCGGAGTGTCCAATACAGTACGGGCCGCGCTAAGACCACTGCGTTGTTGACAACCAACTAACATGTAGGAGCTCGTTGCTCTCGGGTCATTCACAATGATGTCTGTAACACAGTAACTGCTAGAAGTACTAATAATATGAGGTTAAGAACGGCTAGGAAGACTGCGATCAGGATGCATTACCAAGTCGTCCATCCCTCGAGAAAATACAAATCCGTCCACGACTTCGAGAGGCTACATTCGTACAGACAACCGCAGCCTGTAGCAAAATTGTATGTCAGGTCACCAGTTGCAAAACATCCTGCATGGTATCCGGAGACAAAGGTTGATGATTCATCGCAGTAGACTTCCGTGTCTAGACTTTTGTAAGTGTCCATACCAATTCAAAAAATCGAATACGTTTGCCCACACGTCCCAGAGACGGAATAGATTGCGACAAGACTAGAATTCGGTGATCTTTTATGCAGATCTGCGGGAACGGGAGGTATGTCACCCTGTGGCGCGAAATTGAATGACGCCCCAAAAAGTACTCCAAAAAGCCACATCATCTTTACGAATCGTAGCTCGGTACCAGCTGCGATTGAACAGCTTCGGAATAAACACTGTATAAATCTCTCACTTTTCAACCAGTATAAATATTATTAATACCAGGTGGCCTGATTGAAAATGCCCAATATTGATCAGCAGACCATCTCCAAAGTTCAAAGAGGCTGAACGCCAAAGCGTTAATCCAGACCACTCAGCTTTCGATATGGACCACCGTAAGCGTAAGGCAAATTCAGTCTCGTCCTAGGGTAACTCGCAAGCGAGTGGAACTCTACGTCGAATTCATCACCTTATGCCAGACACAAACACACCTCTCAGGCGCAAAAAGACAACCGTGTGCTTCTTACTATCCACACCATTCTAATAGCCATGTTTCAAGCGGCCAAACTGCCGCATGGCTCTACGATGTGTTAAAGTGGACCCTGGACTACCGGATGCTGCGCGTACTGAACTTCGCGCAAACTACAACCCTACCGAAGCCGAAGAGCTTGCTCTTCTTCAATGGATTTATTAACGGAAAATCCACGCCCTTTCGAATCTTCTTTGTACGCCACGCGACTAAGAATGCTGAGTAGCGATGCAAAATTCAGGGGATTGCCTATAAGCTAGGGATTAAAGTGTTGTCATGCGTATAACTCTCTAGATTGGTTTGAGCAAGTCTTTTATTAAATTTAAAAATTGGTACAATTGCTTAGCATCTACTTCTAAACAAAAATCCTTGCCCGCGTATTTTTACAGTTGCAAAACAGGTTGTGCAGCCTCTAAATCGCCCTAGACTCTTGTTTAAGTTAGCTAAAGATATATTTAACTATACATAATAGACTATCCTAGCAGTGTATCATAGCTAGTAAGAGACATTAGAGAGTAACTAAAGCTACTTAAAAAAACTTAATAGAAACTAATTTTAACAGCTATTAAAAGAGCGTAAATAATAGTTTTCAAAACCACCTTAGAAGAAAAAAATAGTAACTGTTTAGCTAAAGCATGTAGAGTAATAAATTCTTTTTAGTAAGTACTTATAAGAGCTCTACACCTATTGATACTACCTTAGAACAGCTATTAAACTTACTATTATGATAATTATTAATAAATTGTAAAGTATAAATAGATTTATTAGAGTTATGTTCTATAACTTATATAATAGAACTTAAAAACTGTAAAATAACTTATTAATATAATGTAGTATTTCTATTATTTTTAATTATTACTTTATTAGTTTCTACATTAACTATCTTAATATTGCTACAAAGACGTAAAAATATTGTTAACCCTACAATGCCTAAGACCGAACTGATACCTGAAAAATAGCAAAAGGCAACCCTCCCGAAGGAGGCAATCTAAGCCCATGCTACTATAAGTAGTAGAGTTTACACTTATACAGTGGCGTGCAGATTTGGTTTCCGGTTTTTACAACCGATTTTGTTCTCAGGCCACGATCCTCATGGCAAGGAGGTTACCTAGTCTGTGTTAGTGTATTACATAGATTGCCTCATAGTCAATTTGGATTTCCATATTCAACGTTCAGAAAGCAAAAACGAATTTGGCACGTGACTGTAGTAACAAGGTTGGGGGTGTTTTAGGCAGCAGCCATACCACAGTGGCTCTGAGCATCACTAGACAGTACACCTGAATATAAAACGTGCTATCGCCTGATGAAGGCTTTTTCTATCTCCTGCTGTTTCCTTGATCCATCTCTCTGTGTGTGATGTTTCTTCACACTCTTCGGCGGGCTGCAACGCGAAAATCAGCAATTAGCCCACTCAGACCATTCAGCCGACAGTGTAAGTAGATTCACAAGCTCTTTGATTCCTCAAACTATTATCACTGCACATCTTTTAATGATATTCAACAGCTACCGTGCAGGTATCTTGGCACTTAAGCCAAATGGCTTCTACCTATGCCGGAACTAAATCATCTCCTCTCACAGCGGGATCTCATGCTTTTATTCTCCCCTGCAAACACAATTTGGGACACCATGTCTTAGGCTACCACATCAGCGGAAAAACATCCGGTCAGCCTATTTTCTACTTCCATGGCTGCCCTAGTTCCCGTCTCCAAGCCGATGACTTTCACAAGATTGGCGAAAAATTGAACCTCTGCGTAATTGGTGTCGACCGTCCGGGAATTGGTCTTTCAACTTTTCGACCTGGATACACACTTCTGGACTGGCCACAAGACATACAGAAGCTAGCAGCGTACCTTGGTTTCTCGGAATTTCGCGTGTTCGGGGGTAGTGGAGGAGGACCATATGCGCTGGCGTGCGCACGAGAGTTACCTGGAAACGTACTAAAGGGTACTGGAATCCTTGCAGGACTAGGGCCGCCTGAATCTGGTGTCAAGGGCCTTAGTTGGGAAAGGTGGTTCGGATTTATCGTCAATAGATGGCTGCCACGGTGGATGCTACATTTCGTTATTGAGAAAGGGCTTGGACGACACGCTCGTAATCCAGACCAGACACAGTGGAGAAGGTTTGTGATCGATGGGATGATCAGAAAAATGTGTTCTAAGGATCAAGCGCTTCTTGATGAGAAGGAGACGGAGCGAATGATAAGTGATATGAGGAACTGTTTAATAAGCGGCTCAGATGGATATGTTCTTGACGCAAAGACAATCCTCGGGCCGTGGCCATTTGACTTGAGAAGTGTCAAGGCAAAGGTACTGCTTTGGAACGGAACAGATGATACAGATACGCCCATTTATATGGCGAGATGGATGGCGAATCAATTGCCGAACGGGAGTCTCAGAGAGTTCCCTGGTGACACTCATTTCTCAATTTTCTTTTGCAGAGGTGAGGAAGTCCTGAAGGATCTAATCGAGATGTAACGGCTTACTGTAAATTACTACGGTTCTTGTATCTCTCTACTCTAGACAGAATTCGCACCTCTTCTTCTACACTACTCTACATAATGAGCAGCAAGTCACATGCTTCAAATATGTTTAAGGCCACAATTCTTTACAGCTAGTGTGGAACATGAAGTTATATGATATACTTAGTAAGAGCTGTGAATTGATTCCAGGGCTACCCTTGCAATGCACTAACGCAATCTAGGAAATCCCCTTGCTATAAGGACCGTCCGCTGAGAGTAAATCGCTTGCAAAAACCAGAAACCAGTGCTGCACGCCACTGTACCACTGTTGTACCACTGAAAAAAATGAGGGGGGGAAGGAAATGGGAGGCTTTCCTTCCTGAAAGAATCTCTAAATTGCAAATATTATATGAGCAATAATCCGAAAAACAAATGCTTTGTTCAGGTTCCGTTTCGGTGAAATAACGCGCGTTGTGGGGTGATATAACGCTAACAGTGGGCTGTGGAGGGTTCCTGTGACCTTGGTGGTGTATTTCATGTGATTCTGGCTAGCTTACATTTCTGGCGCAATAGGAACTTGTTCTGCTCGAAGTTGTGAAGTCTAGAAGTGGGGTGGTTAGGCATTTTCGAGAACCCCTTGGCTCCCCCAAGACAACCCTCTCGACACAGCAATGAGTATTGGAATAGACATTAAAGAAAATATACGAACAAGGACTTAATAAAACATTTCAGGAAGGTGGTGAGTCGTCCTCTACGTCTCGAAGCTGGTAGACAGCTGCTCAGCAGCATGTAGCTCTGCCAGACACATAGAAACGTAAATTCAGGGGCAACCCCTAGAAACTTAGTTGCTAGCGCAATGGGAAAGTGCATTTTGTGGTAATTAAAATGTGCTCAAATAGCTAGCAGGAAGGGTCCTCTGAAGGACCATCCGGGTACACCATTATACGTTGCGGTTGTGACATTTACCACCCAGTTCCCAGGCAAATCTCTTTAAGTATATGCACAGCGCAGTCAGAGATTGCATGCACAAGACGACTTCCGCCTATCAGGGCGATGCATGTAATACCACGGCCGCTCCAGAGTCTTCGAAGGGGTGAGCCAATCCGATGCATCACCATAATTCCACACCATGAGTATGACTTCTCATGCACAAGTTCGTCATGCAGCATCCAGGTAGTGGTACAGCAGTGCGTCCATTGTAAAGACAGCATCCCAGAGAGTTCAAGAATTCCAGAATGTGACTTCGATGCATCCAGAGTTCGAAAGTGGCTGCCAAAATAATTCCAAATTTGATATCGAGACACCCCTAAATGGCAACAGACAGCACTCTAGATAGCGTGCTACCACGGGTAGCTCAAGGAGCCCAGAGTGGCCTCCAACAGAGTTGATTTTTACGTGGTACACCAGACGGTGTGAGTATTTCACATTACCAGCGCGTGAAGTTCCACTAAGTTACTGCACAATGCCATCTGGAATGCACGAATTGAGTTTATCATCGCCCCTGTAGGATTCATGGGCGTTTCGGGGTACACCGGCGGCATTGAGGGCTATGGCATAAGTGTGGGTGTCAAAGGGTGGTCTACAAGCTTCCCCGCAGGTTGCAGAGCACACTTGAAGGTTGGAAGGTTCCGTCAAAAGCTGCGAAGCTTTGTTGCAACCTGAAAAGGCTTTATCAAAGCTTGTAGGCAGCTTCGAAATAGTCCGCCATTAGCCTGTGTTACTGTACGGCGCCGGACTGCCTGTGGAAGTCTACAGATGCCGTTAGGGTTTGTGGAGTTGCAAAGTGATGTGGATGACCTTAGGCGCTGGTGGTCGTCGCCCTCCTGTCCTGATTTGGTGTTCTGTCGCTGCAAAGTGTAATTGTGACTACGACTCTGTGCACTAGACCACAACCACCACGACAACCACCAAGAGACAACAACCTTCCTTGCGGATATCCTATTCAGGGCTGCAACAAGGAGCAGGCAGAAGGTATTTGCGCGATTACCTACCACCTTACTCTTTCAAGGGGTATCACAGGGTCAGCGGTGAAGAACTCTCAGGTACTCGAAAGTCGGCCATACTCTAAAGCATCTCCCACCCCAGGGAAGCGGCGACGCTGCTAGCCTTCAGCAAGGACGGCATCCTCACGTCGGCTATCCTCTTCGGCGAAGACTGAAGCTGAGGGCAACTACACAGAGATGCATCTAACTCCAAGGACTCTAGACTTTCCATCACTGACCGCCTGACCCCTTCCGCGAGCTACGACTGCCAACGTGAGCGACGAGGCCTACTACATGCAGAAGTGCACACGTCGTTTCTATCATTGGCTTGAGGGTACCAAGACCTTGTATCCGACCTTCAAAGCTTCATCCAGACATTGAAGATCCATTGCACCTCCACGTCGGCTGCTTCTAGCGCCCCATGAGAGACAGCGGGCATCACGAGCGACCAGGTCCCCGGCATCCAGAAGCGCACACAACCTTCGATTCATTTGCTTGGCGGGGTCGAGGACCATTATAAGCCTCAGAGGTAGGCCAGACATCGCAGGTCCATTTGCAACCTCGGCGGCGACTGCTACAGGACTCCCCGGCGAGAGACAAAAAAAGACGGGTGAGGCGCATCCTCCATCTCATCACGAACCCATGAGAAGCCGACAAGCCAAGTGCAATGAAGCTTCCAGACCTGAAGGTTTGCTGGCGTCGCATTTGTTCGAGGGTGCGCCCGGACTTGACTCGAGCGACCGTCTTGACCAGAGCCCAGCCATCCATCGAGTTTGAGGCTCGGCTGACGCTCAACCAAGACAAAGGAGAACATCCTAGTCAAGGTAGGTAAAGAACATTGTTCTGTAGTCGTCGCAACGGCTAGCACTAACAAGGCGAGCTAGTATAGCTGCGCGATGGTAAAAGGCTTCCCGAGACGGTGCACAATGACCACCCTAGGACAGGCCATACAATGGACAACTCGCGTCTGGATCGGACCTTAGATGGGACGACTAGGAATCCCAATCCGGCCATTGCTAGACACGAAGCTTGGTTGCCAGTTTATATAGTCCAACAGCAAGATGCTTCCATGGAGCGACACACCGCATGCATGGGAGGGGGGGAATGGTTTGCGCTACCTTCGCCAAGGCTCTTTCTCGAGGACTAATCTCACATAGTGGTTGTGAGCATCATAACCGGCAATAATGGCTGGAGGAGGGCAGAGCCTGATGTTGGCTTTCAGTGCGCCTATCTCGCTCGCGCAGTAAGTTTGGCAGCTCCGTTGCGGAATAGCACTTGCTAACTTCTTATTTCCTAGTGCAAGCCAGATTACCGACCGCTAGGATGAACGACTAAATCCCTTGTCATATGTGCAAAAGATCTGGGTCGAATTTGTGTGAAAGACTTCTCTGACATTGGCGGGCTTGTGCCACCAAAATGCGATATCGCTCCACTACCTGCATCGATCGAACCGGATACTAGGGACTTCGATAATAGCAGCAGGCCAGGCCATGAGTGTCTACACGTCTTCGTCGACCTGTACGAGAAATATGCTGTCCCGCTCATCTTCTACGACCAGATTGGCTGCGGCAAGTCCACTCACTTCCAAAAAGGGCGTATAAAGAGAAGTACTAGCACACCGAACTGTTCTGGGCTGAACCGGACATATGTGACATGGGCACATACAAAGTTATTGGCCAAGATCGTGGAAGAGTTGAACGCGAGTACAGAATAGTGGATCTCTATTCAGGAACAAAGACCGCAACGAGAAATCCGCGTACCCAACTATGCCAACCTTCGGAATGGTAATGTGGATAATTGATGGCTTCAGGTCTGAGGCGTTGACGGAAGCAAGGTTCGACAACCTGGCGTCTTCGAGAATCCCGAGTTTAAGTCGAAAGTTCTAGCATATCAGTAATCCGTAAAGGTCGGGAGCGATGCAAAATGCAAGGAATTGTCGGTGGCATTTGCAACAAGCGACACGAGGATCCGAAATCATTGTAGCCAAACAATTCCATCCCGAAGCGTGCTGAGAAGCTATCACTAGGCATTCGAGTGGATATCTCGATCCAAGAACGAAACAGTCCCACCCACAATGGCTCTATATCAAAGGCAGAGTCCGTAATCAAGTCTTGTACAGTTCTTCAACTAGAGCGTGGGTCCAAGTCAAGGGCGACCAATCGTCAGCCGGCATTGAGGTATCGAAGAGGAAGTCGTCTTCAGTGATATCGCGAGAGTTCCTGGGTGGTCGGACAAGTTAGGTAGGTGTGATCTTTAGATCACGTCTTCAGACGCCCCTTGAGTTGTATGGAACGGTTGTTGAAATTGCTCCGCACAGTCCCCAACTCTGGTCCTCACAGTGACTCCCTTTAGTCCGCTGAGGCGATACGCTGAAGTCACTAAGAGCCTATTGGCAATTCTGGAATTCGATCCTCTAGATCGGATGCCCCAATGCCATACTGAGCCTCAAAAAGCGGCATTGAGAGCCAAGAACGGCAATTCCAAATACTAGCCAGCCATGACGAACATATCGCAACATTGCGCATCACAGTTCTCTCTCCAGCTTCCGGATTTTCGGGACTCCAGGGCTCCAGTCTAGGATTCCCTAGTGGTTCCAGAATTCCAGGACTCCAAGGCAACAGGGTAATCTCTCCAGGTACGGAGCTATGACAGATACAGGTATTCCAAGGGCTTTCATGCTCCCTAAGATTGAGAAACTCTCGTAAAACAGTCAAGAAGAAGACAAAGACAGATGAGGCATTGGAAAGCAACGGCAAAGAAATGGCTGAAAGGACGCAAAGAGCATCGAGAGCTGTACAAACCTTATCAAATTGCCCTCTGCCCTAAAAGAAGTTGGTCTTTTCTAGGCAAAGGTATCGACAGCTTCAGCTCCAGAGCATTCGTAGGCTCTGTCATAGAAAGAGCTTCGCGACACGTAGTATCGACGTAGCTGCAGTTCCGAGCTCTAGAGTCTTAGTCATTAGTGCCGCTGGTGGAGGTTGATCTCCAACAAGATTTCAAGAAAGATTGATAGTGCTGAAGCCGAAGGCCGTGGATGATATCCGCACAGGTCAAGTATGACAGAGCCTAACTCGAAGAAGATGTAAAAACGGAAGCTCTCGGTGGTGCTCATACAGGTAAAGTATGCCGCTCCCCAATAAGGATGTAACAATGTCGACACATCTCGAATCACAACATCGTACCCATGGCATCCAAGGAGCCTTCGATAGTCGTACCAAGCTCTTTGAGTCGCTGCTCTCGTTCTCAAGAGTGTCCGCCTCAGCTGTGTCTACACCATCTGGTTCAAAACATCTTCAGCTCAATCATTATATCCTCCCCATCATAGGGAAGACAATGATTCATTTATCGAATATGCTTGCCGGCTTATTACAAAGGATTGAAGGGAGATCCATTGAGCGTGTTCGCCGTCCATGTCGAGGGCGTGCGGATCAATCCTCTCGTGCCAATCGTCGGTAGAGTAGTCAAGCTGCAGTAATGTGTCTTCGATGACGGACGCTGCGATGGTACGTCTTCGTCACGATACACATAGATCATACAATGCGGAAGATGAAGGGCACCCACCAATCGATCTCTGGTTCCATACTGGCCGAGTCGAGGGGACTCACCAGCGTAGGATATCCCATCTTCACGAAAATACGCATCGTAGAGTTCTTGGGATGTTTGCGTTCCGAGTCAACCATCAGCAGAGAAGGAAGACTAGCGTTGAGTTGTTGTGTTACCATCTCGAAAGGCATTCAGCGCACCACATTCGCATTGGGTTCTAGTGCAAGGCTCTATGCCAGTATCGAGACTTCATTTCTTACGGCATTCCGTGTTCCGGTCGTTCCCTTATCTGCTGTGCCTCCGAGTTGGTACCGAAGACTAGAGAGGCGTCAGACCCCGTCTAGAACAGATCTCAGCTATCTGTTAGCAGAGCGTGATTTCATGCCAGGTCCCGGATGAGCTCACCCGGTCCAGAGAATACCTTGGCGGAGAACATCGTGCAATGCCACCCAACGAGCATCGTGTCCTCTTATTATCCGGGAATACAGCATTCCTCCGTTGCGGTCCACAGGAGCAGAGAAGGTTATCGCCGCTGCCCAAAAATTTCGGTGTTCCGTAATTCAGAAACCCTTTCCGTCAAGATTAGAGATGCTGCTGTCGGTCTATGCTTGTTGTGAGGGCTCCACGACCCATTGTCAAGGACAGAACGAAATCACCGCTGCTCAAATACATCCACCAACGCTGAGGTGTGCTTTATTCGGAAGTCTATCCTTCAAGAATAGGGAGGCTGCTGTCGGTCCATGAATGGTGTGAAGGCCCGCTGGGCCAGTTTCAACCACGGAGAGCGATCACCGCTGCTCGAAGATGATCGCCACTGCTCGAAGACCTTCGCCGCAGCTAAGAGGGAATGTCTGCATTTTGGAAGAGCCCTCATTCAACCCGAGATTGTTGTAGGTTGGCCCATGTCTGTGTAAGGGCTCGCCAGCGCGTTGTCGTCGCGCTGCGACGTCCTTCGAAAATTCGCGTCAAATGCTCCAAAACGAATGTCCAGAGAGCAAACCTATGAGCACCGGCAATTGAGGCTGAAGAGGATATTTTACTTGTGCTCTGTGTCTCACTGCTGTTGCGCTGCTTCATCTGTAGTGTTCGACGTGTGGAGAGGGCCTGCTGGAGAAGATCGGCGAAATTTGTACAGAATAGCGCAAAGGCTACCCTATCAACCACGAGGGCCTATGTCAGCTTACTTGGTCTCTTCCGCAGTCAGGAGCGACTATACGTACCATGTGTAGCTTCTGTTTAGGCAAGAGACGTGCGCTGCTGTGTGTGTTACAGGAAGAGTGTTGCAATGTAATCCGAGCAACCTTTCTTCGGTGGCAGGCAGTCGCCCACGCGTCTGTACGGAAAAGGTGTTACTCGCGAGAGGAGTCTTTGAGCGGGAGATTAAACTGCCCTAGAGTATGATGCCCTTTCAAGGGGGTGTTCGTTGTAAATCCCGTCGCTATCTGATTGACGTTCAATCGGGAGTCCACAAAGGAAGATGCCTCCGCCGTCGCGCCAAAGACGTTAAGGACTGCATCGTGCTAGGCAGAAGCAGTACAAGGATCGATGATAGCATCTACAGAAGATCCAGAGTGAAAGAGGTATTGTTGTCGAAATCGACCGGCGATGGGGCGTTGGAGGGGGTCCATATCCCACGCAGAAGCTGAAGGGCTGCATGTCTTGGCGCCTCCCAACGGACCACTGCATTCCTCCAGCACATTCCGGGAGCGGGCATAGTAGCTTGAGGCTTCGTCATGGATCTAAATCTGTATGCACAACACCTAGAGGATTTGGGCCTCTACGTAGGACTCTTAAGCACAAGATCGCCGTGGTCTGTCGTCCACAGAGGCGTCTTGACTCCAGCGGGCATTCACCGGCACAAGGCAAACCAACACCACAATTCACATCTTGTTTGCTGGTTTGCATGGCATCTGTAGACTCTTAGATCGCATCCTCGCAATTTTCGGTCTGTGTAGAAAGTACTTGTCGAGAAGCAGGCGTTCGAGATGTTCAACTCAGGAGTTGCAACATCAAACTGCTATTCCAGCACTCTGAGGCCGGTACCCTCCTCAAATCAGTGCATCTGGGCGCTGTAGGCATCCAAGGATCGTGAACTGCGCATTTCTATCTAAAATCGGTGGGACAAGTACCGCAAGGGGTGGGGACAATGCAGGCTTCAGATGATTGCGCGTTAGCCTCTAGTTGACCCAGAGCCCCCAGAAGCATGTGTGCACCGATACATGATGAGATCCGATAAATATCACGAAGGAGAGGTGATCTTGAAAGTTGAACGACGCTTGTGTCTTTGCTAAAACGGCCCGGACTGATGCCAACATGGCAAGTGCCATCCATGGATATCAAACCCCAGCCATCTCAATAAGCGACAAACCCAAATTTACCATCCTCAAGCCCACACAAATCCATCATCCCACATCAACATGCACAATTAATAGCTGGATAATATGCAGGAACCTCGAAGCGTGTAAGATATTCAGTCAAATACAGGATGGATCCAGAAGCACAAACTGTATCTAAGAAGAGCACCAATCCAGGGGTTAGTACAGTATCACAACAAGAATATCCTCCCATGGACGTCAACCCTATCCTTCTACTCTTCAAGGCTTTCATAAAGCAAACTTAGGAGCTGAGCCATTGTCTATAGATCCCGGCAGAGCTACAAACTATGATAATCATTCACTTGGGTCCAGCAAGTGTCTGAAACCTCAACCACTCCTCTCTCCAGCCGCGCGACCTTTATGGGCGCATTATGAGGCACAGACCCATCACGATGGATTCAGATGCAAGGCCAGATGGATGTTATAACCCGAGAGATGTACTGACTGACCTCTCCCCCTATCCTGCAACACATTCAAACCTCTTCGCCCTCTTCCCCAATCTGGACTCCGGCCGCATTGTTCTTTGACTTTGTGTGATGGTGATTCAAGGATGCAGGCAACACCTTCAAGGATCTGTCAGTAATTTTCTGATCGACTCCTTTGTTCTTATTTACCCGACTGGTGCTAAGTTGCACCCACTTACCCCTCCACTGCAATCTGGATGTCGACCAGATCGTCCGCACTTCACACGTGGGATATGCCTGGGTGGATTTGAATATTTGGGCAGCATCAAGCTGTAAGGCCTATGAGTGGAGATTCAGAAGATTGATGGTTTATTGATAATTGCCGCTCCCGGCCTCGGCAACCTCCTTAAACCGTCGATCACTAGGGCTCTAGCCGAAGAAGACCAGGCCTTCCTAGCTTTGGCCTGTAGGCTTGGGCTCCATGGCGGTGGTGTTTGGCGGACCCACGGTGGATGCAGTGCCAACTATTCTCTTCTTCTCCGTCTCCCGAAGCAGATGTTACCCGGGACACTACGGGGATGCAGAGGCAGATTTACCCACATGTATGTCAGCGTACAACCAAGACAGCCATTTACATGGATGCTTGACACTCCGATAAAGCGAAAAGCGTAAAGGTTGTTAGTATAAGACGCCATTTTAGTCTCCCATTTCACATTGTCCGAATCGATATGCGATTTCCTCAGCGTTTAGCAAGACGGAACTTCAACAAAACACGGCGAGTTGTTACTCCGATCTAGGTCATCATCCCCGATTGGAGCAGGACGTGAATGGGGGTTTGTTAGCGAAGGCCCAAAGTTTCTGGAACACATACCTTAAACCCTCTTCCAACGAACCCTACACGGCAGTGAACCCATATCACCCAAAGGCAATCCCACTATCCCCACCCCTCCGAAATGGGATGTCACTGCCAAACGAACAAACAACCAAAGGACGTTAGTGCTGCTCTGGCCATTCAGGAACAGGGATACTTAGCTGTACGTTCGTTTGATCCGGTATTGGAATTATTGGACTGTGGCCACAAACTGCATCCCTGCCGCCTTGCCCTTGCCCTCTCCAAAGACATGGAAGTATGATCTTGGCTCTGTAAAGCTAGTATGTACTTTCGGGGGCTCAATCTTAGACTCTAGTTCCAATACAATGACCATGGGCCTAGGTCACCTCATTCAGAAGGGTCCTTACTCACCGCATGCATGGTTGATATAGCAGCCTATGCATGCCTTTGCTTGACCAGAAGCTGTTGGGATGAAGGGTCGAAAGAGGAAGGAAAAAGTGGAGATGCTTCAATAGGAGAATCAATATGGATAGGAGGGCAGCATGTTATGACGAGAAGAAGTCACTAGAACGAATGTCAGCAAGGCCTGCAGCAAGAGTTAGGAGTACTTAACCAGAGCATGCAAGATCTGTCGAAGAAAGAGCTGGATTAAGAAATACCTGAGGCACTCTAGAGTGCCAATAACTGCTTCCATCAACAGTCCATTTAGTATGCACACCGATGACTGGATATGGGGAATGAAGTTTTCGGGCAGCACTCTCCGCAGTCTTCAGAACAACCCTATGCGGAAGGCACAAACCCTATTCAGCCCCACTCCTCCAACCTAACGCCACCACCAACGATGAGGCCACCTGTTTCGAGCATAGTGTCCACTTCTTTCAACGGTGCCTACTGCGCAACCAAAACCACAAGCCGAAGCCGGGTCATGTACCACGTCTCGGAACCGAATCTAGAACGATTGATCTTGGACTGTTTGCCTTGTCCGATGACCCTGGATCCAGGTCAACTGATACCATTCAGTCCATTTGCACTCAAAAGACGTAGAGCGCTGACGCGTGTTTGAGGGCGGTGGTGTACGACTGTCATCTACTAGGGATATACACCAATGACTCGACATGGAGAATGAAGTCCTCGGGTCGCACTCTGTACAATCTTCAGGAAGCACAAAGCACAAACCATATGCAAACCCTTCAGAGAGAGAAACAACTTACATTTCCGGGACCGCGACAGCATTATTATAAAAGCCAGGGTGGGCTTAACCTTGTGCGGTTGATCAACACGTCTGCAGAATTGAGTCTCATCGATTTTGCCCTCAAAGAGTCTAACTGCAAGGTTGTCAACAAAGCTTCACTAGTAAGGAGATGGGAGAGCTGACACTGACATGCCTTTAACATCACCGGTGACGATGTAGACTATCAAAAATCAGTCTAAGATCCCTCTGCATGCTGTTAGCAAGCTCGGCGACGTGTCTCGAAGGCTTATCGACGTGGTGGTTTCTGCGGGTGAGGCCGTTACGGAGTCTCACAACTCCGAAGAACCCCGCAAGTCTCTATCATGGCCAGCGCCTCATAAACCGCGGCAAAAAGGCTGCGAGTTGTTTATACCACTCGTGTACAACCTCGTGTACAACCTCCTCTTTGCGTTAGCAAAGGCAGCAGTGACTTTGGTAGAGTCGTGAGTAAGAGGGGGATGGTGGTTGAGGTGAAGGTTTCGAGATTGAAAACAACTAATTTTACCTCGACCGTGTGACAAGAACAGCAAAGAGTCCCGCGCGGGATGGCACTCGGGCGTATCGCTGCGGAGGCCTGAAATAACGGCCTGTAAATGCTTGCAGTTGAAGTGCAGGTCGGTGCCGTCGCTGCAAGCCCCTGTTTGACGTGCGGATGGCTGAGACGTCGAAAACGTGAATTGGGAAGCTGGCAACTCCATTCCAAGGGCATGAGCAGAAGGTAATGTTGAGGGTGTTGTGGTTGGCAAAACAATCGGACTTTGTGATGGCGAGAGACGAGAGACCCCTTTCACCTCCGGCCATCCTCAAAGGCCGCACGCTACAAGTGTTTTGCCTCCGCAGCGAGAAACCTTCGCTAATCTAACATTTATTTGGGTATAAATAAGCCAATATTTTCAGTTTCTCTTGTCCAGTGGGGATAGGCTCCCACTGGACACACCACATCAACTACGCCGCCTCGAGTCATTACTGCGCAGATTTGTATAGACACTAGTTGACTAACAAGTGACCTTAGTTCGATTCCAGATCGATTCCAGAAAAGTCTTATATATATATTTTTAGCAAATTTTTGTTTATTTCGAGTGCAAGGGTGTTGGTACTAGAACGGTTAATTTAAGGCTTTGGCAAGGACAGGAAAGCTCTTTAGTCCTTGGTTGGATATCCACTTATCCCAGAGGCAGAGAACAACAATTACTACACAGCAGACATCTAGCTCTGTACGAAACCCTACACTTACCCTTACAGAACGACGCGAAACATCCTTTTTAGGCTTTGTAAGGATGTTCTGAGGGCCAAATCAGGCGCTTCGCCATCCCAGATCACCGCACTATTGGTGAGCTTCGCCAAACATCTGACAATTTCTACGCAAATGTCCTCCGCCAGCTTGATCCTTAGATCCCGCAATGGCTGCCGAAATCCCTTCTCTCTAGGCAGAATCACGATAACCTTTCAGAGAACCTACTAGAGTAGGGATATTAAATCCTACAAACGCGCGGGAACGAATATAACCACTCTTCTCCGACCGCTGCCTAACCTGGCAAGTTTCTTCTCTCCCATCTCCTCCACCCGCTATTCACACAGATCGTTCGTTGCCTGTCGGTGAGGATTGTGGGAGCGACACTGATAGGACGACGGCGGGATCGTGTGGTGGCTGCCTTGGGGCAGAGCTGCTGCGGATTAGCTTACGGTGAGTCTGAGAAACTGGTTGCTTGAGACCGACGCGTAAACCCAGAGTGAGCTTTTGCGTGTGCAAGGTTTGCGGTAAGGTTCTTGAGTTCTAGGGAAGGTCGTGCATGACCTCCGCATTCGAAAACATACAAGTGAGTTTTGCATATCGAGAACCTCCTGGTGCCCATTCAAGTCCGAAATTAAGCCTCTCTTTTAGCTTAAAAGCAGCCTACAATCGGCACTAGATTTCCATTCGTCCTAAATCAACTGCTCCTCAAGAGGAAATATCCGCCATTCGACTAGACCTTGCTAGTTATCAGGCCAGATTAACAGAACTAAGTGGTCTGCGGCTCCCCTTTCCTGCAACAAAGCGCCACGGAGCTTCGTGTCGCATGATACACGCTCGGATGGTAAAGTTTTCACTCCAGACGCTCAGGTAGACCAGAATGACGACGGAGATAGCTGTGAGGAATGCCGAGGATGTAAGGGTCAAGAAGAGTATTTCTTTTTTTTTAGTAGATACCATAGAAGGACCTCCAGGTTTCTCATCGAAGTTCAGTAAGCGGTTTAGAAGGTCAAAACCACGCTAACTATCTTCAGTGGTACATAACAACATACCCTGACTACTATGCCGCACCCTTCTCGTCCTCCACTACTACTGCCCCTTCAGTCGTAGCCGTAGGCCTTAGCTTAGACAGCACCTCAACGAAAACTTATCTCCTCCCAATAAGGAAAAACATCAAAGATCCACTCCACCATGCGACCGCTTGCAGAGAGCGAGTTAAGAGATCTATCCACGTCTCCAAGCCAGGGACGTAGAGGTGATATCATAATCCTAAGTAAACGTTTTGAAAGCAGATTAGGTTAGTGAGGGAGGTGATTAAGGAGATGGTTTCAAGATGTTGGGATTAGGATTTATACATGCTCTAGATGCGTCACAACTACCTGAATAGAATACCCCACCATCAAGAGCTGCATGTCTACCAGATTACGTAGGAAATACTTCTGTACATGGCTTAGGCTCGGTTCTGTGATGGCTCCTAGTCCGCTGCTGTAGTAATTCGAAAAGTGCTTCGCTGCAGCGTACTCTCATACTCCGAATGCGTGACTTCTGGGTTCTGCTGTACGAATCGCTACTCGAGTTTGGTGTATGGTTGAAAGAATAATTATCCTAGACCACTATCCCCAGCTATAGCTGGTTATGTTGCTTGGAGGTATATTTCTCCTTCGCCTAGCCATTATTGGTAAGATACGTAACTAAATGCCTGGTATTGCAACCTAGAACCACCATGGTAGATCGTGGCTCTAGAACCCTCCTTCGGAATGAATTAGGCAGTACAGACAGTTGCTTCGTTGTGGATGGCGCGGCTGTTGCGCGGGGTAGCTAGGTTAGGGTTTGGGGCGAGAATCTCAAAGGCTCGAGGAGGTCGAGAGGTTTTGAGGAATCCGGGTTTAAGGTGGAGTTGTTCGTAGATTATGAGTCGGAGTTCTTTGGGGGGGTAGAAGAATGGAGAAAGGGTTGGCGGAGGTTGTTGAGGTATTGGAGGATGGTACTTCGAAGGTATGACTGTGCGTTGCTAGTGGATCGGACAGGAGAGGTGGCTTCGATACCAGGTTAGAAGGTTATAGAAATGGAGGGCAAGGACTACCAGCTAGTGCGAGATGACGCTTACTGTTTAGTGGATAGGCATAGAGGTGGGCGGGAATAAGCCAGTAGAATATATCTACCCTATGATATAACAAATGCCCCTGAGTCTAGTAAAACTTCAGGGACGATTCACTACGCGTGTAGATTAGTTGGTAATGGGAGACGAGCTTGTTACTCTCACTCCCTGACATCCTGACTAAGCGCTCTTGACACCAAATCACTAACCTGCACAACCGCGATTTTAGCAGTGCCAAGCTTCAGGCCATCTAAAAAATAAATGGACTCGAATTTTTAGCAGCAATACATGTTCTATGGGTCAACTTAAATGGGTTGTTGCGTTTGTTAGGCGCAGGTAAACCTGGTTTTTTCTTCCAAAAATCTCGTAATTCAAATCAGGATAAATTCCTATCTCAAGTAATCTCCCGGAGGTTTACATGGAGTTCTTTACTTCGTTGATATATATATATACAGTATACAGTACATACATGATAAATTTCCGTAAAATGAAGTACTGTAAACGGCGATTCTATGCTCCTCTATTCTCAACACCAATCGCTCCTCCTCTTTAAAACAGAAGATCTCTATTCTAATCCACACTTCCCCGGCAGGAACTCTAGATAAGAACCAACCTCCGGCCTTTTCGACCTGCGCCCCCATTTCCCGCCTCTATTTTCTCTTCCGTCGTGTCTTGAAAGCCAGGAATTACGGGTGTGCAGTAGGAATTCTACATACCACTAAAAGCTTCCCCTTATGTCCCATTATCGAATTCCTCCCCCTCATTTCCCTTTCCTCCACCCCACAAATCCCCTCCCCTTCTCTTTCACTTTCCCCGCATTCTCCTCCTCCTGCTGTCCTTGCTGTTCCACTCCCCGCTGTTCCGCTCCTTGTTGTCCCGGAGCCCCATCTCCCAATTCCACAACCCCTGGTCTTGCAAAATGATACTCCTGCTCCAATTCCATAACCCCCGGGTCGGGACCCTTCGCATATCCGCCGTACGCGCCCGCGTACTGCTGGTTCTGGACATATCCAGGAGGTGGTGTCGGGGCGGTTGGATGTTGTGCATACCCTTGCATGTAGCCTTGTTGGTTGGGGTTTTGTAAGTAGCCCATTTGTTGCTGTTGTGGGGTTTGAAACTGTTGCTGTGCTGCGTGATTCTGGTATTGCTGTTGCTGATGTTGAGAGGAGACTGGCGCAATGATAGTGGTTGAGCTCTTCTTCCCTTTATGCTTCCCCGCGCACCATAGGAAGATGCCAACCCCAGCTAATAGTAATATAGCTAACGGTACACCAACACCAATCCCGATCTTCGCGGCCATGGACATCCCACCTCCGCCACCACCACCATTGCCCCCATCATTGCCGCCATTCGCTGCGGGTAGCGCGGTCCCAGTCGCGCGTAACGTCCCCGTCGATGATGCTGCGGTGACAGTGCGAGAAGCGCTATATCCGGGATAGGAGTAGGAGTAGGAGTAATATGATGGGTTTGCGTACAAGGAGGTGTATTCTGCGAGTAACGAGGAGACGGCGCCTGCGTCATACGAATACGACGAGTAGAGTTCGGGGTACATAGATGAGAGTTCTGCATAGAGGGAGGAGAGCATAGGGAGGTATGAGTCGTAGGGGTTGTAGGTTTGGCGAGGACGGAGGGGCTGGGGGAGGGTTGGAGGTGGGGTTATTTGGGGCACCATTGTGACGGTGTTGTTTTTAACAGGTTTTGTGGAAGTTTAGTAGTCAGAGATGCGGAGAGAAGAAGGGTGGAGGAGGAGGAGGACCTCGTACTCTTGAGGTTGGACGTTATTCGATGTTTAGCGGGTTTCGAGGACTTTGATTGAAGAACGCAGCTTTTCGAGGGGTAATAGAGATGCCCTTGGCTGTTTCGTATCCAGAAGCAAACACTCTCCAACTAATCAATGCCACGTGCAACTATAACTAGCGTAGTCGATGCGCAACACTCTCGGAAACGACAAAATATTCGACGGTGAAGGAGCGAAGAGGGAAGTGAAGTCGCGGAAGCGCGGGCACGAGGTTCCTAAGCTCAGTACAAGGCTGAAGGAGGGCGAGTATTGGTGCAGACGCCACGTGTGGTGATGGACGAATGGTGTTGCGTTTGTAGCGAGTGTGGCGCTTCGGATACGAGTCAGCGCGTGGCATATCAATCGGCAGTTTCATTGGCTAAGATTGACTTCTTCGCAAATTGCGTGCTAATTGTTGAAATTAATAGGAGTTCAAGGACGTAGTTAAAGAGAATGGGAATCACAGAAGTAGAGATGTTTAACGGAAGAACTTGCATAAAATTCGCGCTGTGCGAGAGAAATTGCTTCATCTGACCGTCTCGTAGCTTCGCTGTTCAACTTCGTTTTGAGGACTTGTATCATTCTCGGGGATAGACTTGCAGGAGAGCACTCAAGAAAGAGGAAAAAATAAGAATACAGTAAGCGCAGTAAGGGGCTCGCAGTTGACGCAGCCAAGTGGAAGAACATACTGAAGACGCCTTCAAGCAGGCATGCCGCGGTGTGGGGTAAGCAAAACAACTTGGGGCCGATGAGTAGCAAGAAACAAAATTCTTACCACCCTAACCCTACTATTCTCGGGCTGTGGAGTCAACATGTCCCACAGCCTATGCACAATGCATTCCTGCCGAATATCTAAGATCAGCTGGGAATACAACATTCCCTCCCAGTCCTATCGCCTGCGCGTTGACGACAGATTAAACCGATGATCGAGTGAGCTCACATAGAAGACGGTTTATCAATCGACATTCCGTAATGCAATTCGGGCCGTGTGGCGACCACATGTCCTAGGGAGAAGTGGGTGCTTCTTCTCCATCGACAGCTTCGCGGCCAGATAGATTATCTCCAAAGGGCAGCCACGTTGTCTAAAAGACGCTTTGTAGTTAGAGATAAGGTTGTGTCATATATAGTCTTGCTTCTTCAGCGCAAGCGCTTTAACAACCTTCCTACCAGACGCCTTATAGAGGCCGCATTGAAACCGTACGAATACTAATACTCTCTGCGTAGAGACTTATAGGAGCAGATCGACGGCAACTAAAATTCTAGGTGCTGATACTCTATGAGTTTATCTCGTAAAGTGCGGTATGCCAGTCGGGTTTGAGCCGAAATAGCAACGTAGTCGGCGAGGTCCCACTCCCAGAATTGCCAAGTTGCTACCCTAGGGGATTCTTTACCTGTATATTAGAAGCGACATCTGTATGGATTCGAAGAGGGTGCTGTATTCTGTATCGTAAAGCGCGTTCCAAAGGGAAAATTTCATGCTAGTCCAGTTAGGAAAACAAATTTTCGAATGGATGAGCGGTGGCGGTAAAGGTGATGAATGTTGTTGGGCGCTAACGTCTGCTAGCCCGGATTATATCTCTTTACTGACGGGCCCTTAAAGGCCTGAGTTTCCCGAGATTGTGAGAGATATTGCGAGATTTCTGAAGTGTGCTATGCTATCCAATAAGTCCTGCCGCTGTACAGGAAGCAGGAAACAGAAGGACGTACTCATTTCCACGACAGTGGTCACTTGGCGACTGCACTAGCTACTAAGCGCTTAGTTTCGGATTGCATTGCCGAAGATCGGAGAGGGCATGCACGTCGACGTCATGGTGGTCGCCTTGGCATGCGCTTTAAACAACCAGTGGAGAAGATATAAAAATTTTGTTGGTGTTGTGTTAGGCACTTTGATCTGCGCGCTCTGGAGTGGCACTTCGTATTCGGTTCCTGGAGACCACCTTGAATCTTGGAATCCTCTTTAAAGAGAGAGTATGCGTAAGTCAATGCTTGGATGTAGACTCCTACACCACTGAAATTGCTTGTTCTTGTTTTAGAACTGCAAGGAAGTCCTCAATTTGGGTTGGTTTGAGGTATAAAGTGTGGGGTTTCATCTGAGGCTGTGGTGAACGACGGGAAATAGGCGACTTTCATCGTCACTGCAGCGGACCGAGCTGCATTTGGCGACACTCCTACCGATTAACCACACTGATCCCATTATATAATCCCGCTGGAGGAGGTTAAAACTAGAGGCTATGCTGAGTGAAAGGTGATCAAGCGCATGACTTAACTAGCTAGTTAACTTGTGTACCAACCCCCGCTCTCACCACAAGATCACTTTAGGAGGCCTGAGATAAACAACAAACTCCTTGAAGATTGAACGAATTCTTTGAAAGACTCTGTGGCATGTATGAACGGAGAAGCCATCAATTAAGGGTGGTATACCGAGTGCGTCATGATTAGATAGCTTTCCGGCCATGTTGGCAAAGACGACTTTGAAGATAGCCCCAAGCCACAGACGCGCGTGTTGAAGCGAGGCGGGCACAGGGTATCGTAGATAAGATTGAGCGCAGTGAGAACTGGTACAGCTTCCGCTACCCGACATACGCTTGCAGTCCCAGAGGAAAAAGAAAGTGATGAGATAAGATGGCAGATGGCAAGGTATTTACTGGTGCGCTCAGTAATGGTCACAAATCTCGCTCGCCATTCAGCATTGGGCAGCCGGTTGAGGCCGCCGTGACCTCCGTGTTACCGACCCGCTCTGAGACAGGAGACAGGTTGCCGGGTTCCCAGCGAATCAAATGCCCCAGGATCATAGTCAAGTTGAGACGCTTCGTTCGGGCGCAAGTCTGTACTCGTAGAAGGTGAATGTGATGGGAGCGGCAGCTGCAATACAATAGATGTGATGGACATGGGTCACTTCTAAATTTTCCCCTGGCAACTGTGCTTCTCCGGAGGTAGTTTTCCGTGTCCGTATAAGACTGAACCCTTCAGAAATTGAGGTCTTAAAAGGTCTCAAAGGGGACAGACTGTGAGGCAGTAGGGGCTAAATCGGACAAGTTGACTAATGATTTACCTATTTTTGACACGGTTGAATTATTTGCGGTTTCGGACCAGGCCGAATTTAACGGTCATTCCGTCTTCACACTGCCACAAGGAGTCCGGTCTGGTAAAGCTGTCCGCAAATTAGTTGTGTATTGCCCGAAGGGAAGCCATGCAAAGGGGTCCGATAGAGATCTTACTCATGCGGCTGCATGCAGTGAGAACCGCCCCTCAGATTGGAGGAAATACGACGGTTTCGAGAAGGCCCAAGAAAGTGGTTCGATTATTGCGTATAGGGCTAGGTGCTTGATTTTATTGCCGTGGCGAGCGTCGTCAACTTTTGACCTTGCTCGGGAATTCGGAACAAGAGGACTCGAGACTTCAAGCGAGGGCTCTGTCAAAGTCCAGTTTAGAACATTGACTTATTCGGGCTTGGTGGGTTCTGACCAAAAGTCCAAGATACGCCGGAAGGATATTCAAAAGCTAGGCAGCAAACCGTAAGGAGTAGTAGCAGGAATTCAAAGAACACGAACAGAGGATGAGGCTCTCAAGATGGCGAAAACTGAGGTGCGAATAGTGTTTGTTGCCGCCGTGTCTTAGGGCTTAACTTGTCACGGGTGAGTCTCGTGCTCGTCGCCTCGACCACGTTTCGATGACACGCTTGTAGAATATGAGTGAGTCGCCACTGTAACTGGCTGAAAATAGATTATCAATGACCGAAAGTAGACTAAGCCATACCCATGCTCCAACGGCATTTGGAATTCAGGGTGCAAACGTTGAGGCGTCTGAAGAGAAGGAAATTCAACTTGACTCGCTTGAGATTGAGTTCTCGCACAGGCGATGATTTTTAGGCTATTTGGACGAAGCTCCGCTGGAGAAGGAGGGGCACACAGGGCCCACGGTGGTAATATTTGGCCCCTCCGCCGAGAGGTTAAGGGAGCGGACATGGAGTGGGGGTCGATATGTGCGGCTACCTGTCAGGCCTGCATGCCTATTTCTGCCATTGGTTGCCGCGGTCAAGTATCAACTGTCGTGGCAAGTGTGGGCTTAAGGGCCGATACGTACCCGCAATTGCCTGTAGTGCGTTGGTGACTACTAGGATATCGACTTGAAGGAACGAGTATTTTAATACGGCTTCGTGAAGCTGGCTATGACTTAGGCCTTGTAAACTGACAGAAGGTGTGGACTTCCTGAAACTGAGTCTTCTGGTGGGTGATTGGACAGTGAATGGTATTTAAGCCCAAAATGTGCCTAGTGCTGACTTCGTCGAGATGAATTGGGTGTGCTCCAGTTGTCGATCTGATTGCCGTGTTCAGGAATTTCATTCCAGGGCGATGTTCACAAGTCAGTCTTTGGTCGCGGATGCTCGAGTTTTGGACCAGGAATACTGAAAGTCAACTGTGGTGCATCGAAAGAATGAAAGAACAGAGTTGATCGTCGAGGGTCATGATGATAATGGTATCTGTCCTGGTAGGAGTAAAGCTCCCGGAGAAGACAACGCGAGCACGTTGAAAGGAAGTTGGTGAGCAGATTCCATGTGGAAGTGAGGGATGCCGAATACGGAAGGAATCTGAATGCTGCCTTCAACGCGCCCAGATGGGCATTTGGCAGCGCCTTACGGACGGCAGTCAGAGTGCTTGCGAAGCTGCAGTCAGCAAAGTCACACACCCGACGGGTGGAAATGAGGAGCATTAGGGTTTCGTCTTGCTGGAAGGGTAAGAAGCATGTCTGCCATGTCCGTGGGGAAGGTTACGGCGGACGGTTGGTTGGGTTTCGAGCTCAGTGGCCGCCAGCACAGCAACCGTCGCCCCAAGATGCAGGCGGCGCTCGTGAACTAAGTTGGGGGACTCTGCAGACACGTCGAGTGATGAGGCGTGAAGGTACCGTCTCGGTCCCAAGGCTGATCAAGCGCCGTTTTTACCCCAGCTGGCATCCTGCCAGGTGCCTCGCAGCGCAGACATGCAGTTCGACGAAACGTGCGCCTCCCAGCGGCCACCGCCAGCAGTCGGTCGAGCCGGGGGTGTCCTGTGCATGCGTGCTGAAATGCTGCTCCCTACCACCTTCTAAGCAGCGACCGAGCCTTGCGCACGTTGAACGACCCGCCCCAAGCCGTCCTCCTCCCAACGATGGCAAGGCTCCGGAACCGCCAGTTGTCGGGTGGTCGCTGAGGACAGGGGTGGCATGGGACAGCAGCTTTACGGCTGCACGTCCGCCTCCATTTAGGGATTGGGGTGGACTTTGAACGTGCGCATCAAAGCTCCCTTCCCACCCAGTGGGATATAAGGCCCAGATCTCAGCTCCCGTATTTTAGATATTGCCCTGCCTGCTGCCGCTCGCAAGCCGATCTTGAGTCTGCTCTTCGACAAAACCTCCTCCTCCTGTATACGAGATCACTTGGCCGCCATGGACTACACGTACTTCAGCGCTGCACCACAACCGTACCCCTTCATGGGGATGCCGCCTAGCGCATTTCCACGCACTGGAGTTGATCCGGACACGATCCGCAGCATTGTAAGTCTAATGAAGCTCTTTTCTTGCTATCTCGCTGCAACCCCGCACCTTGACCTTTGACTAATCACGCTGCTAGCAGGAGCCTCTGGACGCAGCGTTCCTTCCGCCGTCCTACGATGGCTTCTCGTTCCAAGCACACGGCTTGCCGACGACGCAGGGCTCGCCGGACCCCAACGTAGCACAGACGCCCATGCCCGTGGGCAGCGTAGACAGCGGAATCGGCGCTGAAATGGAGGACAGCCGGGCGAGTCGGACGAGGAGCAGCAGCGAGGAGAAAGAGTCCGGACTAACGCCGGCCCAGAGCAGGAGGAAGGCACAGAACAGAGCTGCGTACGTGCTTATTCCATAGTCCCCTCGCACCTTCCTCGACCACGTTTCTCACCAGCCACACAGCCAACGCGCCTTCCGCGAACGCAAGGAACGACATGTACGCGACCTTGAAGCAAAACTCTCTGCCCTCGAATCCAGCACACATTCACTCCAGTCCGACAATGAGCGTCTGAAGCTTGCTCTACAGCGAGCCCGCACTGAGAACGAGATCCTACGTGCTACCGGTGGGCAGCACTCGCCAACTTCATCACGGCCGGTGTCGGCAAGCTACCCCTCGCCAGGTGCCCACCTACCTGATGAGGAAGGTTCCAAGGGAGACGCAGAATACAACGTGCAGTCGCTCACCAACGGCAGCGTTGTGAACAGCGCAGGCATGGAGCATGCCGCCTCGCGCCGAAAGACCAAGGGCAAAGAGATCCCTGCCACCCAGACGTGGGATCTAATTCAATCACATCCGCTAGTGAAGCAGGGCCTCGTCGATATAGCTGATGTGTGCGAGCGGTTGAAAGGCCTTGCCAAGTGTGACGGCCACGGCCCCGTCTTCGAGGAAGCTGCGGTATGGAAGGCCGTCGAGGAGTCGCGAAGGGGAGGTGGAGACGAGCTGATCTGATCTGGTCTAGTAAGGTGGATCTGCTCTCTAAACAAGAACACCACCAGGATCACGGCCAGGGGGAGTTGCGAGTTTTGCGTTTATACCCGTTCATGACCATACTTTACTGAACCAAACCTGTACTGGGGGAATGATTTGGATGAAGGCGTTCTGGTATTTTTTGGCTAATTAGCATGGCATAGGTCAGGGCGGAGACATTTGGGCTTCAGGAAAAGGCTAGGCGATCAAAGGAAAAGTAGTTTCAAAGCGACCGTTGATTGTCACATTTACATCGCTTTGACGGCGGTGGGGATTGAACGAAGCTCGCTTTGCAGCCTGCAGGTAGAATCCATGATTCCATTAGAATCAATCAATCAGGCAGGTAGTTAGATCAAGATGTTCATTCTATGATTTTCATCTCTTCCAGTAACTGAAAGGTGTATTCGTCGATCGTTATCTAACATTCGAAATCCAGGTACAATGTCCACCACCAACTCTTAGCTTCATCCGGGACTCCCGTCACTACCCTTACTACGATCCACAACTTCCAAACCCCACCAGTAGCAACTAGCAGCCACCTGATTCCAATCCAACCCAACCCACCAAACCCCACAACACCACCCATTCTAAGGCTCCATTATGGCAAAGAAGGCCAGCCATCCCACCTCACACCACCCCACCCCTTTCGACTCTACCTCCGAACTCCGGTTCTCCCTCTCGATAATAAGATAAGCTTCTCGCACACACACGCATGCAATGCAATGCGTCCGCGCGTTGCTCACTCACTCTCAAGCGAGACACTTTGGGTGTCCAGGATAGCGCGCACCGCGCCAATCGTAGCCTTCCACGACCGATGGAAGAGAAACCCAAAAACTGTAGCTGCTAGAGAAGTTACGAATTCGAGAGAGCCTGACTGACTGACTAGAAAATTCCCGAGCAGCGACAGAGCGACGTGCCATGATATGCCAAATGCATGCATTCAACTCAAACCGTCGTCCGATTCGGAGGACGTAGCCTTAGATAAGCAGTGTTACTGTCATCTGGGGTTCCATTAGCCATCTAGTTCTACGCTTGAATCTCGTACATCCACCATTAACCAAAAGATTTGAGAGTAGCCCTGCCATAGACAGAGACACAGACGCAGGACAGCAATCACAAATCCCATCCATCACATAAACGCCATCAACCTTCTCGATCCTCACCCCGCATCTCTCTGAAGCCCCGCAACCCAACCCCGACGCCCTAAACATCACCTCCACATATAGCACCTTCAATCTCTTGTATCCTCATGTTTGCATCTACTAAGTATCAGGCATTCAGTATGCTTAAGTCTACATCATTAACGTCTCTTGCCGCTGTAACATTCCCATCTGCGGCTCCACCGGCATTATTGTAAAGCGGTTCAGTTTATTTTGCGCATACGTGAATACAATCAATTAAGAAATTCTTCAGTGGAAGTTCCATGTTTTGGGTCTTACCTACGGTTGTACCTAGGTACATATCGGGGGTTCTTGGGGGAGACTGAAGGGGGAGACTATTGTGGTATGCAACTCTTCCCGAAGGGAATGGCCGAAGTAAATTACCACTGTTCAGGATCAAAGTACCACATTTAGCTTCATAGGATACTATTTTCCTGTTTTCGCACCAGATGCAGTAAACGAATGCGTCCACTTGACGATATCAGATCAGAATACTAATCCCCCCCTTCGCCACACCATCCAAAGGACAAGCTACCCAAGTTCAACTCAACAGAGCTCGAAGCTCCCCCCACGCACAACACACATGGTCTTTTACACCGGCGCAGGCCCATCGCCCCGAGACTATTTATGTAGTATAATGACGCGCACTTATCAGCCACAGCCACTGACTGAAGGGCACCAGGCGTTGCTACCGTGGTAGTCTGCATTGGGGTCTAGAACGAGGTATCCGCCATCACTGCGCATGGCGTAACGCCTGTCGAGGGCTTTCAACATTGCCATATATAATGAGAATGGGAAAAAGGTGAATACCTGCCCGCTGTTGTTCAAAGACGAAAATTGCGTGAGATAGAGTTATCTGTTGTGGTAGCGGCAGAAACAAGACCTGGGTGCAGAGATCGGAAGCTGTGATTTACTGCTGGAGCATGCTCCGTATGCTTACCCTGAAGTTAATGTAAATTCAAATCCAGAGGGGATCTTGGGCATTTACGAGGGCTAGCGTCGAGGAAGCATACCCATCTCATCACAAGTCTTCGTCTCGAGCTAAATATATGCTCGGGGATGTGCATTGTCTATCTCAGATCCACTGCTATGGTATACCGTGATCATCCTGCGTCCAGGAAAACGGGCGAAGATACGAAGGTCCATAGTTACCCTAAACAGAAAAAGTCGACACCAACTGTCGTCATACTTAGAACGTCGCCCGGAATATCGCCCTTGGAAACATGGGCAGGGGTATGGGAAAGTAAAGCATGCGCCAGCCATACAACCCAACCACGATCACAGTTCCCTATCAGATACCAAACGTAGTACCGTAGGTCCCACCTATTCGAACGAGTGTGTGCTCTTATCTGGTCTGTTTGAGCGGAGTGCTGAGCTGTAAAAGAGTATTGGATGGGATACAACTGCTTTCTCGGTCTAGTGTGATGTGTAAGTGGGAACTCCCGTAGTGCTATTATAGGCAATTGATATTGAATGATAAACCCAGTACTAGATAGGTGGTAATTCATGAAATTAGTGCTATGGTGTAGCAACCGTAACGAACTATTGTCAAGTGCTGATATATATGGGGGAAAGCTTCTGCAGCATGAGTATGGGCTCCAGAGATTACTTGCGAGTGCTTCTGGACTTGTGGAGGAGCTCTGTGCCCTAGTTGATCCGAAATTCGAGATCTCGTGATAATTAAATGAGATGTTCCAGTTCTGCACCAATATAGTTCTCACAAGGTTGAACAATGCTGTCCGAAAGCACGATAAAGAATTTTAAAGCCGGAAATACGCTCCTCACTCTGCAACGATCATTGGGTGTTCTTTCTGAGTCCACAAGGCCGCAGGGATCGAACTAGAATTTGCGCATGATATTGCACAAAGTCTTGATAAGGACCGGACTTAAGCTTGAGATGCATGTCGAACACTTCCCAGTCTTCGTTGGCCAATTGGCTAGAGATAAAATAACGGCCCAAAAGTCAGCGCGGGAACACATGGCGTCAGTATCTTCCTGCCTGCATGAGGCAATTGACGGTCGGCCAATGATCCCTGTTTAAGGAGTTCTTGAAGGAATCGGGCAATCACGAACGGCATGATGAAGCCACAACACTGCATTTGCTCTCGGAAGGGCTGCGGCCCCTTCACACCGCTCAGCGTTGGGTCGACAACGAGCTCGTCTTGCTGCCCTGTAAGCGCCAGGAAGTGTCTTGCAACATCTGTTGGGGGCGAAAAGTGAATGTGCGTGCAGGTTTAGAGGATGAGCGACATGGGGGTGGAATCGACAACCCTTGTTGATCAGTTGGTGGCCTTGCCGTGTCAGCAGAGTCTAAAGCATGTCAGCACAACGAAAATTGTATGAGGCTATTTACCTAAGCGGGTGTGGGCCGAGGTTCGAGTTAGATAATCGTGTTCCGCGGATCTGATTGCGGAGCTGGCATGCAAGCGGGGTAAGTTGCCACTCCAAGCTCTCGCTGGCTGAAAGAAGGTCCAGTGTCCATATGCACTTCGTCCATTCATCCTCTATCGGACCCGCAGCCGGGCATTCTAATGGGCTACCCAAGAGCCATTCTCTCGTACTATCCAACCCAAGTGCGCGACTTTTGCTTCCTTCACTTACTCACCAATGAATGGGCGCAACCCTAGATCTTCAAAGACGGCTTTCGATTCCTCGCCGACTTTGACCGTAATTATTGCGCACGCAAATTTGATCCCTGGAGGTTCGGCAAATAAAGCCCCCCGAATCTAACAATGAAGCTCTCCTGCGGTAGGCGCACTTTACTTCTGAGTGACTGGCCGTGCGTCAACTGAAACGTGTACCCGTCAATCCCAATCGCTATCATCGTCGTCTCCGTCTTTCCCACTTGCTTTACCTTGCCTTATCTTGCGAGAAGCACTCGCATCCACATCCTCGGTCCTCTGAGGCCGCAGTCGTGGATCGCCATGACGAACTGCTCCAACATCTACAAGAACCTTCTCCAAATCTGAAGACAGTCAGCAAAGCCAGCATCGAATTCAAACAATACAGGTGACTGTGGGTGACTGCAGGAGGGATATGGCTAGTCTACTGAACCCTAATGGCGGGGGTGGAAAGCCAAACTGGCGCCCATAATTCAAGGCTGCCCCATGCAAAGACGGCCGTATAACATGCGGGGGATCCGAAGAAACGAATCAGGCTTACCTGCTGCAGTTGTGTGAACCCCTCGAAGCTCACGTAACGTCACCAGCTGCTTCTTGATATCGCCATCCTTGTAAATCAGGATCGTAGGCGTATTCTTCTCAGGGTACCCCTCAATGCACATATCTGCACGAATTTGACAGAACTTAATATCACCGAACCGCCGGGCAAGGTCTCTCCAAATCTCAGTCAACACTCTGGATTCGACATTGGTGCCCTGCGATGATGTCAGAAACACCAATATGTGAGCCTTGTTGGACGCTTCGGCAACGTCTTTCGAGTAATCCGGCTTCTGAATGTGGAAGACCTGGTTGTACACTGAGGCCACGTTAATTGTCGATAGCTCTTGGAAGCGCTTGTTTCTGCAGTAAAATAAGAGGCGGTTAAAAGATTGCATGTTGATGGGGCGTACCGGTAGTGCTCCAGGAACTCCTCGTCCTCCTCGTCCTCTAGCTCTGCCAACTCGTCAAGGTCTTTCCCTTCCAACCGATTCTCATGTGCAAGCCGACGTGCTTCCTCCAAGGCCTCCTCGATCATGGGCGTAGGCGATGGCGGCTTCTCGGGGATAACACCATGCTTGCGGAGGATATCGTTCCTGTCCACGAATTCCAGTCAATGCACTGCCGCAGCAATTGTTGTATGAGTTGGGCTCACCATTCAGTGTCTGCATTAGGATCGTCGATTGGGACGTTCACAGGGACATCAGGCATTTCCATTGTTGTGTGTATTGACGCTGAACTGTTGGTCCAAGTATATGGGCGGGGAAGAAACCACAAATTCAGAAGGAATGAGGGATTAGGGGTTAATATCAAGAGGTGCAGAGAGCAGGTGAATGAAATCGCTGCCTGGATGTGCTGACGACGAGTTGATGTTCTGACGTCGCTTCGTCAAATTTCGTGAGGCTGAGTAGCCAAGCGTTAATCCCCTGCAGCGTCCCCCACCAACCGCCACCTTCCTAATGGGGTAGCGTTCGAGTCAATCTGTTGAGTTCACCACTGCCCAGTGTACCGTTCACATTATTGAACAAGCGGTAATATTCGTGACAATTTGGTAATGCTTCTACCTTAGGAAAACATACTGTCGAACACTATAACTAAAATCAAAAGTGTAAAGGGTGTTGAATATTCAAGCCGTAGGCAGCAGTTCCGCTCTCTCAAATAATATCTCCTTCTATTCGCTCACAGCACAACCTGAAATCAGCTTCCACTATGCTCTATCCCATCTCCCAACAATCTTACTACTTTAACCGATGATATTTGTGCCTTCCGATTCAGAAAAACTTTCCACTCTTCTTTATATCATCCGTCTGTTCCAACACCCTTTCGTGTTCATTATCCTCATACGTCTCCACAAAGGGATTCTCGGGGGCAGGTTTATCCAACGCATTGAATCGATGTCCCTTGATCCTGGAGATGATATACAGAATAAGGATGCGGAGCCCACACGCACCAAAGCCCCAGAGAAGACCCCCGATTGGAGCGGCAACGAAGGCACCTAGATGAACTATCAACGCCGTCGAAAAGAGCTGAGATGAGGCACATACCAAAAGCACTCCAGTCATTAGCATACAAGCCTCCCTCTAAAAGGATCAGCTTGCTGGCGAGGTTGGCATCTCCATTATAGTAGACCAACCCGAACAGGAAGACCGTAAAGATACCACCTAGTCCACCGACCACGACCTCAAATCCACGCCACCAGTAGAACTTCTCAACCAATCCAAGTACCAGAACGGGGACGACTGAAGCACTAACGAGATCACTGATCAGGAAGATCTGTAAAATGTCCGGGCTCTTGAGGGCCACAGCAACAACCGGAATGATGATTACCACAACAAGAGCTCTGATCACCCAGAGACTAAGTTTGTTTCGGAAGAGGTCGTTGCTACCGGTGCTGATCATTGCGCTTTGGAAGCTGTCGAAAGCCGCAGTAGAAAGCGACACGACCATGACTAGCACAATTCCGACAACCCAGGCGGGCAACTGACCGAGGAGGAGGAAGAACGCAAGATAGCCGCCCTCCGCGTCATCGAGCTTCCAAGCGCCCGACCAAGCTGCAAGCAATCCAGTCGCCCCGACAAGCGTGAGTATAATGCAAACAGCGACACTTGCAATACTAACGCCAATCCAGAGGTCCTTGTCTGTACGGGAGGCAAAAGTCCGTAGCCAAAACCCAGAGATGAAGAAGTCATTCGTGAGAATGGCGACTGGAAGAATGTAGATAAGCTGCCAGCCGAGCAAGCTTGAGTTGAGAAATCCAGATTGGTTGATCAGACGACGGTCGATGTGGGTTTCAACGCCAACTGTGATAACTCCGAGAATGATTAGCAGCACTACCATAGCTCCTTGAATATTGTCGGTGACGAAAGAGACACGGAAACCGCCGATTGCTACGATATATCAGCCCGATGCCTTAAATATGCTAAGCTAAAAGCATACATGTGTAGATTGTCGTGACTGCACATTCAACGATGACCGCTGGAAGTCCATCCAACCCCGTCAAGGCAGTAATAATCTGCTGCATAGCAGAAAGCTCCGCTACCATGTATAGGAATATCGTAATAAGCCTAGCTTCGTTAGCTCAAGATATCTCTTCCAAAGAGAATTCGGGACAATGTAACTCACGTGCACAGGCTCAAGAAGAGAGCTGTAATTGCTCCATATCTCTGTCTCGTCCATTCTGTGAGAACGAATCCTTCAGGGCATTTCCTTCGAATGATTGGCCCGAGGAAACCGAAAATCAAAAGTGGAAGGGCAGATGCAATGGCGTAGACAACTAAGCCTTGGACCCCGCAGATAGTGGCGATCTGGGGATATGTGAAAAGGATACCGGACCCAAGAGCTGCTCGTTAAGATAGCTTCAGGTCAGCTTCTGAACAGGTAAAGAAAAGGGGGTCAAAAGGGGAGAAGCGGCAGCACGTTCCTCACGCAAGCATTATCTTGATCGAGTTCATACGGTACTTCTCAGCTTCGTCAAGATTGTCCCGGATCCCTTGAGTCGCGAAGACCGAGGAATCTTGGGGACAGTCAAAACTAAGCGCCCGTAGTGTAGCCGCACAGAAATCCTCCCACAGAGACTCATCATCGAAATACCCAAAAAGGGGAAATGATAACTGAGAAACCATGGAAGGAGAACTGCGAGAGATCTCACATACGAACCTATCATCAAATCTCAAGATTCTCGACCGATATGTTACCATCTCTGGGTTCCGTCATGTACCGAATGGTCGGTGTTCAAGTTTTGGTGATACCGATGCTGCCGCTGCCCGTCTCAAGCTCTGAGGGTTGCACCGATGCACTCACCCGACGCTATGAAGTTAAGAGCAAGCGGAATGCCTAGGCGCAATTAGCATCTGCCTTTTCGAGCGCATTTGCTGCGCAGAGAGGGGCTGCAGGGATGAGGTGCATGGTGGAAGTCGCGGCATTGCCTGTCGACTGCTGTGTGGAATCTGACCCTTTTGTGTCCTATTGCTCGAGAGCCATTCAGTCTTGGATTGATGCCTCAGCCGCCATGCGATGTAGCATCCAGTGACCCTGTAGACAAATTAGCACCTGGTTAGTCCTCGGGGGCCACACTACACACAAGAATGCCGCGTAAGTGAGATAGATGATGGCATTTGACGCCTGTGTCGATGGAACCCCCATTATTGCGATTAGTGGCTTTCTTAGAGCACATTCAATGAGGAGCGCGCTGAGGGCGGGTCACGCCTTTAAAGCTCGAGGTGGGTTGGATGGAGTTCGCACGCTGCTAACCCTCTTTTGCTTTTTCTTCACCCCACCTTGCTCCTCTAGGAAGTTGCATCACTAGCGCTCGTGCGGCAACTCTTCCAACCATCATATCAAATTTTTAAAAGACTCTGTGCACCCTCAGGCGAGACTGCATTTGGGGAAGCTTGTGGTGCAAATAAAAAGCAAATTTTCAGATATCTAGCCTCAAATTGGCCGAAATTCATTTTCCGAACCTGGCGTGACCAGTTTTGCTTTTGTACCGCTCTCGGCGTTCTCGCTTCGAGCCTTGAAGCCTCGCAATCCGGGTTACCAGATATGGCGTCCTTTCGCAACATAAGAAAAAGTCCTTTGAAGAAGAAAGTAGTATATATCTGGCGTATCTGTCACATTACCGTACGGAAACCCCTGGATGAGCCTATTAACAAGTTGTCTAATCACCAATGATTATGGAAAAAGCCGACTCTCTGAGCATCCTACAAGACATCAAATTCTGCTCCAGAACGCACCCCCATCACCCCAAGTGAACAGAAAATGCTCCTTGCGTAAGTTGTCCCCACCCCACGGCCGTTATTCGTGGGCTCGTGACTGTCGTGTGATTGCTCGCCAGTGGACGGGAGAGTAATCGTGAGGCTGGGTAGGATAAAATGTAAATACGGAGAGGCGAGAAAGGAAGAGCTACCACGCGTGGCGGTCCCAGTTTGGATCTGATTTTGCATGAGTCGGGCTAGTAAGAAGTAGCGGGGAGGTTGCCTGCCTTGCACGAACGCCGCCAGCACCTTGCTCCCTGTCTGCAACAGCGGATGACCCACCACGATCTGGAGAAACCGCTGCAGTCCCTCCCTCCGGTGCTCTATCACATCATCTGAGAATCGATTCGTCAAGACCTTGCCTGGTAGCGGTGGTATCGTAACCCTTGCCGACTCGCGCTCCAGAATATCTCGAAACGCTTCGAACTCGCTATATCGACGGCGGACGGAAGAAGACTTGAGTTTGAAGGCGGGGATGTTTGTGCGCATCACGATCTCGTAGGTAGTGTACATGCCACGACCAACGCCATGGGTCATCGGGTTGCGGACCTGCGCGCGCTAAGGTGAGCTTGGAGTGGGGCTTCAAAGGGCAAGAGGCACATACTTCGATTTCGAGGAAGTTCTCGGGAGGGCCGTAGAGCTCCTCGAAGGACTGCTGGCGAGCGTCTGGCAAGGACTGCATCTCGGCGGTGGTAAACGATGCCTTGGTGGGGAACGGATGTTGCGCGTTAAACGTGAACGGCTGCCAGGGCGGGGCTAAGTTGCCGTGCCAAGGCCGATACGTGATTTGGCGTGAAAGACTCGCATCACGTAACGGAAACTTCACACGCGACCTTCACACATCCTCCAATCATCGATTCATTTGTTCATCTTCGGCTATGTTGTGATCATCAATGTTCAATAGGACGCCTGTGTTCCACTCTGGGCTGTTCCAGCACTCGTTCCACTCCCCGGTGCGGCAGGGGAAAGGACATGGCCCGCAAACCAAACTCGAACGCAAGTCTCAACTATCATATCATGTACATCGTCCCGCTTTTCCAGCTCAACACCAGCCAAGTAGATTACCCTTCGCATATGGAGGTTTCCATGGGTATCTATAGTGACCGCTTGGTCCAAAGCGCATGTAAGGGACGAACTGGCTTACCAACACAGGGATTAGCACGGAGCCTCTTCAATATGTAGTGGTAGTGGGAGCGAGGGTATTCGTCTCCTCACTACTCCGCCTTCTTGGCTAGCTCCGCTTGATTGCGCAGGTTTGGTGCAGTTGTTTCTTTTTGCTCCATATCAGCCGCCCACAGAGCAGCACCAACGGTGTTGGTGAATGCGAAGAAGATCCCAACCAGTGGCACCATCTCAAGAACCACGGCTGGGACACCAAAGCTGCTGCCGATTAACACATGGACTTCTCTAGGGCTCCCTCACCGTTCTGGAGCCACTCACCTAGTGTAGGCGGCCTTCCTCTTCTCAACGAAGTCGTTCTTCTCCGTCTTGCTCATCTGCTTCAGTTGGAAGTAACGCGCATGCGCTGTTGGGCCAAACTTGCGCCCCTGTAGCACAACGAAGAGGATCGTACCGACCACAGGAATGAAGTTTAGAGGGAGATACATAAAATAACGAATTATGGCTGCCGGCGTGAATCGCGCAAATGGTTTCTGGATGATCTTGCCCAATTTGGCAATTGGATCACTGCCAGACTTGATTTGGCGCTCAGTCGAGACGAGAGAAGTGAGGTTGCGTGATAGAAGTGTCTGCATTTTTGTTAGCTCATCTATCCTGTTGGATTCTTTGGTATGATGCTTACGCCATCGAAGGTGTCGATAAGGGCGTCATCGATCAAGAAATTTTTGCTGAGAACGGAGAAGATCGTGGAGCTCTCGCTGAGAACCAGGAGGACAGTGGTAACGATAGCAAGAGGACCGTTGAAGATGGTAAGAACCGCGGCTTGGGGCACATAGGCGACGGCGAACATGAAGATGGTTACTCCAACACCAAGAGAGATGGTCGGGAGAAACTTCTCACCCAGGGGCTTCCACAAGTTCTGGTGGGTAAAGAAGTATGTGATGCCCTACGCAGCGGTTAGTATCCTCCCAGAACGCGAAAATTGAAGCTCCATGCCTTAATGGGATAGAGATAGGCGCCAGACCGGACCGCATCTCTGGTCAGAATCCTCGCCTGCTCATATTCTTCCATCGCAACTTCCTTCACTTTCTCGGACATGTTGGCGACAATTCGATTCAGATTTTAAGGATCGTAGGTATTGCTTAGGAATAATTTGTAGAGGGGAGGGGTCCGGAACAAAGGTAAGGATAAGTGTTGTTGGCAAACACGCATTAATTACACCTCGCGTAGTATTTACTTTTTGGCCGACGTCACTCCGCCATCACTCCGCCATCACACGTCGAGCCTAAAACTCCGATCCGCCAAGCCCAATACTTCCATCTACATCTTCAGCACTCTTCAAGCGCTCTTGCACTATTATTCGACATTTACTACGAGATCGATGATGCAGAGTGTGCCTAAACAAATGGTCATTTCCCTGCCTTCCATTCTGATAGCTGTACACACTGTCATTTTCTCCCAGTATCCAAAGGGCCACAATTTCCAAATACGTTCCTGATCCTCCAGTACACCCCAGCGGACCTCCGTCACACGCATTTCCCTCAGGTGATGCAGAACAGCCAACTTTTCCTTGTTTCGAACGCCACAGATGGCTTGGACCCACCATTCCAAATAAAGCAGATTCGCTGGCGACGCCATGAGGCTGATGAAAACAGGGTTGTCGGAAGGGCTAAGCTCCACTGCTCAGTGAAGTTCCCCGCCATGACGTACGACTGAGCCACGCGCACGGCCACAGTCACGAAAGCTAGCCGCATCTGTCGACCCTCTGATCGAAGCTAGCTCGATAGGGACAACTGAGGACTTCAAGTGTGGCATGCTTTCTGTCCATCCATGACTTTTCAAAGCCTGCGCAATTACAGGTGAGACCCAGACAAAGGGAACACCTTGAATCATACCGCAAAGAGTTAGAGAGACCCAACTTTGCGTAGATATTGATGACGACACCGAGATCTTCCAAGGAATGTGCAAGGTTTGTTTGTGTACACGGCAGAGAAGGCCGGTTCCAAGCGAAGAAGAAGCAGTTTCACCACAGGTGGCTTCCTGATACGCTTTTAAGCGGTCACCAGATGGGGGAAGCAATTAGGTCGTCATGACGTAGGATCCTGAGAGAATGCTATCCCTGAGGGCACATAAAAGGGCCCTCCACCAGGATCAATCGACTCTCCACCTCACAACATCAAACCTTCTGCACTTAACTGTCCCCTATTCAGACTATAAACTTTACACACCTTCCTCCTCAAGTCTTCAGCAACAATGGACAAAGTCAAAGCCAAGGTTGAACAAGTCCTCCACAAGGACAAAACTCCTCAGACCTCACACACCGGCACCACAGGCACCCATACCGGTCACACTGCTACTGGAGCACCTCACACCTCCCACGCTGGTAAGTCTTTTGAACATCCCCGTGGCAAATATCACGTTGCTAACTGAAGCAGCCAACACTGTCGACCCAACAGTCTCATCAGGAACCCATACCGGAACCCACACTGGAGCCCATACTGGTACTCACACTAGTGGTGGGCTCACAGGTCACCGAACTGATCCAACTGGTCCTCATGACTCCCATCTCGCTAACAAGGCCGACCCTCGTGTTGATTCTGACCAAATAGGCGGGTACGGCAACACTGCTGGAGCCGGAGGCTATGGCAATACTACCGGGACCACTGGTCACGGCCTTACTGGCCAAGGTCTCACTGGGGGCACCGGCCACACTGGTACCCATGGTCAGGATCCGACTTCAGGTATTGGCCATACTGGTACCCATGGTCATAGCACGGTGACTGGTGGTCCACATTCTTCTCACACTGGTAAGCTTCCTTCCCCCCTTCCACTCCTCAGAGCCTAATACACATCCTTAGCCAATACGATGGACCCAACCGTCAGTTCGGGCACAGGAGGCTACGGTTCGACAACTGGTCACACCGGCACGCACCACCAGGGTGGAGGTCTGACTGGCAACACGACAGGCACGCAACACCAAGGTGGATTGATGGGCAATCCGACTCACCAAAAAGGCCTGGTGGGCGGCACTACCCATGGTCTCCCTGGCCCAGCAGCCAATACCGCTGGCCCACACAAATCCGACATGCTGAATAAGGTTGATCCGCGTGTTGACTCGGATCTCGATCATAGCACGACTATGGGTGGAGACCGAACTCTTGGTTAGTGGGTGTGTGTAGCATACATGAGTGAATGAATGGGCGAGTTGATGTATGATATTCCAGCTTCTGGGGCAGATTAATGACGTCGTTGGTACAACCTGGGCATTGAGGCTCATAGTGACTTGGTTGGACCAACCGAACACATCTGCTCAGTTTCGAAGGTATAAGCTGTAGTCTCGTAAATTCTATTCAAGGGAGGCTACCATGTTGAACAATTCTCGGCGCCCTGTTCATCATCGCCAGTATCCAGTGAGCAGGGTCCACACGATATTCAGAAAAGTCTTGATAACATGACCTAGTGATTCATTCAATCGCGAGACAATATCCATCGATCCCTAGTATCAAAGTATCAAATTAATCCAGCATCTTCTCTTCCCTCACTCCCACCGTTAAAAACACTCACGTGCCATCCCAACCGCATCCGCATTTTGACTTTGCCTCCGGCTCAACATATCCCTATCACTCCCTTCCCACTCAACCCGGATCTCCTGCGCCTTCATTATCCCGCCCATGTCCACCGCCATCACAGTCCCTGACTCATTCAGTATACTCTTATCGCTCAAATCATCGTTTCCTCCCCGCTTCTGATTCCGTCTCTGAGTCCTTGATGTCATATTCCTACTTCCTAGGCCTCCAGACAAGTGATAGCTCTGTCCATACGGACGCGACGCTTTGTTTGATGATGATGATGCATCGCGGACCAGCACGCGGAGAAAGGGAATAGAAGCCGCGATAATACATAACGAAGATTCAAGAGTAGCCCAAATGAGGAGGTCCGCTGCGTCGACTACAGAGAGATCAAATCAGTCCAGAGCCTATTTGATGTAATAAGAGAAGGGAGGTGAACATACACAAGGGGTCTTTCCAGCGTATCATACCCGGAAGAAAGGATGTCTTCACCGCTGCTGTTATGCCTCCCACTATTCCAAACGACATGGCCACGATAACACCTGCTTTCTCTTTCCGATTCATTTGTAGATGTCGGATTATCAACCAGGGACATGCGGCGAGGAGCATGTCGGCACACGACGAATACGCTTCGCATGCAGTTAGCATCATTTGATGTAACTCTTACGGCACTACTTCTCAGAGGCTTGGAATCGGGGACTTACACCCAGAAAAAATTGAGTAGGAATTAACCATTGACGGAGGCACACACTTTCCCTTAATATTCTGATCCCAGAGGCTCTCCACCGGCGCGCACTGCAGAAGGTTCAAGAAAGCACAGGCGAACATGACCAGGTTGGTGGAGACCATCACGAACCAGATGAACCATTTGTGCGAGCCACGGACCGTAATGCGCAACAGTGTCACCGAAAAAGACATTTTGCTGACTGCTATTGCAAGTATAAGGAAGAAGTCTCCAATATTCATGTACTTGAGAGCCGTCGACATATCGCGAGGGTTGACGTCCTGGGTGTGCTTGCCTAGTCCATAACTCACAGCTACAGTCCCGGTCAACACGCAGTAGAGAAGGACAAAGACCTAGAACCTGTAAGTGGGAGTTTTGAGTAGTGCTGGGGGTGGTGTACCCAGGATATGAAGAGAATAATGTCATCCAAGCCACCGAAGCCTTTGCTATACCAGTATTTACAGACAAAACGAAGGGCCATAAGGACGAAGGACAATATTGTGAGGAACCATAACGAGATAATGATCTTAGGTCCATTCGAATCAGCCATCCTAGGCAAGAAAGATGGAGTTGGGATATGAGTTAGGATGAGGGTTGGAACGAGTGTCAGTGAAGAGATCGACTTGTCTACTATCAGTTCAGGGTTCCGATGAAAGCCAGTATATGTATCGAAGTCGTCATTTTGGGCGTCAAACGTTGTCTCCTGGAATATACTCCTTTGAATGTGCCACATCAATAAGCCTTCGTCTACCCAACTCTACTGGTCGTTCTAGTTCTATCTTCCCCGTATAAATGCCTCTCTCTTTCACAAGGTGTTCTGGATCATCGTACGACACGCCAAGGCTTCCACTCCAAATATTCCCTCCGGTCCCCTCTCATTCGACGACCCAGGCCTCATTTTCGCCGTCATCTGTCAATATACTTTCACGACCCGGATTTGCAAAGATGATCCTCGCTTGGGACGTGGAACTCGTGGCCCGCGCAACCTGACGCATGCAAAATGGGTTTCAGCACGTCCAGGTAGTGCGAATCGGCAGGGAACCCGCTCGTTCCAGCCAATAACTTGGTTGGCGCAGGCGATCGCGCAAGAAAGGGGCTGAAAATACGACTCGCGATTGTTGGAGATCTCAAGTCGACGAAACCAGCCACATCGGGTTGCAACTGCAATGCAGAGCTCCTTGCTTTCGACCAGCTGGCCGATTTTCGAGCATCAAAAGTTGATTCGATGTGCGTAGATCATGAGGAAATTTTGAACATGACTGATGAGGAACCTGTTGAGTCTTAGCCATGGGCGGGCCTGGACTTTAGGACGCCGACGTGTGGAGAGTGGACGAAGCTAGAATGAAAACCCTGACACAAAACGCCACAACCTCGGAATTGAGATTCCAACCTCATTGAGTATTAAGGGATGGTAGTATGATCATGATCGCCATGGTGAAGGGGTTTAATGAGTGTATTGTATTATCGCTACCGGCCATGGAATGCAATCATGACTGCTTCATCGTGTTGATACTGACCATGACTTATGTGGTGATAATGCCACTGGTAATTACTGTATTCTACAAAATCTTGCGCACCAGCAATGAAGAGGGTTCCTTCTCCCATCTGCGTTGGATTCACAAGTAACCTAAGACCTTGCCGTTCACTGTTGATAAACCATCAGTTCTCAAAAAGTGGGATTAAATCTCTAGCTCAGTTGAGCCGATGCGTTCAGGTTGCAGGGTATAGCTCGTAACCTCGACCGCATTAGCGACACTAACAGTTTCGTCACCTTACAGAACCGTTAGAAACCCACAGGGCTCCACCTAGAATTCTACTAGCGAGGTAATGAGGCTGAGGAACTTCCCTGGCAATTCTCCTGCGGTGGATCTTGCATAGTGTGTGATGAAGAGCTTGATGCTGTTTCATGCCAAATCTTGAGGCTGGTGGATGGAAATGCAAGGTAAAGGGAAGAAAGTTACATATGCAACAGTTGATATATTACACCCCCGTCTCTCTCGAAAATGCTAATAGCGTTGACGAACAGTATTTATAACGCTAAATCCTATCCCTCAAATGCAGTAAGCAAATATAATAGTATACAGATGAACTATCTGACCAGTCCTTTATCTTAAACCGTCTTAACCTCCCCCGCACTTCCCGCCGCTGCGATCTCGTTCCTTTTCGCTGCTCTCTTCTTCAACACGTTTTCAATGAACGCTTCACCGGCTTTGTAGCTTGATCGTACGAGGGGCCCGGATGCGCAGTACAAGAAGCCCATGTCGAGGGCACGCTGACGCCAGAGTTCGAAGGCATCGGGTGTGACGTAGGAGTGGACGGCCATGTGACGTTTGGTGGGTCGCATGTATTGACCGAATGTTACTACATCAACGTTGTTTTTTCGTAGTTCTGTAGAAGGCGTTAGCCTGGGAGACTTTCCAAATAATAGGGTCAAGTAGGGTGAAGTAAAAAAAAAAAAAAAATTACCTCTCAGCGCATCCCAAATCTGCTCTTCAGTCTCCCCAAGACCTAACATCATGCTAGTCTTGGTGATAAGTTCTGGCCTAGACTCCTTCGCCGCTCTTAGAACCTCCAAACTCTGCCTAAACTTCGCTCTTCGATCTCTCACAAATGGCGTGAGCTCCTCTACGGTCTCGATATTATGCGCATACACATCCAACCCACTCAATGCCACCAACCTCACCATCTCCAAATCCCCGGCATAATCTCCCGTCAGGGCCTCCACTAGCATTGTCGGCGCTTTCTGTTTAATCTTCATAATTGTCTCCGCAAAATGCCGCGCGCCCCCATCTGCAAGATCATCCCGGTCCACGGACGTCAGAACGACATACCCTAACCCCCATCTCTTCAGTGCCTCGGCGGTATTCTCTGGTTCGTGGGGATCCAGTGGGGGGGGGGCTTTCGACGTCTTGACGGAGCAGAATCGACATCCTCGTGTGCATGTATCGCCCATAAGCATGATCGTGGCCGTGGCTGCGTTCTTGGAACTCCCACCCCAGCAGTCTGAGATGTTGGGACAGCGGGCTTCTTCACAGACGGTGTGGAGGTTCAGGCCTCGTAAATCGTTTTTGATCTTCTTGTAGTTCTGGTTCACGGGAATAGGCGTCTTTAGCCATTCTGGGAGCCGGGTTATGGTCTTCTTGCGGCCTTCGGGGCCGACCTGGGCAGTGCGGACTTGGTATGCTTCGGAAGGGGGAAGAGGGGCATCTGGGGAGACGAAGTCGTTAAATGAGGGCCCGGTGTTTAGTTTATCGCGGAAGGTCGTGGGAGGGCGTGAGGACTTTGAGGATTGCCGTGTTTGGGTTGGTGTTGGGTCCATGGTTGTAGCAAATGTTCGGGTGAATTGAGATGAAGTCGACACAGACTTGGGTAGTGAAGACAATGAAGAAGAGGCCAGAAGACATCTGGTACGCGGTATTGAGGCTGCCATTGTGAGGTTGTGAGGTTGTGAGGAGAAGGGAAGTGCGACGTGACAGTGTTGAGTTCAAAAGTAATCCGACCTTGACATCCCGCTACTGGCCGAATCACCGAGTCGCTGACTAAGGAGAATTTCCGCCAAGATTCACCGCAAACAGGCCAAACATAGTTGCCCACAATTGCAGCATCCCTGCATGCGCCGACTGGCAACCACAACGTACACCAATTCACCGACAGCTCTCCAAAACTCCCTCCCAGAGCGGCCTACCTCTCCCTCCATATCCATATCCCCTCGCTCTTGGGCCCTCTTATCTGCCGAGCTCCCACGACTACCTCCGGGAGAGGACACGTTTGGTGGAGCGCAAAGCGATAGATATTCGACCGACTCGACTGAGGGTTGGTGGCTAGGGCCAAAGTCGAGAAACATGGATAAAAAGCATGAGGACGTGGCTATGGTGGCGCAGATAGACAAGACGTCGGTGTTCCAGGAAGGTAGAGAGCACCCACGCATTTTCACTATTGGCGGGGGAGCTTATGAGATATATCTTGAGGGGTGGTTGGCTGACAATACTGTCTAGCACGAGTATTCAACCAAAGCCCAATTTCGCCTCGAAAATGCAGAGTGGTCTGTCTTTCAATTGTCGTCATGGCAATGGCAATGCTTTGAGCTAACACCTGCAGATATTAACGAAGCTGGCTTTACTCCTCTTCACGGGGGAGAGCTGGGGGCGGCAGGAGGCTACAACTCTCTTTTTTGGAAGTGCGCTTGCCCAATTCTGCACATAATTGACTATGCTAAATCCCTTCAGTCTCGAAGCTCTTCCAGAATAAAGATGCTTCCCTCCGCCAGATGGTCTACCTGGTCATCAAGGAACTCGCTGGCTCCGCAGACGACGTTATCATGGTCACATCCTCCATAATGAAGGACACATCCGTCGGTAGCGACGTAGTTTACCGACCAAACGCCATCCGCGCCCTCTGCCGTGTCATTGACGCCTCTACTGTACAGGCTATCGAACGTCTCGTCAAAACCTGCATCGTCGACAAGAACCCTTCCGTTTCTTCCGCTGCGCTCGTGTCCTCATACCACCTTCTCCCCGTTGCGAGAGATGTCGTCAGGAGGTGGCAGTCCGAAGCAGCCGAAGCCGCATCCGGCGGTAAATCTGGAGGCGGCTTTTTGGGTGGGTTCGGAGGAAGCTCACATAGCGCTCTGCAGGCTAGCACGAACTATATGACGCAGTACCATGCTATTGGGTTACTGTATCAGATGAGGTCGGGCGACAGAATGAGCTTGGTCAAGATGGTGCAGCAGTATGCAGCAGCAGGTGTTGTCAAGAGTCCAGCTGCTACTGTCTTGCTCGTGAGGCTAGCAGCGAAGCTTGCTGAAGAGGATCCGAATCTGCGAAAGGTATGATATCTGGTATCTGGTAAACTGATTAGGGATTAATGCTAACAAAGCACAGCCGATGATGCAATTACTTGACGGATGGTTGCGCCACAAGTCAGAAATGGTTAACTTCGAAGCCGCAAAGGCGATATGCGACATGCGCGATGTTACGGATGGTGAACTTGTGCAGGCCGTACATGTTCTTCAACTATTCCTCACGTCTCCTCGCGCGGTCACGAAATTCGCCGCTCTAAGGATATTATCTACTATGGCTTCGTTCAAGCCGGATGCAGTCCGATCTTGCAACCAAGATATCGAATCTCTCATCACGAACTCGAACCGTAGCATCGCGACATTTGCCATCACAACTCTTTTGAAGACTGGCAATGAATCCTCCGTCGACAGGTTAATGAAACAGATCTCCGGCTTCATGGCTGAGATTACCGATGAATTTAAAGTCACCATCGTCGAAGCCGTTCGCACCCTGGCTCTGAAGTTCCCCAACAAGCAATCCGGGTTCCTTGCATTCCTCAGCGGCATCCTGCGTGACGAGGGTGGCTACGACTTTAAGCGAGCTGTAGTTGAGGCTATCATGGATCTGATTCGATTCGTCCCAGATGCAAAGGAAGATGCTCTAGCTACTCTTTGCGAGTTTATCGAAGATTGCGAGTTCACCAAACTTGCTGTTCGAATTCTCTTCCTGCTTGGTAGAGAAGGTCCATCAACACCGCACCCTACCAAGTATATTCGGTACATTTACAACCGAGTCGTACTAGAGAATGCCATCGTACGAGCTGCCGCTACTTCCGCATTGGCTAAGTTTGGTGTTGGGTGAGTGACCACTTTTGGTCTTCTGCAATCCTTTTACTGACAGCGTGTAGCCAAAAGGACCCGGAGATTAAGAAATCGGTGCATGTTCTTCTGACCCGTTGTCTTGATGACGTCGACGATGAGGTTCGAGATCGCGCTGCACTAAACCTTAGATTAATGGACCAAGACGATGACCTGGCAATCAAGTTTATCCGCAATGGTGAGTTCCCTGCCCGCCTCCAAGAAACCGGGCTGACACACCCAGATTCAATGTTCTCATTACCAGTGCTCGAGCACCAGCTTGCCATGTATGTCAGCTCGGATTCGCGAGGTACCTTCGAGAATGCTTTCGACATATCCAAGATCCCCACTGTCTCCCGTGAGCAAGCGGACGCAGAAGACCGTACCAAGAAGATCGCCACTGCTACCCCGACTCTCAAGGCACCAAGTACTGGACCCAAGGGACCCGCAAAGACAAGTGCCGACGTTGCAGCATCTGCCGCAGCGACGGCTCAGAAATATGCTGCGGAATTGCAGAAGATTCCGGAACTGGCAGCATATGGCGGCGTGCTCAAGTCCAGTGCTGTTGTGGAGCTTACCGAGTCCGAAACTGAATACGTCGTCTCTGCCATCAAGCACATTTTCAAAGACCATGTTGTCATTCAATACGATATCAAGAATACACTTCCTGAGACCGTACTTCTCGATGTCCAGATGGTAGTCTCGCCAGAAGACGACGGCGACGTTCAGCTAGAAGAAGAGTTCATTATTCCCGCACCCAAACTAGTCACAAACGAGCCTGGTACCGTCTACGTATCCTTCAAACGTCTAGAGACCGAGTCACAATACATCGCCACCTCATTCACCAACGTCCTTAAATTCACTAGTAAGGAAATAGATCCCAGCACCGGTGAGCCCGAAGAGGGCGAAGGCTACGAAGACGAATACCAAGTCGAGGACTTGGATCTGAACGGCGCGGATTACGTCGTTCCGGCTTACGCTGGAAGCTTTGAAAACATCTGGGAGCAGGCGAATGCCGATTCTGCGGTTGAGACGCTACAGTTGGGGAATATGAAGAGTATAGCTGGTAAGTTCTCCCCTCTGTTTTCTGTCCCATTTTTTTTGGAATGGAGGTGTTTGCTAATGCAGAGGCAGATGCAACGGAACAACTCACAAAAACTCTCTCGCTACAGCCATTAGAAGGCACGGATATTGCGCTCTCGACATCAACACATACGCTCAAGCTTTACGGTAAGACTATCACTGGCGGTAAGGTTGCGGCGATGGTTAGGATGGCGTATAGTGCTAAGACAGGTGTGACGATGAAGATTGAGGCCAGGAGTGAAGAGGAGGGTGTTGCGGCGTTGGTGGTTGGTAGTGTGGCATAGGCGGAGCACACGTGGTTTGGGGGATAGATTGCGGGTTGGGGACATGAACTAGGTTTGTGATGGAATGCATGGGATGATGCAATGAGATATGAAACATAAGAAGGAAGCATGGGCGGTGGGTAGGGCACTTGAATGCCGCTTTGTTGTTGCGTTTTACGGGGTGTGAGGGATGGCACTAGATTATGGCTGTGTGGAAAATGAGGGATAATTTTATAAGTTCAAACAACAAATCTGGGATCGTGGAAAGTGCTGGGAAAAAAATTCATGAAGTATCCCGGTTGAAATCTCTGGACAGTTATCCATCGAGATTATATCCTTTGTTATGCCATTCCTAGATGAATGAACCTTCTCACCATCTCTCCAAGAATTGCACGGCCCAGTGAAGAATCACAGTAACGTACATCCTTCCGTTCATTTATGCTTCCCACAAGCTGGGTGCTTGTTCCTAATTCCCCGAGAACCCACATCTCAGCTAGCTGCTGCAAGACAATTCTCTCCCCTCCCAATTCCCCCGCCTATAAGCCCAGCCCCTCATCACAATTCAGCCCATACAAGCACCACAACTAGCCGTCCCCACCAACGGCATTGGAGGCCGACTATCCCTCGCATTCGCCAGCCTCCCTACGCCCCTACTTCCCCCTCCTACACCTCCGTCTCGTCGTCCGGATGCGTGGTATTGCCCTTGATAGCTATCGGCCGAAGGCCGGGGGTTCCCGGGTCGGAAATAAGTGGACGCGGAAGGGGAGAGACTGAAGGGCGAGCCGCGCGCGGCGGACCAGGTGTCGAGACTGAAGAGTGTAGTAAGGTAGAGGGCAAGAAAGGTGAAGAGGGTTGCTGGGAGGGAAGAGGGTTTGCTAGTGGGGATCAGTGAGGGCGTGGGATTGGGGATTGTTTGGGGGGGGTGGGGAAGGGGTACTTTTCTGAGGACATTGTTGCTGTTGGTTGTGGAGGTCGTGTATGAGATGAGGTGAGGTGGTCTCAAGATTCTTGGGTTTGTTCTCGGTCAAGACTATGGGCGTAGGCACGTGGTAGGTAGAGAGCTTGAATAGCGAAGGCAGACGTGTGGTTTAGTGTTCTCACTGCGCTGTGCCGGTTCCTGTTCGACCGAAGGATTGGGCTTGGTTGGCGTGTTGGTCCAATCCCAATCAGTCGGTCGCGCTATGTTTAGCCCCATGTTTGACTACGCGACAAACAGGACCAAAATTACGCGGACTCGAACTCAAACTTCAGTGTTTACCCGAACCCTCTCCCCACTCCTGCTACCTGCCCGTGCTTGCTGGGAGCTGGTTGGTAGTCATGGTTGATAAGGAGAAAAGCAAGGTCCGTAGATCTTTAACCTGAGACCAGGCATGTAAACGCTGATGTCGAGGAATCATGGCAGAAGCGCAAACGCACCTCCGTCGTTATCCACCAAGGCAGCAAAGATGCCAACGACAACGCCAATGAAAATTCTACATGGCACCTAGATGCGCTGATCGAGAGCGAGCTACCAAGACCGACACCCAAAAACCCCGATCGTCAAGTCAAGAAGATGCGCAAGGGCGAGAAATACCGGCCTGAAAGCCCTCATGAGGGATTGTCGAAAGATGTCATTGGATCAGTCAAGAAGGGTAGGAGCAAGAAGACGGAAAGTATGGTTGTGGATGTGGACGTGGATGCGCGGGATGAGTCGCTGGATACCATAGTCCAGACCTCTGACGATGATGGGCTAAAACCTCCAGCTTTGAAGAAGAAAAGGAGGGGTAAAGAGACGGGCGATACATCAGATCATGGGGCTGCGGTTGTTATGCAGGCTGATAACGGAGGTGTTCGTGCATCCAGGAAGGGTGTGAAAGACGTGTATGCCAAACAGAAAGAGATGCACACGGAGATCGAGGTTGAGAGTGATGGTGTGGATGAGGATTGGCCGGCGAAAAGTCGTCGGGTGAAGATTGCTCCGGGAGGTGTAGTGGAGAATAAGGTCGTTGAATTGGACACTTCGAAGCCGTCTGCGGTGTTCAAGCCAAAAAAGGGAAGACCGTGGACGTTGAGTATTGCGGTGCCAGGAAGCTTTATTGCTAAGTATGCTTGTCCTACATCTTTTCTTGATCATTATCTTTTAGTCGTCTTTGCTTTATCTCTCCTTGATCGCCTCCGGACCAGCGATCCTATTTCTCAATAAACCCCTCCTCCTTACTATCTTCATTCTTCAGAATCCAATACCAAATCTCTAACTTCCCCCAGTGTACTGAACTTCGACCAAAAGAACTCGCTCGCCGGCCGCATCGCCCGCGCCGCAGCCGTCTTCTGCGTCGACGAAATCATAGTCTTCGACGACGACCCCAGCACACTACCGAGCCAAAAGCTCGCACAAAAGAAACACCGTAACAAGTCCAAACCCGAAATCCTAGCCGAAGTCCTTCCTGACCAAGAGCCTTGGGACAATCCCGACCAGTTCTTGTTCCATCTACTAAGTTACATGGAGTGCCCGCCGCATTTACGGCGACGGTTGTTTCCCCAACATGCGAATCTGAGGGGTGCTGGGTCGCTGCCGAGTCTGGATATGCCGCATCATCATCGGCCAGATGAATGGTGCGAGTACCGAGAAGGCGTGACTATACAGGCGCATGAAGCCGAGGAGTTAGCAAGCCGCCATTCCGCGAGCGTGAGCGAGTACGCATCACCAGCACGACCGGCCAAGCTCCACAAAAAACCACCTCCAAAGAAAAAGCCCGCCAAAGATCAGGAGTTCAGCTTCGTCGACTGCGGCCTCGGCCTGCCCCTCAAATTACCGTACACTATCCCGCCAAACAACCGCGTCACGCTCAAATTCTCAAATCCCGATCCACCACCTGGCTGGCCACACCTCACTCAGGAGACCGTCGATGGTCTGGAGTTCGATTATACGCTGCCGTCGGTGCCGCGTGAAGAAGCAGGTTACTATTGGGGATATACAGCACGTCGTGCAGAATCACTCTCCGCTGTCTACACCGAATGTCCATTTGATTCCGGTTATGATTTCAGTATTGGGACGTCGGAGCGTGGTGTTCCTCTTTCTTCAATAATACCAAAACCCCACCCCTCCTCCTCCTCTCCCACCTCCAGTTCAAAATCTAAGTTCAATCCCGAAGAATCCTCCGCCCACACTACCTCTCTTCCCTCCCAATTCCAGCATCTGCTACTCGTCTTCGGCGGCGTCCACGGTCTAGAACCCGCCGTTGCTAATGATCCGGTGTTAAAGATGAAAGGTTTAACTAAGGAGACGGCGAATGAGGCATTTGATGCCTGGGTTGATCTTGTGCCTGGGCAGGGCAGTCGGACGATTAGGACTGAGGAGGCGGTTTTGTTGGGGTTGATGGGAATTAGGGGGTATGTTGAAAGGATAGATATTTGAGAGTGCGGGGAGGAGGGAATGTAAACCCGGTCTTTATAGAGATGGTGACTGGGTGTGGCAAGTGTATATTATTATCGTCATGCCAAACATGAGCATATTTAATATCTGTAGTGAAGAGATTTGGGCAGTCGAAATCATGAGGCACGGGTAATTCGAAGTCAAGGTACATGTGGAGGAGACTCCCTTCTATTCATGATTTCATATCTTTCTGATTTACAAATACCACCCAACTCAGACATATGCGTCCATCTAGTAATGTCTTACAAGTAATCACAAAACACAACACGAGGGAAGCTGCTACGAATAACAGCAATAATGTCAAAAAAGATAGAAGGGATAAGCAAGACCTCATCCCCACTCAAAAACCAGAAGCTCTAACAGCAAATGCCACAAAGAAATCCTAGCTTACTGCATCAGCTATGTCTTATCCCTTTCGCATGCACGCAGAGAGAGTTTTAGTTACATACTTCAGCGTCTTATCTTTTTCACTTTTACTTGAGCTCAGGTTCTAGTAGCTAGATCTAGCAGCTATGGCGACGACTTGTTTTCCTAATTAGGGATAAATGTACCCCAAGGGTTGCAGGCGAATAAAAGCTACTGTCCATCTTCTCTTCACATAGGTTTTCTTGCTCTTTATTCTCTTCATTCGTATCAGCTGGGGCGGAAAACGTGTGGTCTTACTAATATCGTAGGCCTGTGATCTCGCTCTAATTTAGTGCCTCATGGGTTCCACGGTAGATATGTCAATAACGTAAGCGTATTTCGTCGGCCGCCTGTTTCAATTTTTAAAAAGGATTATGTCTTGTTCAAGACGAAAAGGATGATGGCCATATATACTATATTACCGAGACCTCCATTCTAGTTCCACGGGATAAGGCAGCTTATCGTACATCCGCAATGAGTGCTCCTTTTGGGGTAGCAGCCATGTTTTAAATTGCGTTGAGTCAGGTGTCCAAGGTGTCGCTTCAAAACAGATCAAACTTATGTTGCGTGGTCTTGGTATACTCTTCAAGGACTTCTCCAACGTCAACCTTACTATTAACCCAATTGGCCTCAATAGCCTTGCCAAACTGGCCAAACCCTCGGACAAGATAGGGTCTGTTCCGGCCGCAGGCAGCTGTCTGACAACTACGTCTTGTGCGAAAGCGGTGGCATCCGTGAAGGCCGTTCGGTACGGTCCGCCAATTTGACTAACTTTGGCTCATGTTGGAGTAAAATGGTGACGATATTACCCTTTCCGCTACTTGTTGCAGCCTAAAGTTACTGTAAGATCCACGAGGGTAACGTGTAGAGGCGCCGATATCAAAAAGTATTTTGATTACATCAACAAAGCCGTTGCGCGAGGTAAATATGAATCTATCACCACCATAGCCTACGAAAAGTTTCACAACATCATACCCATTCAATGAAGCCATCGGAAGAGCGTTCAAGTAAAGGCTGCCTTGGAAGTTGAACTTCAACATCTTGTTCCAGGAGGGTTGTTGGCGGTATGGAGATTTTCGTTGAGAGGTGTTCCTGACTGAATATTTTCGCAATCTTTCTATTAACTTGGACAGCTCCAGTCCCGTATGTCAAACATTGTTTGTCTAGAGTTTCAAGCTGCCTTGGAAAGCAAGAGGTAGAGAAAGAGCATCAATAGAATACTTTTCTTGGCGCGTGTACCGCGGTGAGACACTGCCGTGCAACCACAATACCGACGTGGCTGCTGTAACGGGAACTGAGACGTTTTAGCAGCAACTGAGAGGGGGCAGCTGAGAGGAACACCTTGCAGTTGGACATCGGCGCCCCACTACAGAAGCAGCAACGGACCAACGAGCGACGAAGACACTGCGAGCGAAGCCTTCCACTACAGCCTTGTCCTCAAAGCCGACACCCGGGAAGGCATCCATACCAATGGCCTCGCTCCAGTTCTCACACTCGTCAGTACCGCACTCAGATCAGCCCCGTGCTCCACAATGTGAATAAAGCGCCTTGTGAGCTTATCTATAGGCCCGTGAGAATCACACTCTTGTCGTCAAGTCATTTGTTGTAGCACCGGATGAAAGTGAGACACATTCCCCCCTAAATAAACTAGGGTTGGGCAATGTTTGGAATTACTAGGAACACCATTGGTCAAGGTGCAAAACCTGAAGTGAAGCTCATTTCTGAGAGTTGCGGCACAGTGATCAGTGATAGACTGACGAGGGTGTGTGATGCTACTAAATAGGTCGAATTAGCACTGACTAAACTGGATTCTGGAACCTTACCGAGGAAGCTCTGGCCGCCTAAGCCTGAATTCCATGAGGAATAATACTTGTTAGTAACACAGACATTTTCCTCAGGTTTGATTGATACAGCAACCCGCACCCATAGTAGGAAAAGGCTTTCGAGATGAAAGTGTATGGATGAACATTCGAGGCCATTTATCCGTCTGCGGATGCCAAAGCCGATAATTGGAGCTTCGATGTCAAGCTATAGTGAATAAATTTGCACTTCAATATGTCTGGAGGTGGCGTGGCCCTTTCAAGATGATCAGGCAGGGGCATTTTGTGGACGATACAAGAAGACGCTCCTAAACCTAGTTTGAAGACTTCACAACAACCGCTACTGTTTACAAGATGATCAGACAGCCAGATAGAGACAGACACAGAATCATTTTCCCAACCAGACACCAAGCTTCACAAAACAATACACCCCAGCAACGCTATACTGTCCCACCCTAATTCATGACCCCGATTCTTCATCCACCATTCAACAATGAAGCTGCTCAACACCCACGATTCGCAATCGCCTCCCTCAACTCCTCCACCATCTCCGTATGTCCCACTTCCTCCAGACACCTCAACATCCTCCCCAAAATCACGTTATCCTGCCGAATAACCTTCGTGCCCGTCTGAAAAATATCCATTTTATTGAACGTGGGAGGCTTCGTGGTTTTCGACGCGTTTATATTATTTGCCTTGAGTCTCGTCCATCCCGCAAGTTCAGGGATGTTGGGATTTGCTTCCAGCAGAGCGTCTTGTAGTGCCGACCTACACGCACTCTCATCCATACGACATTTCGCCATGGTGGCCGCCCTTTTTCGGGAAGCTTCTTTAGATCCATATCCAGATCCAGATCTAGAACTAGAGGCTTTACGACGGGAGGGTGTTGTCTTTCTAAATGTATGTGGTGGAAAGTCCAGACTTCGATCGCAAGCAAAGGAAAAATGCGGAGTGGAATCTTGATGCGGTTGTGGAGGTGAAGGTGGAGAATTCAAGGTTGGAGAGTGCGCGGAAGATGAAGATCCAGAGTTAGAAGCAGAATATTGGTTCCGGGGTACGTCTGGCCGCAGCGGCGTAGAATTTGGCGTTCCGAGGTAGACGCAAGAAGCTGGAGGACTTGAGGAATAGACTGAGGACGTGGCTGTATGTCCACCGAGCACCACCTTAAGCGACGGGAGTTGATGAGTTGCCTCATGATGACTTACATTAGTTAGTCGTGCGTGTATCTAAAGGCTTGTGACAAGGAACTTACGTGACCGGCGCCGTGGCTCTGAAGGGTTTAGTAGCAGAGCGCTCGGTCTTGAAAGAGGGCCTGAGTGATGGCGCCGAGTTCATGTTAGCGAGTGATGGAGTAAGAAATTTAGGAACAGTTAAAGACAAGAGAAGGGACTGTTACAAAATAAAGCCACGAAGAGAGGCTCAGGAAAAACAGACTCCCAAACCCTTTTATACAACCCCAGTCACAAACATGGTAGAAATCAGAGCTAGCTACGCGCGCATGTCGAAGCGGTACCTAAACTGTAAGGATTAATGATGCAATCCGCATCCACATCCACATCTTTTGACTGCACAAAACCATCTCTCCCGTAGGCCTTCTTGAGCATGTTGTGCAACACGTGCGAAGGATAGCCCGCGACATGCTGCGCGCGCTAGACCGAGAATACATTTTTATGGGCAGACGCTTTCATTCTTCTGTGCTCATGCATGGAGTGGAAGCCGGACCGAAGACGGCGAGACGGCCCCTTATGCTGTCCCCTGTCAAAGCACGGCACGGTCTCACAAGATTCCGCAAGGTTTGAGGCGGAGAAACGTTGCTTCTGAACTGCGTTACGTGAGTCTTGATTCATGAACAGAGCCGGTAACTATCGTTAATTTCTCTGCTCAATGGCGAAATCTTGATCACTTCTTACCTGGGCCTGCAGACGGCACCAAGCTAGCAGTCTCAGCAAAAAACTGACTGGAATAGCTAATAAAGTGAGATTTCTTCGAATTGTGGGCCACTATGTCTTCACAGCTCCATCCTGAGCTAACTAACCAATCACTCAGAGCTGTGCCCGCTGTCGTACAACAAAGTTGTATCATAACCGGCAGCATATCGGAGACTGGCGGGTACCACACCTAATCCATCGGAACGTGAGAAGGCACTGTCGTAGGCTGGTCACTGTGTGGTGGAGGAGCCCTAGGGCGGGTGACAGCAGCGGACCGCATCTCTGTTCAAGAAGCGCAGGTGGAAATACACCCCACTGTGTATCGTACACCTAACAAGAGGGTATGATAGATCTTGTAAAGGTATACGATATTGTAAAAGCAGACTATAGTACATATTTCCGACTTGGAACTTTCCATACCTAGGCTTTAACTTCCTCCAGAGGGTATAGAAGAAGGGTTCGTCAAGGTACGAGGAGGAAACTCCCTAAAGAGGTGGAGAAGAGGGGGTGTGCAAGTACTAAGCATCATATCGTACACTACAGGTTGGTTCGTGCAATCAGCATGCAAGCAATCCAACGCTAGCGCCATTGCCATAGCCAAGGAACCCTGGTCCGAAGATATCCAAAAGAACGACAAAAGACATAAAAAGCTGACTGTGAAGGAAGAGCTAATTGCTGACCACCCCAATTAACCTTCTTCAGACCAGTCTCTGTCTGCTCAGTGGAAAAGAAGCGACAATGTCTTCACTGACTGTCTCGTCCGCGGGGTAGGCCCCAAAGAAATCGGTCTCACAGAATTCGACCACGCTTGAATCGCATCGTCGTACGAAGGCGGGGCTCGCTCCTCGCGTGTGGGTTCACTCGGAGGCAAAGATGAAGGAAAATCAGACGCAAGCTCGTATTGCTCCTCAGGCTGCATGCTTGTTAACTGACGTGTTGGTGGCGGCGAAGGTGCAGTCGGCTCGTACCACGTCTCCCTGCGCACGACGAATAAGTTAACAATTCCAGAGAGATGGGACTTCTTGCGACTTAATCTTCATCGAAGATCTGAAGAACATTGTCTAAGATAGTGATGATGACTCGAGCTTGAAGACCGGCATCTGCCATGTTGTTGCCCTTGTGGGGTCCCATAATTGAAGGCCTGGAAAGGGTTAGACGAGTTTTACGGACAGAAGTTTCAGTACTTACGCCCAACAAATGCCCAAATTGGCAGTGCTCATGCGGTTCACTTCTGAAGCCTGTTGTACACGGTATAGATGGAGGACGAGCGCCCGGAGAGTTGCATAGTTCGGGTCTGGGAGAGCGTTGATGAGCGCGTGCATTGAGTCGCGGCGCATAGTATCATCCTCGATGCGAGCGGCTTCAATGTACTTTGAGTAGAATTCACTTGTCAAGAGCGGATCAGGTAACTCGCGGAAGAACTGCTTCAGAAGTCCTGCCACGCTGTTGACGTCGTGTTGAAAAGCCTCGGGATTACGGAAGTCAACCTGAGATCCATCTGTAACGAATTAGTAAAATGGAGATAACTGTAATAAGAAATAGGACATACCGGTGTCGAAGAGCGCTTTCATGGCCTGGATGTGAGATGAAGTTCCCGGAATGCGATAGATGCCTTCTACTTCCAATCCATAGAGATCAACCGCCTGAATACACTGATACACGACCATTGGTACTGGAGACCCGTCTCTCCTGAACAGTTCCTCAAGGTTGACGCCGAAGACAGGATTAACAGGAGGCGAAGAGCCACTGTACGTGACGCCAGCGGACTGCTGAGCCGTTGATTGTCCTACCGGCCCTCTTGGATAATCTGATTGGGGTTGAGAATATGGGTTCTGAGCTATAGGGGAATATGTCTGGGCGCCTGGGTATGTCGGCGCTGGAGGATTGTACTGCTGTTGTTGCTGGAGTCCGATGTTGTACGACTGGAAACTGGGTTGCTGCACAGGCTCAGGTTGAGCTGGGAGTTTGTATTGCTGCGGAGACTGTGTTGATTCAGGCTGAGGCTGGGGTTGCATAGAGAACGAAGACTGAGGCTGAGTTGATGGCATTTGCAGTGAAGTGCGAGTGTCATTAGAAGGGAGGGGTGTTGGTTTTGTTTGAGCCGGTGCAAGTGTTGGATGCTTCACATACTGCAGCTCAGAACGGACAGAGGGTATCTTGGAGGAGTGTTTCAGAATGAAGTCATCGAAGTCCTTGTCGTTGTTGATCTGGTAGATGACTTGATTCATACTTGGTGGCGGTTGCCCTGTGGTACCCCTGAGGCCTTGAGGACTGACGACCTGGCCATTATTGACGACCAATTTTTCGTTGAAAGAAGCTGGTAACGTGAGCCAGTCGCACAACCATTAGGGCTCTCGTTAACATACCGTACTTCTGCATTTCCATAGTCAACGCAGCGTCGATCTCCTTGATGAGATCCACAAGCGCAGAAACAGCTTGCGGACGCGTTGTAGCCACCAACTCTTTCCGATACAACTGTGCAGTCTGGACTTTGGACGAATAGTCTTGGTCTGCAGCCTGGACCTTACGATGCAAATCCTCCTCATGCTGCTGCGCCGACTTAGGCCCCTTGAGCCCGAACTTCCTGCCCGCACCCGTGTCTCCGGTCTTGACACGATCTAGATCTTCGGCCAATTGATCGTATTTAGCCTTCGCCTTCTCCACCAGGGCCTCGGCGTCCTGGACCTTCTTCTCCGCGGTCAGACCCTGCTGCTTCCACGTCTTCCTACTGCCATCCATCTTGTTGGCCAGCTGCAGAAGATTCTCGTGCATGGCGTGGAGGGCGAGTCCGAACTGGGTGCCATTGTCGGCGATGCGCTCGTTGGCGTGCATGACCTGCTCGAACTGGTGCTGGTAGCTCTCATGACGGGCCTCGGCCTTGCGGATATTGTCGAGGGTGAGTTTACTGAGCTTCTTTAGGTTGTTGGCATGCTCTTCTTCCATGGCACCGCGGCGCTTGAGAAAGCTCGCGAAGTCCTGAAACCGTTAGCAGGGGGTGATATAGCAGCGGGATGGAGGAGCTGACTCTTGCGCTAGCAACGCTGGCTTTAAGGCGATTGAGGAGGGTGTTGACGCCAATCTATCTATCGTTAGTAGGATACTACGGAAGGGCATTGGAAAGCATACGTCGGAGTAGAGGACATCCTGAACGGCCTTCTGTGTCTGCGGATCAGGACTATCTTGTTGCTTCGACGGTTCCGGCGGCTGGACAGGGGGCGCTGGTCCTGGGCCATTGACAGGCGACACGGTCGCGCCATCTGCATGGCCATTGCCGTTAGCAGCGGCGGTGCTAGAGAAGTCTGGATTGAAGCCGCTGTCATTGCTCTCCACAGGCGGAAGCGTAGGTGGGAGGGTAGACATGGCTGCGGTGGGAGCGAGCCCGTCGGATACACGCGTGTGAGGATCAGTCGCGAGGTCGCGGGAAGAAAGGGCAGGGTAAGGACAGAAGTTGGTCGATGTAGCAGATGTGATGTGGCAAAGGGAAGCAACGACATGGAGGTCAAGCTTTCGGGCGGCGGGCCTCGTGTGCATGGGCCATCAAGGAACCGTGCCAGCAGCGACCATCCGCATCACCCGTCAATGCCGTCCGCCTGCCATTCATTCCACTGCCGCCCTACGTTTCTGATACAGACGCCCGCGTTTCTCTACCTCCATCAAGCCCCCCCCTAGCTTGGATCCCTCTGAGGAGCAAATCCCTTCCAATTTCCAGAATGGCTTCCGCCACACCAGCCGAGGCCTCCACTACGTCACCCGAGATATCCACCTCCCTCCCAGAGGAAGTCATAACATGTCTTCAAAACGCGCGGTTTGTAGGTACACTTTATTTAGTGGTCTTTCCAAATTTTACCCCCTGTATATCTACTCTCTCTCGTGCTTTCTTGGTCGCTCTATTTCTTGCGCTTCAACTCTACTACTGATTGCAACTCCGAATGCCCTCTTCTACACCAATGTTAACAACCACTAACCCCCCACCCCAGCTCCACCTAGCAACCTGCTCCCATAATACCCCGCATATCTCCCTCATGAACTACACCTACCTCCCCTCCACTCCCTACACATCTACACCCACCATAATAATGACCACTCCCCCCTCCTCCCTAAAATACACAAACCTAGCCTCCAACCCACTCGTCTCGCTGCTCGTCCACGACTGGATATCGCACCGCCCGCCCACCCTCTCGCGACCTGGCCGCAGTCCCTCACCGCCCGCTACCCGAGGCGGGCCAGGCGGTGTCCGCTCTGGCAGTCTCGCAGAATTGTTGCTGGGCATGAATACCGCCAGTCTCAGTCGGATTAGCGCGACAATTAATGGGATTGCTGAGATTGTGGAGCAGGGGAGCGAGGCGGAGAATTGGTATCGTGCGCAGCATTTGGCGAATAATACGTTTGGCCCTGCGGATGAGGATAATTTCTCGTCGTCACCGGTTGGTGGGGGGTTGTGGCGAGGTCTTGGCGGAAGGGAGAGCGGGGCTGGGGAAGAGGAGCTGCGGGAGGGGGATGGTGGGACCAGGTGTTATGTTGAGGGGGAGGAGGTGAGGGTTGTGGTGGTTAAGATTAGGGATGGGAGGATTGCAGATTGGAAAGGTCAGGTGCGGGATTGGGTTGTTAGAGGAGGGGGAGAAGGGGAGCTTGCGAATGGGGTGTGAGATGTGGGCAGTGTACTACAGAGCAGTCTGTTGTTTGGTAGCATGGGAGAGAGAAGTTCTGGCACAAACGCAGGCCGAGCAGAGTAGAGATGCCAAGCGAAGGCTCTTCAAACAATCAGGCACAACCGACAGACCGACAAACATAATTGTCAGGGTTAGTTCAGAATGGAGAAGTATATGTTTATCTCCCACACTCAATCCGTCCACCAAAATCCAACAAGCACAACCTCATCAGATCCCATCTCAAACTGCCTTTGATTAAAGGAAAGGGGTTGAGCTTTGCCCACTCCTCGTTGCTTCACGAAGAACAACGCAACAGGATGCAAACCATCATTCCGCATCCTGTTGACGTCCTCCCTCAACCTAGCAAGAAATTCAGTAACTCAAATCTATCTTGATCATCTTCCGTGATATGTAATGGTATGCTTTACACAACCCTACCACCATCTATCTACTCCTATTCCCTGATATTGACATCTCCACACCAAGAATATTTTTACAACCAGCCTGGCAATCCCATAACGCTCTCTCTCATATATAAATGCTGTCTACATACACAAATGATACTAACCCCCATTCTAGGTAGATGGCCTAAAACATATCCGCACCTCGTTCGTCGACCGAGGCCGTAAAGACAAAGACAAAAGGACAAACACACACACACACACACACACACACACACACATATGCGCATACCATGCAGCCACCCACCCACCCACCCACCAGAAACGCCACATCCTCGTCCATCTGATGAGATCGCCCATCTGGATCGTGATCGATCGACACCAAGAAACTATAGATGCATGCAAAGGCCAGTCCAATCATACACCGGACCAAACCTTAAGAATCAAAACATAACGCCGCCGCTGGAACGCTTGAAATAAATAAATCCAAAGACACATATCCAATATCCAAGTAACTCTGTCCCGGAAATAGTAGTATAAAGAATGTCGAGAAATCGTGGGTACGTATGATGCCGTAGATAGATTGTTCGTTCCTTCCTATACCTTCCTCGCCCCAAACAAACTCAAACTAATCGCTGTCTCATTCCCTGCCGGATTGCCCCCACTCTCGGGCAAAACCTCCCATCTTCTTAGCACAAACGGCAACTGCCTCATCTCCGGTTTTTCTTGTTTCGCTAGGCCCTGCTTGCCCGCCAAACCGACGGCACTCTGTGCCTGTGGCTGAGATTGAGAAGTTGAGGAAGCTTGTCGTTGGAGTTGAACGGGCGAAGGTTGTGTAGCGCGCTGCTGTGCTAGTCCTTGCATCTGCTGCATCTGCTGCATCTGCTGTAATTGGCTCTGGGTGGGATTTTGCCCGATATTAGAGCCTATGCGTTGGAATTGTGGGGGTAGTTTGTTGTGTTGGGAGTGTTGTGAGTATTGGGGATACATGCGAGCCTGAGCCTGGGCCTGCATTTGCTGCTGCTGCTGCTGCTGTTGGCTCATTGAACGCTGAATGGGGGAGGGACTTGGCGATTGATGTTGTTGAGTTTGATGATGAGGAGACTGCCCGTAGCCTGCCTGTGATGGTTGCGATTGTTGTGAGGACGAGGTCTGTGGAGTGAGAGAAGGAGTGACTGGTTTTGTGAGCGCAAGCCAGCCGTCCAGAGGGGGCGCCGAGCCGAAGATAAAAGCACAACGAGGGTCTTCCATGGGCTTCGCAGTCTCGAGCTTGTATAGATGAGCCCGGACTTCATCCGAAACTTCATCCGAAAGAACCGCGGCGACATCGAAGATGTATTCGGACATGGAAGCATAGTTCCGGAGGGCTGGGTGAGTGAAGAGAGAACGAAGGCTCAATAGTAGAGCGGCTTGATGTTGGCTCCCCGCCTTGCTTGATAGCATCGAATCTTGTACAACTATGAGACGCAGTAGTGCGTGTAGCCTTGATAAGTTAGCAAGCGCACTTTGATCTCGAAGAAGACAACATACCATGGAGAAAGTTGAGATACCACAGGCGAGACATTCTTCATTACAGCATCACTATAATCATTCGGCATACCCAGTATTTCAGACATCCCCTTTAGTCTTTCAGCGACAGAGGCGAAAAAAGAAGACTGTCCATCCCCCGAAACCCCCGAAGCTGTTAAATCTATGACTGTTAAGAACTTTTGAACTAAAGCTTCATTGTCACTGCTGAAATTCTGAGGCTCAAGCATGGTGGGGCTGCTGAGGAAAGTAGAGGCATTGAGAATTTTTCGTTCTGCGTGCTCACGAATCTGTTCATATCAGTCCATCAGTTCATTTAACTTCTTGATCTGTTTCATACCTTGCAGGTCAGGTCTGTGTCAAGTCCAGCAACTAGGTCCGACCACGGTGATTCGTTCTTCTCTACTGCCGCTTTAATGGCTTCGAGAAATGCATTGGAAATCTCCTCGGCAGATGAGTCGCACATAGCGGAGAATTGTCGAATCTCTAACTGGCAGAATGGAAGACTTAAATCATTGGCAGAATCAATGACTGCATAAACCTGTTGCTCTAAGCTCTTCTGAGTGAGTTCTGCATGGATTGTTAGAAATGCTATGTGTGGATCAAGGCACATGGATCACAAACCTAGGTGGTCGGCCGGATCTAGGAGGCCATCAAGCAATGACTTGAGTCGAGAATTTAGAATCCCTGCGGGGGAGCGTACCCCAACACCAAGTGATCTGGACAGGAGCTGTATATCGCTCACGGCAAAGTGTCGAAGGACGGAACGGAGACGGTTACTTGAGAGTAGGTTGGTGATTTGGTTAGCTAGTGCCGGGGAGAGCTGTCGTGAGGATGCTTCAAGTGTATCATGGATGACTTGGAGAATGCGACCATCTGAACCCTGACAGAGCTTGCGCTGCTCCAGGCGAAATCTGTAGGCATCCTGTGGCTGACAAAGTCGACTGAGCTGTTCAGATGGTAGGAGCGCATTCAAGACTTCCACACTCATTCTGAGAATCCCCTCGTCGCTGCTCGCTTTTCGTCCATTCATGCATCGCCTAGAAATCTCGAGAAATTGAAGCAAGGACAGGCAGCCAGACACGACCAAAGGGGGAAGGGCAACAAGGATCAACTTTCCTCGGTGCTTGTTCAACAATGAACTCAACCAATCGGACAAAATTTTCTCAAAAGCTTTTTCGTCAAAGCTGCGCAGGCGATAGAACCACGGTCCTAGGTTCTCGGATTGAACAGAGCCGGCGCTGAGCTGTTCTTCTAGCCGAAATGCCATCTTGCCAAAGACTCGCATCATGACTTGCTGGTCCATGCTAGTGCCACTGGAGAGAATACGGTCAATCTCATCATCCGTATCCATAGCAGTATCCATATTGTCAGAGGCTGGAGAACAAGCTGCTAGTGAATTCTTTTGCTCGGATCGACTGAGATCATATCCGAGCATCAGCAGAAGTTGCTCGTCCGCTCGCGCCGCACGGGCAACGTCCATAAGAGAAACTAGTAATTCTCGCTCGGGGAACCGAACCGTTCTAATTGCAGCGTATCTCATCGCAATCTTTTGGAACAGAGGTTTAAAGGCTCCGATGGCACTGAAAGCCTTGTAGTGGAAATGGAGAGTGTCCGCGACGGAGGTAAGTACATTGGTGTCCAAGGAAGTGGCAGCTAACCCTAGAACGTCTGCAAGAACAGAAAGATCGTCGAAGTCTTCTAGATAAGACCTTATGGCATGAAAGTCTTGGGCAGAGATTGTGCAAACGGGTCCAGGCTCCTCTATGGATGGGTCCTTGGTGGGCACACGTTCAACAAGCTCTACATTTGCAGCGACTTGCTGCCGTAACCATATGCCTAATTCTAATCGGACCGTCGAGCTGACACTTGTAAGGTTGACTTCTGTTGACGGACCAAAATAATCTGCCGTATCGAATAGATCCGGAATTCGCTGCTGGATACAGGATTGGGCGTTGCAAATCATCTGGTCTTCTAGTTCGGTAGAGTAAGCAGAGCCGTGTAGGAGTGTGCTCCGCAAGTTGAGTATTTGTTCAGAGAGACCACTGAGAGGGATTTCCGAGATGAGTCGTAATGGCCATGCCGCAGGTGAAGAATTCTTGCTTAGCGAGCCAGTTGCAATTAACCACTGCAGGTACCTTCCAACGGAAAATGTCTTGGAGCGGACTAATTCGGCGATGATTCGAAATACGTTGCGAGGGTCAACATTTCTTCTCGAAGCCACTGAATGAAGGTGAGAAAGGATGGCGTCGTCAATGTCGGCTCCCAGTTGGCTCCATTTGCGTATGACCCGAGTGACCAAGTAGAGTCTATGAGATCCTTCACGGTGTACTGATGATGCCCATCGAAGGGCAACGGAGATGAGATTCCGAGGGTCTGGAACCTGTTCTATACACTGATAGGCAAGTGTTTCGATGCTAATGCCGCCAATATAATCCACAGAGTCGAGTAAGGACAGTACTTGTCGAGTTGAGTCATGGATGCTAGCAGCGGTATTGCTAGACGAGCGAACCAACCGCCTGTTCCTGCGATCTAAACTTTCTATGACGTGAATCACCCGCGGATAAGGACGCTTTTCGACAAGACGGCGGAGAATAATGGCATGCCTATCCCACGACTTTGGGAGAAGCAAGCAGGCTGAGCTGGTGGAAAGAAGTTTGACGATCGTATTCTCGAGGAGTTCAAGGACAGGGGAGACCTGGTCTGGCTCGAGCTGATATTGCTACCATGGTTGTAAGCAAAGAAAGACGAGACCAGGCTGGGGGGTTAGATCATACCTTTTCCGCATGCGTGAGCAATGACTCTCCTAGGCGTTTGCCTCTGCGGCGACAGCAGGTCAGGCCGCCCCAATATACGGAAACAAGAAGAAGCCATAGAAATAACCTTTCGGCAGGGCAGGACTCGAGATTCTTGAGCAACCAGTCAAGAAAATGATCCACTTCAAGCAGGTGCTCTTTGTACAGGTGGGTCGCAAGTTGCAGTGCATATGTTATCCTCGGCTTCCATTCCTGCTGGCCTATAGTTGCAATTGTGCTGTCGAGAAACTGTTCCACGGCACTCGTCCAGCCCCTAACCCAAGTTATGGTGCCGGCTTGGCCTTTGCGTTTGTGTGAGCGCATCTCGTTGATACCAACACACTTGGCTAGCCACATGGCTCGAGGAATTGGAATGTTCTTGTTGAGACATTGTTCCAGTAGCCCTTTGCCATTGATGCCATGTGGGATGGTGCGGCTTAGCCTTCGCAAACTCACGGTAGGATTCGCCAAATCGTGCAACCATGTCTCTCGAGTGGATTCTCTGAGCGTAAGCCGTGGCGGCGGCTTAAACGTGTTTGCTGTAGTGAGACGACCACAAGACTGCCGCTTCTCAAGGACCGCAACGAATAGCGTGGACAGCGTTGAGAGCCCAGACTTGTTCTTCAGGTTTGACCACAGCGACGGCCGGGCCGTATTTGTCTCGTTCATGATCTGCGGCTTGTTGCTTATACCAGCCTTCACCAAACTCTCGGACAGCGTATCCTCGGGATGATTACCCGACCATGGGAAGAGGTCAGCAGTTTCTGCAACGCTGGTGTTAGCAATAGTCCTTGAAAGGGCCTTCTCACACTTACTTCCGCCTGGGAACAGCATCGCCGGCGCAGGAGCATCGGTGCCGGGGGCTTTGACCGCCGCCTCACCCTTAACGCCGGTCCCACCGGGTACGATGCGTCGAAGTTGCGAACCATCACCGGGGAGGGAGGCGCCCGGTCTTGGAGGGACTGGCAGGTTTGTTCCCACGCCCACAGGCGGTCCACGGGGTGAGTAGAGGGGTTGCTCCGGGCCATTGCTTGCGAGGGTGCTGAAGAAGAGTTGTGGTTTCCCCCGTGGTGGAGGCCTGTTCTGGTCGCTGGTCGCAGTCTGTATACCTTCGAGGAATCCAGGCTTCGGCCTGGCGAGTCCCACGCCTCGAGTCTTGCTTAGTGTTGCCTCCGCGGACCGCCGCTGCTCCTCGAGGGTGGGATCGATGCAGTCTTGCAGTGGGACATTCTGGGGATTGTTGGATGGCTTCGAGGGCCGGCACCAGACTTGAGCCCGTGCAGGACCTCCACTCCCGCGATACTGGAGAGACTCTTGAATCCCCGGGCCAGGACGAGAAGTCATCGCACCGAGAGCGAATTCATGGTCCTAGGAGAGGCCGGGTCGAGTCGAGCTGGGAGGCAAGGCGCGAGGAGGGCAGGGAAGCAGCAGCAGCGGCATGTGCGGTGGGCGAGAACGTGGTACAGGACAACAGATGCAAATCGAAGTAGAGGGGAGGCGGACAGCGAGGGAGCAGACCGGCGAAGTGAGGGTTGAGTTATCTTACGAATCGGGCACGACGACAGGGAAGGACAGTGCGGATCAGCCGTACGAGCCGATGTGCCAGGTGGGCCAGCTGGGGGCTTCTTCCTTTCCAGCACCCCCCAGAGCCGTGCACTGGAACCACTGATAAAAGGCCGACCGCCGGCGCCATCCAGCAAAACGACTTCCATATTGCCGCCTGCGGGCGTGCATCATGCACGTTAATGGGCAGCAGCCTCGATAGTAGCCAAAGCATCCACAGCAGCAACAATACACCCACAGGCGTCAGGCACCACACCCATCTTTTCTGCTCGCAACGAGAGAGTCTTCACCCCGTTGACTACGGGCAAGCAATGTCCCTGCTGATGTGATTGGTGGCGGCTTCGGCGGCGGCTGGATGCCGCTCTCGCTTCTGTGTGACATTCCCAGTCGTCCATGTCCTCGGAGCTAGAACCCTCTATCTAGCACCACGACAACACCATCTCACACCATACATCGTGACCTCTTACCGTCAACCGCCGTCTAAAGGCCTCTACCGGCATCTCCGCTCCATCCACGGAGCACCTGACTGAGATGGCTTCGAAGAAGGACATGCGTCGGGCGGACCTCAGTATGTTGCACCTTCTTCCCTTCCCACGCTCTCCCAGACCCTTGGATTGCCCTTCTGCTCGCGTCACGTGCCTGCTGACTACTGACCTCCCCACAGTCGTCCCCTATGCCGAGCCGGCGAAGGAGAAGTCGGACGGCGATATAGCGAGTATGCCATCCCCAGCCAGCGAGTGATAGTCCTCTCTGACAGGCTGTCTCCAGGTACCATGGCCAGCACACTGCCAATGGCTGCTGTAAGTTTCGCATCCGGCTGTTGTGTCACACTGCTGATATCGTGTGTTAGATCTTTACTCGGAACAAGTAAGACAGTCCCAAAACGGATAGGGAGGGATTCAATGGGTTGTGCTAACGCTACGGGCTCTGAATAGGATGGTTGGATGGTAAATATCCCAGCTGCATGTTCTCGAACACTTATTCTAACGTCATGATAGGACTTCTGTAGTTTTCGCTATGCAATCGTGGCTCGCTGAGACCCCAGAGCAAAAGCGGACCTCGTCAACGCCGGCATATTTCTCCGTCGGCATGGCCTGTAAGTTGTCCTCCTGAAATTGCCGCACACTTGAACGAAGACTAATGTGGCTTCAGTCATGTCGCTCATTGTTGTAAGTCCAGCCCATGAAACTGATTTGAGAGTACGTGGACTGAGCTCGGTGTCACATAGGGATACATGCCTCTCTTCCTTCCGCCTCCTCAAGTGCGCACTGGAGCGGGATCCGGTACTGAGGCCCCCCCTGCTGCACCCCCGTCATGATCTTTGCAACTGCGGGCAAGGGATGCCAGCGCGGTGTGGAGGGGCGTTTGAATTGGTTCTTGTAAGATAATAGTAAAACGGTCGGCAACTGTAATTGTACTTTCGAATTCGGACCGCGAGCTGCAGGGCGGGTTTGTCAAACGAGAGAGCGTTCATGCGTCCATGCAGAATGCAGATGCAGATCAAAGGCTCTGCCGTCCGGCGGATTTGCACGACAAACACATCACATGCATGGAAGCATGGCGTTTTGTGAGATGAAAAAGCATGCTAGAATGTGATACCAGCCGAGGCGGAGGTCACGCTTTGATGTGTGAGTGATTTAACAGACAGAGACTCTTTCAGGCGAAACTATCACTGTCGACCGGATGGTGCTAGGCATCCGGTGTGCACGGTGAAAATGCCCATTCTTCAAATTTAGAAGAGTGAATGCCTGACATACGTGACTCTGGGGTCCGGCCTGCGAGCACTTCGGAGGATGCAGATTGGTGAAGGGGGTGGCAGGCGCTGCTGTTTTGGTGGCAATGCAAAGTGGCCCGAGCGTATACCAAGCGCTGAGCCTTCGCCGCTTCACGCAGACTCACCCATTCCCCTCCTCACCCTCATAAAGAGCAGCCATCCTACCACTCTCCACTCTCCACTCTCACCACCCACACCAGTCTACCACTCCAGAGTATCGTCAGCGGCGCATCGATCGCATCCTCCCCACTCCTCTTCAACAGACTTACCCCAAGTTTTCGGGACAAACAGCTGTTTATGTCCATCGAGAATCTCAAGACTTTCGGTGAGTCTGAGCCCTCCCCCCAGCCCTCCCCGCACATCACCTGAAACCCGTCATCATGCGACACCACGTCCCGACGGCCGCGACGTTGGATATCTTAGAGTGCTGGTATACAGGTTATTCAATAGAGATTCAAAGAGTCACACTGTCGTCGCTGTCCTCGCTGTCGTCGCCTGTGGCCGTATTTGACCTCGTCCCCGAGCTCAGCTAACTCAGCCTTGCAGACCCCTTCGCCGAGGCCGATGAGGATACTGGCGAAACCAAGCAGTCGCAGAACTACATTCACATACGTATCCAGCGTAAGTACTCGTCCACGGCTTCTCCGATTTCGGAGGGGGGTGGTTGTCTTGTGTTGGGTCTCCCCGCAACGGGCACTCCCGCTAACCATGGATGGTGCAGAACGCAATGGTCGTAAGACGTTGACGACGGTCCAAGGCTTGCCCAAGAAATTCGACCAAAAGAAGATCCTCAAGGTCATCAAGAAGAAGTTCGCTTGCAATGGCACCATCGTGAACGACACGGAGATGGGCGAGGTGATCCAGCTCCAAGGCGACCAACGAAAGGATGTGCAGGAATTCCTCGTCGATAAGAAGGACGGCCTAGGCCTAGACTCTAAGGACATCAAAGTGCGTTGTCCACCACCCCCCTCGGTTGCATCGGCCTTTTAGGGTTGAGGTTTGTTAACGATAAATGTATTCAGGTCCACGGATTCTAGCCACCCCCATCGCCTCACGCCGCGCCCGCCTTCAGTTCCAGTGGGACATTTGCTCTCGCTGGCGTTTCTCCCAAGGACAACCCACTATTGACAATCACAGCCACAATTACAATCCCCTTGGTTTGCCCATCAACTCGAGGAACGGAAGGAAGGGGGGGGCATGAGGATGATACCCTGTTTCACCGGATAGGCGTCTGTCTTACAGCCGGCTAGAAAGTGACAACGTGCTCTACTTCCTTCTGCTTTTGTTACGATTCTTCATGAGTTTAGGAGAGAGGGGTATTTTAGCTATGGTTTGCTCGCCTGCGCCAGCCATACTGATAACGGTGGCACACTCTTTTTCGGTCTTTTTAGTCGTCGATCTGTCGGTCATTCATTTACCTAATAGCAATGGAATTGTTATGGGATTTGAGTCATGGAACTGCTGTGAATATGTTGTCTTGAATGCCTTACTGTGAATGTGCCATAACCGCAAAGCCCAACGACGGGAGGTGTAGTTCTTTTCCATACATATACCTGTACAGTATACACTCTCAGAATCGGCGTAGTTGGAGGCCCCAAGTCCTATCTTTCACAATAATTCTACATTGCACCGCCGTCCCCTCACACCCTCCATCTTCTGTTCCCTCCAACTAACGTATCTCACTCTGCCCACTCCCTTCCCCTCCCCTCTACACAGCATCAGGATGCGCCAAGTTAAATTCCTCCATCTTCCGCATAAACTCATCCTCTTCCTTAATAGATTTCAAATCCGTCGGAGTTGCCCAACCCCAAATTTTCCATTCCTCCTCTTTCCCTCGCTTCATCATTCGCTGAAAGACTACGTATTCGTCTACGTCTTTTTCTATGCGCGAGATGCTAGGGCCGCCGTCGCCTTCGACTTCTTCCCGGGGTTTTGGGCCGGAGGGCGTCCAGAGGACGTCGGCATCGACAGGGTTTATGTTTGCGGGGCGGGCTAGGGATTGAAGGGGGTTGTATTTCTGCTTTCCCCTCGATGTCGGCACCACCTTAGGTTTATCATACGTGGTAATCAACTGCCTAGTTCGAAACCGTATAGTAATCTGACGCATAGCGCTTTCCTCGAAACCGCGCTGAGAGAATTTGTACGATCGATTGGAGACGATGACGGGGCTACGGTGGTGCTTGAGGAGCCGCCATGTTATTGTTTGGGTCGCGGGACGCGCGGCGAGGTGCGTTATGAGGGGCTTCATGATGGAGGAGAGGCAGATTTCCTGGAGGGCTTTTTCGTCTTTGCTGATGAGACGGGGCTGTTAGATTGGGTCTTAGGATGGGGCTGGGGGTGGGTGATTAAGTGGGAGGGGTGGTTGAGAAGGAGGGAAGAGACGAGGGAATTGGAGGGGAAAGGCAGAGAGGGAGTATATAAAGGAATTGGACATGAACACATACTCGGCAAACCTCTTCCACATCTCCTCATACGCCACCTTCGCATCCGCCAAAGCCGACTTCCGACTCAGCTTCGGCCTGCCCTTGCCCTTCCTGACCCGAAATTTGTATACAAAGCGCCTGTATCATCCACATTCGCAATCAGCTTCTATGCATCTGCCCAAGCAAGCCAAGGGGAACAACCCCCGCCTGTTGCTATTGCACACGGACGGACAACCTCGACAATTGCGGGGGAACATGAGAGGGATACGGGGGGTTCAACATACGAGAACAAATCTGTAATTCGCGCCTTGAGCCACCGCCATTCATAGTAAGCCCTATTTTTTGGTTCCGTGAATGGGTTCGGTAATTCGCGCCATGAAGGACGGATGATTGTACCTAATCAAACAATTCCAAAAAATCAGCAAAATCCACAATCATAAATACTAAATTGTATCCCTCATTAACACCACCTCACCGAGGAGGTGCTCAATTGACCTTGTACTTGCCCTTATACTTAACCTCATCCTCCAACACTTCGCTTTCCCCGCCTATACTACCCATACATCCATCGATAAACGAAATCTCATCCAACATACCAGGTAACAACCCATGTTCATCGGGCATAAAATCCGGATTATCAATCTGCTCCTGGATCGCTGACGCCGGCGCCATACTTTTTTGATTCTTTGTCGCCGCGCGGATTTGGGAGGGGTCCATAAGGGGCTTTGTTTTCTGGAACGCGGGCGTGGATGAGATGTTACGGTAAAGGTGGGTTGGGATTGTGGGGGGGCGCCGTGCGCGTGAGTGGACTGGCTGAGGGAAGAAAATGCATTGGCGGGTGGAAGGACCAGGAGGTCTGCGGAGGACACGGAGGGGGAGGTGGGTTGACATTGTGGGTGTGTGGTGATGGTGGTGGTGGTGACGGGTGGTTGGAGGGTTTGGAAAAGTTGACCTGGGCCGATGGAGCGCCGGCGAAATCTCAATCTCCAGGACTAGAGGGCAAGTTACGCCGCCACGTGCATCTTTCCCCTTCAAATGTCTTCATGTCGTTGCATTCAATTTTGTTGAGTTGGTTTCATCAAGAGATACCTATATGCTGCTATATTTCAAATGTACACCAGAGGGTCGAGTTCATCCAATATCCATCCCAAGAAACTCAACCCCCGTTTCCCATTGGCTTCCCTACAGTACACCTCAGCACCCCAGCCGTGTAGCCTCCAATAAAACTTTAATACAGCGTCATGACGTTCCATAGCACCATTCAACTATCGTACACCACACGAAAAGAGAAGAGTTTTGAGCCGGGACTACAGAACCGAACCAGCCAACGAACCTAAGCGCCCCGTGCTAATCCCAATCCCTCTAGCAATAATATTGATACAGAACAGCCTTCCGAATGGGAAAGGAGAAAGTAGAAAGGAAGTAGAAAGGAGGTAGGATTACATGTTGCTGCTTGTTCCAAGCAGCTTCAACACTCCCTCGTAAGTTCCGAACATGATAGCAGCGCTAGGGACGACTCGAAGCATATGTGGAACAAGGCCGCCGTAGAGAGCTACCATACCTTCTTCTTTGAAGATTAGCCGGAAGCATTGGGCTAGGCTAGTATATTTGAGGTGTCCATTTTCCATGGGGGCTTGTCGTAAGCGTGTACGGACGACCTGGAGAGAAGTGTTAGCACCATTCTCCAGGAGCTAAAAAAAAAAAGCTGGAGAATTGATGGGACGTACCTCATGCGGATACGTTAGCAAAGCCGCAATAAACTTCGCCGATCCCGCCGCCGTAATCTTCCCAGTCCACGCAATTGTCTGGTCCCAGACGGTTGGCGCTCGCCCACTATGCACCCTTCTTTCCTCCCGGTTCGCCAGAGCCAGCTTCATCTGTTCATACAACATCCACTGTAACGTACTCTCCGTAACGCCCAGATAACTTGCAGTCAACCCCCGATACAACCCCGGGATCCCTTCATTCCTCAACGTCTGCATGGTGCAGTCCAACGCATTCTTATACTGCCGACTCCGGCCATCCGCATGAATACTTTTGTCCAGCTGCAACCGCGTCTTGACCAGCCAGACCGGATTCGTCGCTGTCCCGGTCACCACTCCCGCACACGCAGCCGCGCATAAATGCACCCAGGCCGCTTCATTCCCGCCATTAAAGTAGTTGCTAATTATCCTCTTCCCATTTCCGTACGTATAGAAGTTTATGGCCCGCGCGGGCACCACACCAATCAGATTCGGACCGAGGCCTTTGAAGAGCGCTCTCCAGCCCTCCGCTTTCGGAACCTGCCATAATATCTCGCCGGTTTCGCGAATGTGGAGGAACGAGCTGCGGGCTAGGGACATCGTTTCGATGGGTGGGAGACCGCGAGCAGCGCGGGCCGCGACGAGGTGTTGTTGGTAGTAGGTTGATTGAAGGCGGGTCTTAAGGACGTCGAGCGGGGCGGTGAGGGTTGCGGAGGCCATACCACCTAGACTAGATAATTGTCAATAAATTTATCGACCACAGTCGCCAGAGTTGGCTAGAAAGATGGGGCTTCGTACCCTCCAGCGATGAAATGCGCCCATGACTTTTCAAACGGCGAGCCACCCGCTGCTACCGGGGCACCATCGGACTTATTCTGCGATAACACATTCCCAATTCCTCGCGGCTGTGTCGGAAGGGTCTGCTTGAATTGTGTGCTGTCTTCTCGAAAATTTCGAGGATGCGCGGCGTGTTCCAATGTCATGTATGGAAAGAGCAGAGGGCAGACGTCAGGGCGAGGGTAGGGGTTTCCGAGAGTATTGTAGAAAAATTAGATGTGTTCAAGAGGAATGCAAACGTAGAAAATGCTCTGGAATGTGTGGAGACAGGTCTGAAGAGATCGACAGTTCGAACTCATCATCGAGAAATTTGGGATGGAACCCAACACAGTTTAGCGTCTGCAACCCGCAAGGAGAAAGCCGAGGGTGTTCAGCCTTTCGTCATATCGGAACATTTTTCACCCTCTTCTGTCTTTCAGTCTGTGGATCCGTACTCCGCCAAGGATCATGATTGTTATCATAAAACCTTTGACAAACACTTAAAGATTGACGGGAAAAGCAACGACTACTTGAATCAACCGACGCCACCAGGCCAGCCATTATCATAGTACACCCACACTTCCACTTGGGTTTCGCCCTACTCCTTTAGAAGTGCCCGCCCTGTGTAGCATTTGAATATTTCATCCACCCATGAGAGCTTTCGCCTTGTTCGGTTGTTACATCACTCTCCTAAGAGGCTTCCGTAACGGAAGTAACGGTGGAGCCAAGGCTGTGTTCAGCCCGATAAGATACTCCAGCACTGCGTCGCTATCGTTGGTGTTTCAGCGATGATTTTAGGTGCCTTCCAGGGCCTCTTTCCTGTGGGTCTTTTATTCAACAAGGTTTCCTGTGTTGACGTATCCGATCCGTGGAAGATAGTCGGTCGGGAATCTTTCATTCAACGAGACTCGAGACTCCTAGCTTAAGGGCTCAATTATATTCAGTTCATCTAAGATCTTTCTCGGAAGCTTGCATCGACCACCAGCGCCGTGACCTATCTGTCACTCGCTCACTCGTCCCTTCGCTCTTTTGCCCAGTCTCGTACAGTAGCTCCTTTCGGGGGGCTTCTAGACCGCTTGCCATCGCAAAGGCTTTAAGCTGAGAAATGTAGTACTCAGGGCGGCCTCCGGGACTAAGCAGCTGCAAAGGATGCCGGTGTACATCCAAGGCTCGCCACCGTGACAAATTTAGGTATTGCACAGGCATTGTTGCCGTGAACTATTTTGTCTTTTGTCTTTTGTCTTGCCCGTATAGCTGTAGACTTTACATGCATCTTGCCCCTGATGCACCATAACACGCTTGTCGTCTAGTGTGCTGTCTGTTGGCGATTTGATATTTGTGAATGGGATTCCTCATGAACGGGATTTAGCACTACAAAGTGGCCCAAAGAATAGGAATCACGAATTCTGACACTTGTTCTTCTTTAGAAGCTTCTGGGTCTGCTTGTACAAATCCTTCATGTACTTTTTCAGTAAACGTCGACGGTAATATAGAAGGTCGAGGCTACACTAATCTTTTGTAGATTCTCCGCTCGCCATTTGGTGTTGCTGGTACGCAGCTATCCAATGACCGTAAACAAGAGGATAACACTGCAGTCAGGTGCGAAAACCCGCAGACGAGTCTAGCAACCTTGGAAAAAGTAAGTCGTGCCTAGAGTGCTTTCTCCACTCAATGTGTTAATTTCACCTGGCGTGAATGCGCGTCCAGTAGCTAAGCTATATCTATGCAGTGCGCGAGAGAAGGCCGAGGCTGTCCCGCGTTTCGTCATATCGCAACATTACTACCGCAGCAATATCCTCCCTCTCGACAATTTTCCCCCAATGCATCCATCAGCCAGATGTCTATCTCCAGGCTTCCTCAAGCGGAGTCTGGACGAATTCAAACGACTTTCCAATTTCGGTAAATTCTCCTCACCTGCCGCCGCGTTCAATGCCCGTCCAACCTTCCTGAATCCGCCATCACATCGCATCGCATTGAATCGAATGAAGCCGTCTAGATGCCAAACTAACATATACACCACCTTCAGCACTCAACCTTGAAGGCCTTAAAGTCCCAACCAAAGCCTACCCCCTCATTCTATTCGACTCCCCCGACTCCCTCACAGCATGCAAGCGCATGTCCGACAAAGACATCGGCGGCTTCTCGACCGCAAACCTCGACTTCCATCCCTCCACGCCCACCAGTCCCCCGCACGCGCGCTTCTACGGTAACATATCCATCGAGCTGCCCCGTGACCAACCTCACGTCCAACGAACCGGGTATGCCGCCTGGCGAACCCTCGACCGCGGATACACCCTCTTCGGAAAGTCGTTATGGGACGTCGATCCGTATGTCTACCTCGCCATCCACTTCAAATCCGACGGTCGAAAATACTTTATCAACGTGCAAACTGAATCAATTGTACCGACCGACATCCACCAACACCGACTGTATTCCAAAACCCCGGGGGAGTGGGAAACGATTCTGATCAAGTGGAGTGAATTTGTGCGGACGAACCACGGGCAGGTTGTTGAGCCGCAGCGCGAGATGTTGACGCAAAAGGTGAGGACAGTGGGGATTGGATTGATTGATCGTGTACCGGGGCCGTATGATTTGAGTATTAGTAAGATGTGGGCGACGAGTGCGGGGAGTGGGGATGAGATTTTGAGAGAGATTGAGGGGCCGATTACGGGATTGCCTATGAGGTCGAGTAGACAGGGTGCTTTTAAGAACTTGACACTGGAGAAGAAAGAACCGCCTGAAAAAGTTGTAGTCTAAGAAACCGTTATTGTCAAGCATATGGAGTGGCTGGCGTTTGGGCACTGGGGGCTTCGAATCGATTCAGCAGGAGTGTCTGGCAGGCATCGCCATCTCATTATGTGGCGTAAAATACGTTCGATAGCTGTACGTTCAACCATCCCGCTTCCTGTAGGAGATTGCTACAGAGTCACGTTCTCTCTCAATCACCCAGACCTATTTCCCATCCACAATCCTCTTCCTCCCCTCCTCCCAAACTCGGTTATGATTCTGCGCCCATTCCTCCGCCAACGTCTCATCACCTCTCAACTTTGCCAACAGTGCCTTCTTCATCAACTGCTCGCACTCGCCGTTAGTGTCTTCGACTCGTTTATAACCTAGTATTCCGTTTGTCAGTCACCATTCCGGAGAGCATGATGAATTACGGCAGGCTCGTGCGCGGGTTTGCTTGAGCAGGTTCTTGGATGGGTTGGTAAGGAGGGAAGACAACTTACACTCCCGAGCCCTGTCAATGAATAGCTCAGCGCGACTCACTTTTGCGGCGAGCGAGCGAGCGCCGTTGGAGGAAGTGGGGTCATCGAGGCCTGCAAGGCCGATGAATGAGTCCCCAAGGGAGGAGTAAAGTGAGGCAATGAGGGCCTTATCAGCGTTTTCTAATGCCTAGACCTCGTCAGCATATGCATTGCCTTTCAGTGCTAAGGGGATGAGCTGTGGAGTGTTCCAAGAACCCCCAAAGATAGGGGAATGTGGTAAAACCGGAGGAAGAGAAGAGAACGAACCTGTGGAATCACAGCATGCAACAACTTCCCCGATCCCTCATACTCCCCCAAGGCATTCAAAATACAGCATAGGACCCCAACAGCCATCCACAAACTCGGCATCAATCTCGCCTTAAACGCGACGCTAGCTGCCCTCAACGCAACGCTAAATCCTCGCTCCGGCTTGCCCACTTTGCAGAAGAGGACTCCCTTCGCCAGAAGCATAGCGGTGCGCTGAAGTATGTCAGCATTTTCTTCTTTTAAAGATGAGGCTTGGTCTTCGATGGCGTTGAAAGCCTCGGAGTATAAGCCTCGTGAAATGAGGTAGTCGATTCGGGATTCGCATAAGAGGAAGGAGAGTTCGGGGTCAGTGGATGAGTCGGGTTTGAGGGAAGAGAGGAGATGCTCGCATGCTGTCCAGTCGGTGCTAGATTGTTCATCAGCTACAGGGTCAAGAAGACGGTGAGGATTCAATGGCGCAACTTGCCGTCGGATGGCTCTCTTCAGGTTGATGATGCCGGTGCAGTGGTATATGTACTGGTGGAATTTGAGGGAGCGATGATCCGAAGAATCGATATTTTCGAGGAGGTCGAGACCCTCATCGTAGCAGCCAGTTTGGACAGCCTTTCGAAGTGTTAATAAATCCGCGCTAGAGCTAGTCGGTGGGAACTTACAGCAAAAGCACAGCGGCAGATTGCACGTATCTTCTCATCGATAGGAGAAGTTTGTCTGTAGCAATGAAGGAGAAGTTCACAATACACACTCGAAAGATGCGTCAACCCTAATCGCGAATAAAGGGTGGAGTGTAGAAGCATTGAACCACCGTTGTTGTTGACGTTCTCCCTGATGTTTAGATGCGATGCCTGGTACATGTACTCGAGGGCACGGGGGATAGATTCGCCCTCAGAGGTTTCAGTATACTCCAGGATCTCTTTGAAGATAGAAGGGGAGTTGTGGCTCACCGTAGACAGGCTCAGTTTGGCCTCATTCAGAAGAGTAGCACTCAGGAGATTGTGCATCTTTGTCTCCCTTGCCTTCGCCTTCAGAAAGATCAGCCCATCGCGCTCCGAACCTAACATGCCCATATAACCAGCTCCTTTCATCTGTCTTGGATACGCCTTGCTCATATGGTTCAGCCAGCTGAGACTGAAGTTCAAACACGTCATGTCTTGGTTCTCTCTTGCAGTTGCAATCGTTTCATTGATTGCCGCAATAGCTTCACCGAAGCAGCCGAAATCTGCTTGTAATATCGCCATATGCAGCAACGCATATTGATAGTGCACCTTCTCCCGCGTCTGCATAGCGTAGTCATAGTAGCGATGCAGGCTATCGAAGGCAGAAGTATAGTCCCCAGCTTTCCAGGCATCGAAGAACTTCACCAGGTGTGATTGACGGAGGACGGCTCCGAACGGGCCGAGCATGTTTTGGAGGCGTTTTTTCATGTCTTCTGGGACTCGGCATCCAAGGCCTTGAGTCGTCAGCGATATTCCAAACATTATGAGAACAAACCTACGTTGAAGTTGATCCAGCTGAAACTCCAACAAGCGGTTTAAATCGTCTATGCTGAGGTTTTCCTCCGTCGAGTCTTCATCCTCCAGGTGGCCATATGCAACTTCATACAATGGGTCGCCTGGCCCCAACTCCATATCTACAGCATTAATATCAATCCCAGATGAGGCGAGTCCAGCAATCCGTTTTGTCCACTGGGCCGTAGGAGCTCGGTACATGATGAAGGCAGACCAAAGCTTGATGGAATCGTCGAATTGCAATCTGGTAAACTCCAGTCGCGCTCTTCTGACGATTGTTCCTAATGGTGAGGATTTTGATAGAACGATGTGATCTGAAAGATCTTCTTCGTCTCCAGCCCCTCCATTCTGTTCACTGTCTTCTCGTGTTCTTGCAAGAAGACAGCCAAGGTGGTTGAATAGGTTATGAAGCGCATCGAATGAATTCAACTCCCACATCTGCTTGAGAAACACGTCCAATAGGGTGCGGCCCGGCATACTAGATGGCTGTCCTTGGAGAACATCTTCGAATGCTCGGATCGAGATTGAGTAATCTTGGTATCCCGAAGTATGACGGGCACGTGCGTGCGAAGGGAGTGGGGGAATGCTATGTGAGAGAATGAATGAAAGGATGGGTATTGTAGCGCTTGAAGGGAGAACGGAATTGCAGTAAAGCTTTACCAAAACAAGAAGGCTAATCTTCTGCGGAGTGAGGTACCTTGAACTTGCCATGGTGAAGCTTCAAAAAGACCAGATTATGCCAAGAAAATGGTCGCAAATGGTTGAATCTTTGTGCCTAGGCGAAATTTAATACAGAATGTTTCGTCCGGCGGAAAAGCCAGGCTGGCAAAGCATTTCGTAAGGTTGGCGATTGAACACATCCATGGCGACGGTGAGTAAAAACGGTCTAGGCGTTACGATTACATAAGCGTCCTCCACATCGAAGCATCCTGATTCTGATAGGCAACTTCTTTTTAGGGTACAGTAATGCAATCAGGAAAGCATGTAGCTATTCCAAGAGATGTTTCCTCGCCCTGTTCACCTTTTCACACCGCCTCGGAGCCGGAGAAACTAATAGTCTAGAGAGTCTGAGCACTTCTGGATGTGCTACGTACCGCCCGCGCCACAACACACCTCCAGCAACCTTACGATGGCGGAGATTAACTAAGATGGTGGCACGAATGGCTCCAGTTTTTCCTGAAGATTTAGGGGTGGGGAAACCGGATGGGAGAGCTCCTCCACGGCCGTTTTCATACTGCTCCACCACCAGTCACTAACGACACAAGGGAATGCACACACAACTCAGGGAAAGACCTCGGATGTTCGAAAATTCGGCCTCAATCAAGGCTACGGCGTTACGGAAAAGTGTACGTGATATATCTGAGGAACTCACAGTCTCAAAATCAATTTTTTGCGCTTCAATCGAGGAGGGGACCCAAAGTCAACCAATCAAATGAACGATACTAGCTCGGGCGCCGTCAAACTGCCCATTTGAGCTCATCGGGCGGCGTAGGCAGGAATGATTATGGCTGCTAGAAGTCGCCCATGGATGCCATTAATTTCATGGGGCTTCTCACACCAGAATACTTCGTTCAGTGGTGTGCAAACCTAGGCTCAAGCGCAAGCGTTTCGATGAGGTCAATAAGATAATCCAGCTTGGCAAGAGCCTTCCTCCGCGGCTCAGGAGCGACTCCTACAATCTTAATTGCAGGCAGGGGCGGGACCAGCTTGCGCAGCATACCGGGCGCCGAGCTGTTGCATCTAGTCAACTTCAGGATCGACAAATAAAGCACGAGTTTTCGTTCTGTCCAAATTTCACTTAAGCCATGCAGCTCTTCTTTACCTTCCCTTGGTGTGAGAATATGCTACCCCACTACGATAAGTCGCCAGCGTTGATTGTGCGTTCGAAAGCAATCGCTTTAATGGGCGCCTTCTAGAGTGCATGGGGGTGACGGAGCTCAACATTACTTTTCCTTGCGAATTAGTCTCCATGCCAGATGAAAGTACGGAGAATTGTGAGTGGGCTTTGCTGTGTTTCAATATCCCGACCTTATAAACAATCCTCATAATTGGTAGCCTGGAGAATACTTTTCGACTAGTACCAACTCGTGTATTTCTTGAGTGGAAAGTCCCTCTACCTAGCACTACGCGAAAACAGTACTCGCAAAAGGTGCATGATCTAGGATGGAAGATCAACAATAGCGAAGAGGGCAAGGAGAGGATTACTAGGGTTATAGGAGACTTTGGTGAGGCGCTCCACACAGGGCTTCCAACGGGCCGTACTACGGTCTGTACAAAGTGAACCGTAACGGTCACGTGTTCAGTACGAACGTACCGAGTTTGTGAGCTGTACAGTACGATTAATGATGCCCTAGGTACAGTACGTAGTACAGATTGTATTACCCTTTTAGGAAGTTTGTATAGGGGTTCTGGAGGGGTAGGAGGGCTCTGGCGAGCAGGAGGCCTGCAGGCGCTTAAATCTCTTTCTAAGGGGTTTAATCTATCTATCTGCAGTCTGTTGTCTTAAAAATGCCTATTACAGACTATTTTCTATTGCAGAGTTATCTATCCACGCCTCTTGCCGCCTTACAGGCCTTATCTAGTCCTATCTGCTCTTGTTACTAGGGAGAACTAGTTATTTTATAGTTAATTAGACCTTAATCTTGCGTCTCTAGAGACCTATAGTCTTAGCTGTTTTAACTAGAGTACAGTGTACTTTAATTAAATTATACTACTTGTACAGATTACGTGAGCTGTAACAGTTACAATACGTACACCTACCTCTCCTCCTCCCTGTTGTACGAACGTACACAAAATCTCACCTGTACAGGCCTCAAAATCGCCCAATCGTACAGTACTACGCCTCGTTGGAAGCCCTGGCTCCACAGTAGCAACTCAATTGAGTTTCGTGAGAGGGGCAACCACTCAAAGGTTAGTACGACAATCAGCGGGAACTAGAAGATTACCTGGAGAGCAACTTCCTTTCGTCCCGAGAACACCTCATCAACTACTAGTGCAGTGAAGTTCTCAATTACGGCGTACGCGTCTCCACAAACGTCAAGGGCAATCCACCGTTCTATATCAAAGCCGTTGTAGTCGGCTACGGGAGAGAGGTCCCGAGAAGTGGTTGGGGCTATCTTACTCCCAGTTTGTGGAGTACAAGACTAGCAGCAGGAAGGACCTGGGGGGCTACGACAAGAGTAATTGACTGGTTCTAGATGTCTAAGAGTTTGTTAAGTGTACCTTGACATAGTCAGGCTACATTGCTTTCTATTCCCATCTGATTCAGCGTGTGCGAAGAGTTATAAATTCCTAGACTATTCTATATGAATTTGAGTAATTCGTAAAAGTTATTCAACCTATTTCCTCTCGGTAATCATTCTAAAGGGGTGGCAGCAAGCACCAACAAAAGCGACGTGTCATAGAAAACAGCCACCTTCCGAGGGCATCTCTTTAGATGGTCGCCCAGTAGTTAGATGAGTGCAACTGTGTTCGGCGTCCTTCTGCATATATTGCTTACCTATTCACTGCCATCGCAAGTCATATCTCTACAGTTATTTCAAGTGGATTCAACGGCCCCTCTCCCCCCCTGCATTCGTCCAGTTTCTTGCAGCAGTAGCCTTCCTTGAAAGCGCATACATGTTACGCACAGATTCCCAATCAGTCGTCAATTTTTCCGACGGCTATCCATGATCAGGAACGCTCCGCAGAAGACAATATTTACTCGATCCAACCCTGTCGTCATAACCTTAGGATTATATTCCGCGGCACCAAACAAAGAACTCTTCCTTCAACCTAACCTATATCATACAGCATTCATCGACCTTCAAACAGCTAAATCTACTTATAGCCTAGTGCTTCAACCATTCCGGCCGTACCGACTCATCTGATAGCCCTACGCTAGGACTGTTGACGTAGAAAACGGTTGACCGTACATCACTCTCCTAGCGATAGGTACTGCGGGTTTAGTCCAAGTGGGCACCATCGCGGATAATGATTAGAAGCTCATGAAAAGGGCTAAAGAATCAGGAGGCAATACCTGAAATACACATAGCTTTCTTGCTGAATACTACCTAGTATAGGAAGCCCGTGAAGGCAGAGAAAATTAGAAGAGATCCCGAGTTAGTTGCCTCATCTGTTCAGCGAACTCTAAAGAGTAGAACATCGATTTGTGCGGATTGGAGATTTTCCGAAATCCCGAATCCATTGGTTTATTCTGAAAAGGCCTCCGTTTTCGGGGGGGAAACCCCGCAAGATATGAGGTCCCTCAGCCAACCCGACATGGTTTAGAGGGGAATCTGATATTCCGGTGGCTTTCTACCCTTGCAGAAACCAAGCCCCCCTGCTTCTTATCACGTGTAATTTCTGCGGATCATCCCACAAGCTCGGTTTTGTATTGTGATATTTTCGGTATATTCTTACCCCGAAATTCACAGGTTGGATTTCGTATTCCATCCGGTATATCATCGACCCAGCGACGTGTAGAAACCACGAACGAAGAACACCAAATTGAACCCCTATTTCAACGCTCTTTGTAGCCCACACAATTTAGCCCTAAGACCACCCTTCAACATGTCCACCCTCTCATCTCATTCCCTCAAAGCCTCCTCCATTCACACCACCATCCATCTCCTCACAACCAATCTCGTGAACATCAAAGACCAAACCGGAGAGTTTCTACTCAAGCTTCCCGACGGTCGTATAATTGACACCAAAGGCTGGAACGACTGGGAATGGACCCACGGCATCGGCCTCTACGGTCTCTGGAACTACTACACCCTAACTTCTTCCCCCCCTGTCCTCGAAACAATAACATCCTGGTTCGACACGCAGCTCGCAAAAGGCACGACTAAGAATATCAATACCATGGCTGTGTTCCTGACCCTAGCGTATTTGTATGAGGAATCTGGGAACAGGACGTATTTGCCGTGGTTGGATACTTGGGCGGAATGGCTGATGCATGGGTTGCCGAGGACGAAGTTTGGAGGGTTTCAGCACGAGACGTATAACAGTTTCAATAAGGATGAGCTGTGGGACGACACGCTTATGATGTCTGCGTTACCGCTTGCGAAGATTGGGTTGGTGTTGAAGAGACCCGAATATGTGGACGAGGCGAAAAGGCAGTTTTTGCTACATTGTCAGTATCTATTTGACACTTCCACGGGACTATTCTTCCACGGCTGGAAATTTGGAGACGGGGAATCAGAATCCAACGACGAGCAGGGACGTTTGGGTCATAACTTCGCGCGAGCGAGATGGGCGAGGGGGAATTCCTGGCTCACGATTGCGATCCCAGATTTCGTTGAACTGCTAGACCTCTCGCCAACGGATCCAACGCGAGTGTTCCTACTCGGCCTTCTCGATGCACAATGCGCAGCCCTCAAGAACCTTCAATGTGAAAATGGCATGTGGCGCACGCTCCTTGACATTCCCGCCAGCGCAGGGAGTTACGAAGAAGCGTCTGCGACCGCGGGCTTCGCCTACGGGATGCTTAAAGCCGTGCGAAAGAGATATATCGGACCGGAGTATCTGGACTGCGCTGTTAAGGCAGTGAAAGCAGTGATTGGGAGGGTTAGTAAGGATGGGGAGTTGCAGGATGTTAGTTTTGGGACGGCTATGGGGCGTGATTTGCAACATTATATGGATATTAAGGTTACGAGTATGCCGTATGGACAGGCGATGGCGATTATGGCTTTGGGGGAGTTTCTGAGGACGTTTATATAGGGGGAAGTACCAAGGCGACAGATAGAGGGGAAGGAGGTGAAAATATGGGATCGTCATTGTAGAACAGCTAGCCATATTTACAATTAGAAATGCATATGACCAAGGGTCTTCATATATGAGTAGTGATGCAACCGAACATCAACGCTGCACATAAACCCATTAGCCAAATATCTAAATATACATAGGTAGAGCAACTCACATACGCTTAAAATTCGAGAGGATTATTAAGCCCCCTAAGCTTCTTATTCTTGCAAACGTACGATCCAGCTGTGACCTTCGTTCCTCCACTGTAAACCTCTGGGCCTGGAACAACGTACGAGGATACCGCGGCATGGATATTGACCTTGATTCCGGGGTCGGTGGCCTTGTATGCTCCCGGGAACTTGACAGTCGCCGGGCTGGCGCTTCCACCACCAGAGACGGTGAGTTGGTCTACGAAACTGTCAGCATGTTCCCCCATCCCAAATGGATACATAACAAATCCCGGACTCACAACAGCTCATGTAAAATTGAGCGCCGTTTGCCTGGCCAGCGGTGTGCAGCGCAATGACTTCGGCTCTGAGTAGATAATCGCCAGCCGGGATATCACTAGGAATCTTGACATCCATCTTTCCACAGCAGGCGTTCAGATCCTTGACACCCCAAAGATCGTTATCGGCAGCGCCCTTACTTGCTGCAGTCCAACCATCCTCGAAGATTTTGAACCATCCAGTAGACCCGTCTGCGGTTGCAGAATCGGAGACTTTCGTCATGTAAACCATAACAGGGCCGTAGTGGGCGCCACCGATGGCTTCGTTCTTGCATGAACGATCATTAGGTTGCTTCAATACTTCTCTGTTAGAACTTTGTACTAGAGGAAGAGTGAATGGAGATGAAGGGGGAAGGGAGGACGGACCTGGTGCATCTCAACTGTCACAGTATCCCCCGCAGCTACTGCACACTTCCCCGACACACCCTTTGTGCCGCCGACATTGCAACGAATATCGTTACCCGCCACGTTTGTCACGGGTGTGTTTGAACCCGTTCCACCAGGCATTCGAACACATGTTGTTCCCTTATCTACACCGTTGACCCAAAGCTCTTGCCAGATGGCATGGCTGGCAGCTTGCTGGACGGCAAGCGCCGAAGCAAGAAGAAATAACTTCATGGCTGGAGAACGACGACAGTGCAAATGGGAGAAGAGCGAAGGTGAAGGCGAAGATGACGGGGCGGACAAGAACAAGGACAGAACTAGAAGGTCTGACCGAGACGTCCAGTATTATACTCTCCATCCCACAGCCATTTCGTCATGTGGCCTTCCCAAGTTCCTCATATGTCAGGCGGCGTTATATTACATCTCATATAAACGCCCTCGCTTTCAAGTAAACGCATCTATCCTAGGCTCTCCGCATTGCGCTCCCCCAGAAACGATGCATGAACTAGGACGCCACCGGCAGTCGAGTGCATCCGAGAAATTGCGCAAATTGAGCGGGATTCTGGGTTTGGTGAGTCGGTAGGACAAGAGAAGCTTTTCGACGAAGGAACTTAGATGAAACGTAATCTAACCGGGAGAACGGAGGTAAGAGCCGGAACACAATGAGCATTGCCCACGTAAAAAATGCCAGATTGGTGGAGGGTTACAAATATCGCTGGCTAGAATCTGGGGACAGTGTTCGGAGGCGACAGAGGAGATGTGGAGGGTGTGTGATGCGGGGTGCAGTTACGAGGGTGGTGCTGAGCCGCGATCGATGGGAGAAGATGATGACGCGAACACGTGAAGCGCAAACACCTTCAGAAACATGCCTAGGTTTGTGAGGCCTATGAGAGCCGCGAAGAAACTCTTCGTTTATGGTCTGTGAGTGAAATGGATGGCTCTCTACCTGGGACTCGGTCAGAAGAAAATTACAACAGTTAAAGATAAATAAGCCATTTGAAACATAGGTGGAGGGTAGGGGTGGTATATAGTAGAACAAGCATTACATTTCAATAGGATTGGTCTCAGTGTTCTGGAGACTCATTGTTTCGTAAAGGTGCCAACTTCTAGAGTCATATCAAGAAACCCAGACGAAATAGATTTGAAGGACAGGGGTGGCAGAGTAGCATGGAGATAGAATACCCTCGCAAATCTGGAATCCGGATGCTATATTTTGATTCAGAAAGCTGGATTTCATTGCGCCTTAATAATGTACGCACCTCAAGGGGTAGCCCTGATGCTAAGCCCGCTTGGCAGCCTACAACCAAGTCGAGTCGTGCCTCGCCGTGTTTATAGCTTGGAGAATCCACTAGAATCCATCAACAAGCTAGGAGATAATTCACCCCCTCCTAAGCATTCCATAGCGCGAGCCTGGGTGCGGAACGTTTGGCCTGGCCTGGCCGTGCAAGTATATATGCCACGGCTTCCAGGCATAATCGTAGAAGCTCGTCAACTCGAAGCGCCATCGCATCTCATTTGTGGCAATCCCCTTGTCACAGTCCATGCAGGACCACCGTCCTAGGAGCGTTGGGTGCCGATTGAGCGCCTCTCTGTGGAGAACGTTGAGGAGCACCACCTTTCTCACGTTCTTGTAGTACCATATGGATGTCAAGACCATATTGAGCTCCCGCACCCTGTGCTCTCGAGTGGTTGCACTTGTATCCGGCAGGTCGAGGATGATTGTTAGTGAGTCAAGGCGGAGGGCAGGGTATTTGATGTGATCGAAATGGCACCGGAATGGCTGGAGGGATTCATAGAGACCAGCAGCAGACGTGTTGATAGACACATGGCGAATGTGGGCAATCTGTGTGGGCTCAAGAACGAGCAGACGGCGCTGGCAGGTGAGGGAGGCGCGGGGGAGCCAATTGATGTTGTGTGTAGTGTGGGCAAAAGCAAGAAGCTTCGCTTCGACGTACAGCTGGCGGCAGGTGAGGAGGGGCTCGAGGTTCAGCGACGACCTCGGCGGAGCAAGAACGTGCTCGGGGGGAGAGCCGAAGACAAACTCATAAATCAAAAGACGAAGCTCTGGTGGGATCATGAACAAGGGTGAAGGAGCAAGAGTAGGGACGAAAGGCTGGAGGTGAGCATCCATACTGCCGCATTAACAGGTTGCGAGTATGCAAGGCTTCATGAAGCTACAAAAGCAGAGTCATGATGGGGGGTCTTGGGGGGGACCGCTCAATGTCATTGGCATGGTGCAACTGCTAATGGGGTCTCTGAGGAGGCTGCGGGGCGGGTGATTGCACTCCAGCGCTCCTTGGACGTATGGTTGAGGGCAGAGCAAGGCCGCCCTTCACTGCTACTAAGGGCTTGGTGGTGAGGCTGAGGCGGTTGCTGGGGAAAGAGCAGTTTGCGCAGACCGCAGGGCGGTGAGTGGGGTTTGCCTGGGGCGGAACACACTGATTGGCTGCAGCTCGTTTCGCCGCGATTCTACCGGCACCTTGCTAGAAGATTCTCGAGCTCCAGCAGCGACTATATCAGCACGCCCTCAGATTCTGCTTCCTCCTCCCTCTCCTCATCGAATTGCTTCCTCCCAACCAGTCCACTACAGTCGGCCCCATCTTCGAGTTCTCCCTCTCGAACGCACCTTCCTCCACCCAACCGTCACTCAATTCTTTCTCAAGTCGTAAGTGCCTTCCCCCGCCGACTCGTCCCTGCCTTTGCGTCTGCTGTGAGGCAGCAACACAAAACAAAAAGTCTCTCTTCTGCTCCCACTACACCTCGCACTGTCTTCCTACTTGCCTTACTGCACACTTTCGTGAATCCGTATTGAACGTACATGGGCCGAACTGACTCGGCTCACGCACAGTAATTCTCCCTGTCCGCGCCAAACTCCCTTGCCACTCACTTCCCCCAACCCCCCAAAATGTCGTCTGAGACGTTCGAGTTCCAGGCCGAGATCTCTCAGCTCCTCGGCCTGATCATCAATACTGTCTACTCAAACAAGGAGATCTTCCTACGAGAACTGATTTCCAATGCTTCCGATGCTCTCGACAAGATCCGGTATGAGGCCCTGTCCGACCCCAGCAAGCTCGACAGTGGCAAGGACCTCCGCATCGACATCATCCCCGACAAGGAGGGGAAGACCCTGACTATCCAGGATACCGGTATTGGCATGACCAAGGCTGTAAGTTCCTGATCCCTGTAATAATTAAAGACGGCGACTCATTTTCACGCAGGACCTCATCAACAATCTCGGCACCATTGCTCGGTCAGGTACTAAGCAGTTCATGGAGGCTCTCACCGCTGGTGCCGATATCTCCATGATTGGCCAGTTCGGTGTCGGTTTCTACTCTGCCTACCTTGTGGCTGACCGCGTCTCTGTCGTCTCCAAGCACAACGACGATGAGCAGTACATCTGGGAGTCAAGTGCCGGTGGTACCTTCAAAATCACTGAGGATACCGAGGGTGAGCAAATCGGTCGTGGTACCAAGATCATCCTCCACCTCAAGGATGAGCAGACCGACTACCTGAACGAGAGCAAGATCAAGGAGGTCGTCAAGAAGCACTCCGAGTTCATCTCCTACCCGATCTACCTCCACGTCCTCAAGGAGACCGAGAAGGAGGTCGAGGATGATGAGGCTGAGGAGGCCGAAGAGGGCGACGAGAAGAAGCCCAAGGTCGAGGAGGTCGATGATGAGGAGGAGGAAAAGAAGAAGAAGACCAAGAAGGTCAAGGAGTCCAAGATCGAGGAGGAAGAGCTCAACAAGACAAAGCCGATCTGGACCCGAAACCCCCAGGACATCACCCAGGAAGAGTACGCCTCGTTCTACAAGTCGCTGTCAAATGACTGGGAAGACCACCTTGCAGTCAAGCACTTCTCCGTTGAGGGTCAGCTCGAGTTCCGCGCGATCCTCTTCGTTCCCAAGCGAGCTCCGTTTGACCTCTTCGAGACCAAGAAGACGAAGAATAACATCAAGCTCTACGTCCGCCGCGTCTTCATCACTGATGATGCGACCGATCTTATTCCCGAGTGGCTGAGCTTCATCAAGGGTGTCGTCGATTCGGAAGACCTTCCTCTCAACTTGTCCCGTGAGACTCTCCAGCAGAACAAGATCATGAAGGTTATCCGCAAGAACATTGTCAAGAAGACCCTTGAGCTCTTCAACGAGATTGCCGAGGACCGTGAGCAGTTCGACAAGTTCTACTCGGCCTTCAGCAAGAACATCAAGCTCGGCATTCATGAGGACTCCCAGAACCGCCAGTCACTCGCCAAGCTCCTTCGATTCAACTCGACCAAGTCTGGCGATGAGACCACGTCTCTCACCGACTACATCACCCGCATGCCAGAGCACCAGAAGCAGATGTACTACATCACCGGCGAGTCGCTCAAGGCTGTACAGAAGTCTCCATTCCTTGACTCTCTCAAGGACAAGGGCTTCGAGGTCTTGTTCTTGGTTGACCCAATCGATGAGTATGCCATGACTCAGCTCAAGGAGTTTGACGGCAAGAAGCTCGTCGACATTACCAAGGACTTCGAGCTGGAGGAGTCCGAGGAGGAGAAGAAGCAGCGTGAAGCCGAGGAGAAAGAGTTCGAAGGTCTCGCCAAGAGCCTCAAGAACGTCCTCGGTGAAAAGGTTGAGAAGGTCGTTGTCAGCCACAAGCTCATCGGCTCACCCTGCGCTATCCGAACCGGTCAGTTTGGTTGGTCTGCTAACATGGAGCGTATCATGAAGGCTCAGGCTCTACGTGACACCTCCATGAGCTCCTACATGTCATCGAAGAAGACTTTCGAGATCTCTCCTAAGTCTCCGATCATCAAAGAGCTCAAGCGCAAGGTCGAGGCTGATGGCGAGGAGGACCGCACCGTCAAGTCCATCACTCTCCTGCTCTTCGAGACCTCTCTCCTCGTCTCTGGCTTCACCATCGACGAGCCCGTTCAGTACGCCGAGCGCATCCACAAGCTCGTCTCTCTCGGCCTAAACGTCGACGAGGAGGTCGAGACAGTTGAGGAGGCCAAGGCCGAGGAGGAAGCTCCGGCTGAGGCGGCAGCAGGCGAGAGCGCTATGGAGGAGGTCGACTAAACGGTTCAGGCGGGAGCAAAAGTTCGGCGCTTGGATTCCCCATTTTCATGTGTTAATGTCTTTTTTTCCCTTTTTACCTCCACAACGCTTCTTGCATGGCAGGTTAATATCCTGCGGCGTCTTTCAGAGTGGGTGGAGAAATGACTGGATGGATTCCCAAACGTGTACTCTAGGTAGACCACTGATGGCTCTGGTCATCTAATTCTCTCAGTAGCGAGGTTATGAATTGATGTGAGGAATTTTCAAATGAATAAGGGTCACGACTTGCTGTGCATCCAAACGTGTTCGCTTTCCACATGTATGCATTGTTGCAGATCAGAAGTAGAAACATGAAGATTGACTTCAGACAGGGGGCGGAGTGCTCATCTCCCCTGCAGTGATGTTCAACAAAATTCACAATAGTATGTTCCTTCCTCTACCCCCTCGACCTCGATCCGACATAACACCTAACCCTAATTTCACTGAACTCATTGCTCGAGGATATCATTCCATACTTTCTACGGGATGGTCAAACCTCTTTAATTTCCGGAGTGCAGTAAGCCATCTATGTCTTTCAAAAGCAGTTTCACGAAGTCAAGGTTAGCAGGTCAATGCTGCCCCTTTGTTTCTCAGCATGGCTAATCTCAATAGTAGAAGTATGTGCAATGCTGCAAGGTGAGAATTTCACTGCCATGTCTCACTCAAGCCCCTATCTCTAGGGCCCAATATTTTCCTCCCGAGGCCCTTCACTGTATGGCTATCTCGTTGAAGTTTCCACTGTATCATACGCAGGACCTTAATCAATTCAAACCCTCACCCACAAACAACATCCTTCTCATCTCAAGACACTACGATCTCTCCCACACCATCTCCTTTAACCCCCCAAAGGCCTCTCCGCCCATCAAACCCAACAAACACCTCCTCAACCAACTGACATGCGGACCTATCCCCCTTCCTCATCAACAAAAACGGTATACTCGCATTTCATAAAATCCCAACAACCCACCTATCCTTGTAAACGGTGGCCCAGGACCCATTTACTCATTTTCCGTCGTGAAAAAAAGAGTGAGCAGCAGACCCAACGCATCTAGCAAGAAGCGACATCTTCGGCTACTGTTTTGCTTGTTTCAGACATTCTGGCCAGACGCGTGTGGAAGGGTTTCAGGTCAATTATGTGAAACCCCTGCTAACGCTGAGTGGAAACATGATGTTGATTCCAGATTAGAGCTCGGCCATGAGTGTTTCTTTATCTGTGTCGGAGAGCTAGGCATCGGAGAGGATACAATATTCTTTAGGAGGAAGCAGCTACATAGAGTATATAGAGTGGTGTTGTCGAGTCTGCTGATGCTTCGGCGGCGGCTGTTTGCGTCGCTAGAGGCGTGCGGAAGTAGGCCTGGAGACTGAGATATGTGTTGTTGAAATATTGGTATTGGAAGCCGAGGATGGAGTTGGAAGTGAGGAGGAGGATTTTCCACCGCGGATCGAGTGGTGTGTCCCAATCTGTGCTGCCGTCGAGAGCTTGGCTGATGATACTAACTGTGATTCCACGAAGTTTGATTTCTGGCTGGTCGTTGGCACTACTACTGTGGAGTCTCAGGATATCCATTTTTCGTGTTATTCAGGCCTAGAACAAGTATTATGTTGAATGCACCGACCAGCGACCTTCTCCGAAACGGTGCTAATCTGGGGTCCAAGATAGCAGGAACCGGGACACGGAAGACTCTAGCCTGTCACTATATCCAACTCTGACGAAGGTAAGAACCTAGAGCTGTCATTGCTGAAGCCAGAGCTAAGCGAAAATCACATAGACATCATTTACACTGACCGAATAGTCCACAACAATCGATAACCGGGCGCTTAGTCTTGAAAACCCTAAGAGTGCAAGAACATGGTTCCTCGGGTCGCTACATTCCTTTGCAGAAGGCCGTCACACCATACTTAGGAATGAAGATCTATTCCCGTCGGCAATACCCCAAGGTAATCCTTGCTACGAAACTTCTTGACGATGTGGCGTCAACGAGGGAGATCTTGTAGCATGAGTTTGACGTCAGTGTATGAGATATTTGCGTCCACCTTCTTGGAAACATCATAGCTATCTTCAAGTTTTGCATCCTCGAAGATGTCCCCAATGTAGAAAAAGAATGTGTTGGCGATAAGGTTGGATCCCGGTAAATTCCTAAGCCCACACATGATACCTACTACTTTCTTCATGACAAAAATTCCTGAAAACCCCATAGCCTGTAATAATGCGGTCTTTATATAGCTATTCCAGCGCTGTCACTATTTTTGGTTCAGAAGGGTCTTGAATACTCGACAGGAAACCGGAGGCATCGTGCTGATTTCGAAACCATTCCAGCTCCCCAGGAATATCTCCTTACTCTTGTACCCCCTGTTCAACGAGCGCTTTTCCCCACAGAAAGAATAAGGCCGTGCCATAGTCGCTCGCATCTCCGATTTTCCCAAGCTGCGCAATAACTTCTCCCACACTGCTGTAGATCCTCGACATAATCCCTGGTAGTTAGACTCTTTTAAATCCCGTTGATTCTTGCAAAAATGTACGCACAACGCTTGCGCAAGTCCATTCTTCCGAAGAAGTCCTAGCGCGGAGAAGAGGTTCGTGGTTGCGGCGACGTCAACGACGTGTACGACGATGGCGGGTTTTGCTATTGGGGAACCCCAGACGTAGGATAAGACTTTGTAAATTAGTCGGCCTAGAGATCCGCCGTGCGCATGGATAATTGAATTGGGGAGGAGAAAGACTGGCTGGGTTTGAGGATGAGAAGTCGTAGTTCATGGGCGCTAAAGGTTTGGTGTAGTATTTTGTATGGTTTTCTAGAAGCTTTGGAGGAGGCTATAATGCTTAGACTATGAGATAACACTCCTGTGTTCTGGTCACTGTTTTCGGCATGGTGTTTAATAGAACCTAGTACTGATCCTACTGTTACTGATGGTAGCAATCTCTTGGCAGTTTGGACGAAAGTGAATTGCCTTCCGTTACTGTACGGTTAATGAGGCTATAGTTACTGCAGTAGCTGCCTATACCAATTAATGTACCAATTAATTTCGTGTTTTGGTAACGCGTTCACGGAGGACATTTTCGCGTGTAGTACGAGGGCTGCTGTGGAACAGGGCGTGTTTAAATGCGCACTACTACACTAGATTTTGTGCTTTTTCAACTGTCCTATCTATTGTTAGTACAGAGTAGTGAACTAACTCCCTAATTTACCTACTTCTTGCCTGTAATATTGCCTCTATTGTCACTATAAGTATGCGAAAGCTCCTTTAAGCCCTACGTAGCACTTAAAGCTCGCAGCAACAGTACGCTGTTGCTAGCCTAAGCACTCTAGAGCCTCACTTTGCAAGCTCTCATCGCCTTACGAAGTTAAGGACTGCAAGATTGTGTTAGAATTAAGCCCTCTAAAGCCCCTAGAAACACTAGTTACTGCAGCAACTGCACCAAACAGTCGCTTCACAGTTAATTAACTTAGTAGTAACTACTACAGCCTATAAGCCCGTTTTAATTCACCCTATCCGTAAGAACAAAACTATATTGCCGCCAGTACCACCTCAAAAACACTAGTAACAGTAACAGTTGCGTCCTGTTAACCACCATGGTTTTCGGGTCCGTTGAAAGTCGGGCAGCCACAGCCAGACACTGCAGTGTGAAAACGTAGTAGAATATGAAGGTACTCCGAGTAGGTCCTGCTCTGCATATGACAGTCGAAACGGTAACTAGGCATTGACTTCTGGCGGGGGTGAACGAGCTTGGAGGACCTGCAGGATGTACTCCTTGATGCTGTATTGGACAGTACTGTCATGCGTGTGATGAAAAATAAGTGGGGCTGTGGAAACTGTAGATGTTAAAAGGTTTTTAGAATTAGCTTAGGCCGTCTCTCGACGTGTGTGTAATCCACGCAATAATCGGAAATATATGGTCGTCCCACTCGCTAGCAGTTAGAGCTGTCGGCCTAGAAGCCCCCTCAAAAGCCCCAAAAGTGGTTCAGATGCTTTAGTATTCATCGTTCATATATGTTGGATCCACTTCGATGATTGTAGAAACATTATCGCGATCAAGTTGCGGATGCGGCGGTATGCACTCTGGGATTCGCCAAACATCCCTGTTTCGCTGTTCGACTACATCGTTGCCTAATCCATGACAGCCTTGCAGAATCAAGAACTGCAGCAGTCAGCCCGACCCCGCTTCCGGCGCAAAGCTCATAATATCGATAACGAAAAAAGGGCGGGCGTGGCTTACCCGCAGACCATCTAGGATATCAATGACATCCAACACTTCCTCATCGAGCTGACCACCGCATCTCAAAATGCCGAGGATCTGTAAGGCGGTGCGGCCCTCCCACTCGCTTCCAAGAAATGTCCACAAGTCCTTGCCAATCATGTTGCATTTGCAGAGCCAGAGCTCGCGACACCAACGGTTCTGGCTCAGCAAGGCCACAAGCTGTTTCGTACTCAGCTCGCCGCCCTCGATCCGCAAGGCATTTATCCGGGATGCCCAAACGGCGCTTGCTGCGAGCAGATCCCACGCCTTACACTGCTCAATACGTTGTGAGGCAACCCGGGCCTGCGGCACAGTTCGAACATGGGGAAAATCTTCAATGCGGATAGATAGGGCTCGGAGTGCTGGTAGGCTTGCCAGCGCCTTTGCGAGAGGGGTGTTGAGGGTCCATAATGACAGGTTTAGGTTTCTTAAGGTGCCGCCATGGCGGATTATGATGCTCTTCGTAAGTGCCGCATGGAAAGCGAGGAGGGTCATAAAATCGAATGTCTGGGCATCGGGAATGATAATCGAGACATTGTACGGGTCGTTTTTGCTTAGAGGATTCGACTCGGATCCGTCCAGGTAATCGGATTCAATGCTGCTACGTCTGCTTTCTTCGGTGGTGTCTTGGAGTGAGAATGGCTGTTCAGGCAGCGAGAACGCAGACTCAATTGCTTTGGGCTGTGGATAGTGTGTAGCGCCTAGTCTGCTGATGATGGCGGCGACTCGGGTTGGATAGATGCCCAGAGAGAGGGTGTGTAGACTTGAATTTGCAAGGCCATGAGAGTAATGACATGTTTGAGAGAATTTGAGCAAGCCTTGAATGGGAAGGAAGGTGAGTATATTGAGGAGGACCTCTGGTGGAAAGCTCAGAAGCGAACGAGCCATTTTACTCAAACTAATAACGGAAAGAAAATAAGATTGCCAGAGTTGTGCTGCTCTTTGTTAGAAATGTGAGGTTGATACACTTTCAAAATTATGCTCCTATACAAAAGACTTAAATACCTTTAACACAAAAACTGAGGCGTGGAATCCGGAGAATCTGTACACGCTGGCAGGCCGACGAGAGATCTGTTGGCACAGCTGCTCAGTTGCGCAGTTGCTTACCTCGTATTGAGAACGGAGAGATATGTTAATAAGAGGGCCAACATCCGTTACCAAAGTAGCCCATTCAACATCGTCCACGGTTGCACAGCGGTTAAGAAGGCGTCGAGGGCGTCCTAAGGGTCAGAGAGATACACATCTCGGCCTTATCTAGGCCAACCATGTCCAAAGTTGCAGGTCACGACCTGGTACGGAGACGCAGGTAGCCGTCTTGCATGGGTGAGTTGATCAGGAAAAAGACTGTGGCTCCTCGTTTGAACCCTTGCGTCAGACACATCGTGTGGACGCAAAGCAAAATCGCACAAGAACATGCAAACCTTGAATGCGTGGACACTGGGATGCTTAAGATGACGTGCCCGCAAGACGATAGCAAGGACTCGTGTGATTTATCCTGCGCTGGTGAAGTCTCTACCCCATCGCTGTCTGCCAGCCTTGAGGGCCTCTGCCTTCTATTAATGGCCTCTCATCTCGGTAATCTCAAACACTAATGACGATGCTGCGTGCCCCTCCGGGATCGGAAGCCCAGTTGAAGGTTAATTTGAGAGCTGGTGTTACCAGCCTGAGGACAAGTATTGGTGGGGTAGTTGGAAAAAGCAAGGCTATGAGGTTGCGAATCAGACGACGAGTCTGGCGAGGTGGTCAGAGGCTTCGACCAGCCGCCCACTGAGCAGTGAGACAAAGGTCACACATGGCAGGTGTCATGATAATTGTGATTGTTGTGATCGTTGGTGGCGTTTAGACTTGTCGATGTTAAAATGGACGAGACGGATGGCCTGAGCAGGTGGGACAAACCGTGAATTGTCGTGTGCGAAATTCTCTGGATTCTTGGCAATGCCAAGTAACAACTTTCCCCTCACAAATCTCATAGAAATGCAGGTCACTGCACATATCGCTCCATATAATCAACCACAACGCTTTCTACTGTAGGTGAAGCTTTTCAAATGTATGGATAGGGCCTATCCCACTAATTTGACAGAGTTTTAGATCATGGATCTAACTGTAGGCCTCTCGCGGGCCCCTTAGGGGACGCGTCTTATAGAAGCGCGCATCCTTAATCTAGAGGCCTTGCTACTAGCCTCCTCCTACTTAAAGCACAGCTAGAAGACTGCTCATAGTTGTTCTATCGCGTATCATCTCCTTATGCTCAGCGTCCCTATCCTAGAGGTCATTACTCGCTCGCGTGCTAGCTGTAGTACTGTCTATGCGATCCATCAGAACCTTATAAAGTATAGTACTATTACAGCCCCGCAGGTGCAGCGGTTAGGGCGTCCTCTAAGACTCACCCTAGCTGACAGAGAGGATCTGTTTAATAAGCTTGTCGCGCACAGCTAGATGTACCAGGGTAAGATAAAGTAGGCTTTTAGAGGAGCTAGAGTTAACGCAGCACGCCTGCTACTGTAAGGCCGAGATGGTGCTTACGTGCGACGGGTATATATACTATTCTGTACGCAATAATTAACTGTTGGTTGATTATTCGCACCTTTTTAGTTGTATTAGCGTAGTGGTACAGAGCTCCGTCCTTACAGCTACCTTGCGCAACTCTACCAGCCCTCCCACCGCGTGCAGCGTTCCTACCGCGCGGAGCTGGTGCTAGAGTACTCGCAGCGCGCTTTTTAAACACAATAATACTCTAACTGTTACCTCCTTGTTTATTAAAAGTTAACTAATAAGTAGCAGGAGCGTTTCTAGCTATCTGTTTATGTTAATAACAGAGGTAAGCAATTTAGGGTACAATTAGCAGTAACTACTCTAAAAAACAGTTAGATAGGGCGGATAGGGCCTATTAAAAAGCCTTACTTACTATACAACGTCCTTCTCCCATGAGGCGGATTATATGGAGCGATATGTGCAGTGACCTGCATGTCTATGAGATTTGTGAGGGGAAAGTTGTTACTTGGCATTGCCAAGAATCCAGAGAATTTCGCACACGACAAAAAACGACCATCCGAGGTTCTCCAAATGTTGCAACCACCTTTCAACTCATTAACGCCATGATGCTGCAAGTCATCAAGCCCACATCCTCCATGTATCTCGCCCAAATTCCTGCGAATTCCTGCACCTCCCATGCCACATGAAGTGGCAGTCATGACTCGAAACCTGCATGTGCCTCCTGCAGAGGTCACGCTGCAGTGTGGAACAACTTAAATTCAACCAATGCTCAGCTCCCGCTAACGGCTTGAAGGTCTCTCGTATGACTATTAGCCATTCCCGTTGGCGTTGACAACTCTTCACTGCGCCTAGGATTTCTAATTTCTTGCTAATCGTATTCGTCCCCACTCCATGGTCTTGGCATTGCACACCCTCACGTGACCTGGTCAACTGAAATCTACTGTCTCTCTATATTTCTGATGGGTCAGATGCTCTTCCGAGGTCTATCTAGGCAATCACAGCACTGTGGCTGGTGGGTGGTGCACCCTTTGAATCTGTCTGCGGAACCAGTTGCCGACGCACGGTGGATCCTCCAGAGGCATGACTCGTGATAGACACAGTAATGCCTTCCATAAGCCACCTTCAAGGAGAACCACGGTTGTCACTCGGGACCTTTTGCCTCCAATTTGTTGCTGGTACACGGGAATCCTGGCTCTGCCGAAATGTGTGATGAGTCAGTCCCAGCCAGTTCTACCGGAAGCTTTTGTCAGATTTGATTGCCAGGTGCAGCGAATACAAACCTTGGGAAGAACATTGGCCGTGGTTGAAGCTGGTTGATGCAGATTCTCCCGAAGGAAAAATAATGTCATAGCTTACATAACAAATCTGCCATTGTCGCCAGGCCATCCTGCCGAATCGAATCGACTTCATGAGCTCCCTGCAGCACGGCACGGAGTTCCTACTGTGTACGATACAGCACGAATAGAAAGTTCGCGATCCTTGTAGGATTCACAACTGGGGTTTGATATCTTCGGATTGCTTCTCCGCGCTCGTTCCCTCCAATCACGGTGGTTGTCTCAAGTTCCGCTGCACTCCCCGAACAGCCATCACATTCTCAGGTCAAGCATCCTTTCTCTCTTTGCCAATCCCAAGGTAATCTGAACTGCCGAGACTCCTCTGAAATGACTCGTCTGGCACATCTGCCCAACATTAGTCTATTCGCATCCTCTGATCTTCAAGCTGGGAAGCTGCGCCGAATACTGGGCCTAAACGTTCTGTGAAATGGTCCCTCCACTTCTAGTACACACCCATACGGCGTGTTGAAGATTGAAGGCAGTTACACCTTGATGACATGCCCAGCGGGCCTCTCCTAAAATAAAGTTTGCCTACAAGCTTCGCTTCGCACTCTCCAGGATTCAACGCTGCCCTACCGCCATTTTGATCTTGAAAGGTCGATAGCGGCCTTCTCTCCGGATTTGCGGATCGATGGATGTGCAGCACTGATTCAGAACGTTTGGCTGCCCTTGCAAGCCAGTTTTGGGGCGGCATCGCTGGAGATTGCCGATCCTAAGGTGGAAACCTTGAACGCCTGATCGTCGAGAGGCTGAGCCTGATGGATTCTGGAATCATGGATTAGCCCCTTTGTCCACATAAAACGGCAGACCATTTTAATGTCTTCTTGGCATAAGCCTGTACAGAATCGGAGGGTCCAAGGTTGTGAAGCTTCATCAGGAATACTCCCAGGCAACCTACCTCTCGATTCAAGGTTGGCCGTTATTGAGATTCTTTTGAAGCAACCACCGTGCCTTCAACTGACTCGATTTGCAAACCTGCACATTAACTTACTCGCGACACTGCTGCGACATCCATCCCACCAACTTCCATTTTTTAGTCGTTTCCTTTGCCGTGCTGTGACCACCAATCACGCCTCATGGCCACTTCCAGATCCAACACCCTAGAAAGTCTCACAGTCTCAAACAAGCTCCGTCGCGTCTCAACCACCTCTGGACGGCTGCCCCACGACAACCACTAATACCGTCATCATCACAACTTTCCTCTCTTCTTAACCGTAAATAGCGGTGGTTAGAATTCCCATTGCGTGTGTGTCCGCGTGTGCAGAGCGCATGGCAACCACAAGGAGACTCCGCCGCACAGCAATGCGCAAGCCCTCTAACGTACGAATACATCGCTATTTCCATACGCAACGCAGCATTCTAAATTGCGCGTACCACATCTCACGGACCCTGCATAACACATCTGATCATTCCGCATTCACGTCTGTTCCAAAAAGGGAAAACGCCCTGGACCAAAGGGGAATATTGTAACGGCGATCCAGGTTTCTCTCCACCTTCCCGCTGTGCACCAAATTGCCCGCTTTAGCTAACGACAGGGCATCGAAACACTTGGCCACTTGAGTGATTTTCGCCACCCTAAGGCGTTCTGCCCTGCGTCGTCCTTTCCTGCGCTGTCCTGATGCCCAAAGATTGCATCCCCGAGGTTCTTTGCGGCCTATCATCTTCGAGGACGCACACACTGCTGTTTCTCATACGCACGCCGAAAAGGCCGCGGCAGCGAGGCACGCGGACCTAGGTGAGACAATTGTCTATCAAGATTTAAGTTCATACTTCGAGTTTTGTTAAGCAACTCTTCAACCTTAGATCTCCATGCTTGCTTTTCGACGCGCTGAAATGCATGACGGCATCTACACACCCCTGCAGTGTGTGGAAAGACTCCATTGCAACCGAACGGGGAGAAACATAGCGAATAAGCACATTTCCAAGCACGTTCTCCCCCAGAAAAAAGCAACTGAGCAAAAAGATTACCCCACAAACTTTGCTTCCCCAAAGCTTGTATTCATAACCACCACCATAGCTCTACCTACCTACTTGAGAGACATACCTGCATGTATGCATCCCATCCAAAACGTCATACCGTTATCATTTTGAAACGCAACATTGAAAAGTAGAGCTACCACCCGCCCTATAACGCCTTTTTCTATACTCGCGCCTCCATCCGCCTTCTGCAAGCCTGAAACCATGGCGACCAAACTTGAATGCAAGGTCACAGCTGTGAGTAAGATCGCTAAATAAGGATACCTTCAGAACCAAGAATATACCACCCACACAATGTATGACGCTACCCCAGTTGAGTCGAGATCAGATAGCCATCTATTACCATACCACAAAACCCCTGCTGGAAAAGAAGTAGAATCAAATCAGAGAACCAACCTCAAACAACACCCTACCTTGCATCCCATGTCAATATTCCATCCATTTTGTATGCTATTGCCCCCCAATTTTTATCCTTAGGTTTACACTATCCAGAACGCCTCATAAGCGTGAGAGAACACGGTAAGGTCAAACAAACCACCTAGACATCCATACTGCATTTGATCAGAAACCGGAGGAAGGGCCGGATACCCTAAGATCCGGCTCCGATGTCATCTTTGTCTACCGGAGGAACGCCCTTGGAAGCAGCAAAATGTTTCAACGGCTCGGCAAAGCCGCGCAGAGTCCCGAAACGAGGGTTCTACTCTTTTCCTTCATTGCCACACATGCGTTATTCTTAGAACCATTCACGTCAAAAAGGGCAACCTCCGTTGACAGGTTGTAAGGAATCACTTTCGGTGTTATGTTACAAGACTAGAATACCGTCCAGGTTTATGGCGAATAAAGGATTCTGCCAAAGCTCGAGAATAGTGAGTATCTCAGGCAATGTCATCATCACTGTCTAAGTGGCAGTACACAGTTACCGACCATGAGAACTCGAAGAAAGGCTCCTGTGAGAAACATCCTGGGTTCTAAACCGGGAGGAGAAACTGGAAAAGGTGGCGCGAGATGCGGCATGTAGGAACCCGTTGCGAATCCGGTGCGAATTGCGCGGCCCGAGCCTTAGGCATTTTGAGATGTGTATGTCAGTGATGTGTCAATAATAACAGCGAGCAAGGCCTTGACCTCGAGGTCGGAAGTAGAAGCCAACATCAAATCCCGACTCTTCTCCGCTCGGTCCGTGCGGGTTCCAAGGGCCGTCTGTTATCCGTGCTGCGAAGGTTTATAGATTGAAATACCTAGGTCCAAGCATTGGCCTTCTCTTGAATGCTGCCTTCCATTTGCTCGGCATATGGGTGACTTGTTGTGGATTGCATCTCGTGTGGTGATACAAGCCTCATTTTCTTCCTCAGATCTGTCATCACTTTCCGTTGATCCCTGCCCCTGGTCTAGGCCTCATTCTGAACCTTAAATTCGGTCCTCAAACTGACTAAATCGAACGGACACTATTCCACAAACGGTGAATGTTGCTAAAAACTGCCGTTCGATGTTCTAGTCATGGCTCTAGAATGTCAGACAGGTTTGCGCATGAAGTGACGGCTGGATCGAAAGGCCATGGATCCGGGTATGAATCGAGAGAGGTGTCGTGGATGGAATTCGCCGTCTCCCCCATGCCCAAGCTAATTCGAACCTCAGTCGAGGAATTTGCCGTCCCGCTTCTTGACCTTTTTGCACTTGGTACACCCACCCATGTTTGTCGTTCCTCAAACCTGACACCCTTCTTGCATGGAATGGCACTCGCTTCAGACTGCTCTTACCGTGTTCCTTGAAACAGTTTCATATGTCGAACGAAAGAGCGAGTGTGAAAGAGCGAGTACGAAACGCCAGTTGCCCAACCATAGATTCGCTCTTAATCTTTCCGCATCCTCGATACTCCCACTCTAGCAACGGCTGTCGAAACTGTCGAAACAGCCACACTTAATGCTTAATTGGCTTTCCAGAATCAGACTTCTGCGCTTACAAATAATTTGATAGCTTCCCCGAGAGCACCTTGATGTCCACGACCTTATTCCAAATGATAGACGAAAATAGGGAGTGAATCCTTCGTTAGAAGAAGAGGTGAATTGTGTCCTCGTCGATTCCCTATATTCTCCGAAGAAAAGCCTAAGATCGGGCCCGAGCTACTGGCTCCAAAACACGTGCTCGATATGCAATGAGTTATAAAACTGTTAACCTGCATATCGACCACCACCGTGGTGACCATGAACATGGCCTAGGCCACCTCGGCCTGCTCCACTTTGGGAGCCTTGTGCATACATGCTTGCATGCCCCTGCATCTGGCTGGCTGTTTGCGTATCCTCTTGTTTGTACACCATTGAAGGGTCTACGGGGAATCCTTGAACAGCAAATCGAGGGTCATATTGGCTGGGGTTTACACCGAGATGTTGACCCTGGATATGCGGGTGGGGATGGGAAGACTGTACTTGGACACCGCTGTGAGAATGTGCTTGAGGAGGGATCTGTGCACGTGTTTGACTTGGGGAGGGCTCATAAGGTCCGGGGGTTGCGGATTGGCTGGCTGGCGCGGAACCCGAAGAGTGCGTTGCGCTATGTGGAGCCGATGAATCGTAGAGGGAGAGGTCTTCCACACGCGAAGACGCGGCTTGAAGCAACGAGTGCTGCGCATTGATGGGCAGTTGGGCACCCGTTTGGGCAGCAAGCTGGCGGATCAACTCAGTGGATGGGTACGATGGTGAAGAGACTGGCGGCATTCCAGGCAGATCTTCATTGACGTTTGAAGGCACGGTTGCAAGTCCTCCGGGGGAGAGGGTGATTGTCGACGGGGGCAGAGCCTGAGGGATATTGAGAGACCGGGGAAGTGGAAGATTCGGGAGGACATCGGAGACCTTGGAGAGGAGAAGCGGTAGATAGCGGGTGTGCCCGCCGCGAAGGGTCGAGAAAAGAGTGAGGAATTGTGAAACGTAATCGCGGGGCCCGAGCGCGAATGTGTCCGGCGAGAAGGGTATGCAGGCGACGACATCGGTCAGGCAACAAGCGATATCGAACAGCTTTTCGATCTGCAAGTTGGTCAGCCCAATTTCCGGATTGAGGTGAGGCTGTGTGCCAAGGATGGGAGTGGGCGCTCGGTTGAGGATGCTTGTTTGTAGGACTTCGAACAAGGGGCAATGGTGAGGCCTGAGCTTGCGTATGAAGCAGGCTATGCATCTTTTCGTAGCGCCAAGGGTCCCAAACAAATGTTTGAGAGAGACATTGGATGCGCGGGGCACAAGCGAGAAGGATGAAAGCAGGGGTTGCAACAATCAACTAGGGAAAGTGTGAGGATTGTGCATGAAAGTCTGAACAGAGCATGTTTGAGACAAGAGATTTTCAGTACTCACAAGCCCTACGCCATGCACCTCCATTGCTTGTTGTGAAAACTGATGCATCATGGAGAGCAAGTCTCGGGAGATTTCGATGGGGTACTTGAATGTCATGGCAGTGTCCGATGTCATACTGCTCACTAAACCTTGGCTTACACAGAGCTGCCAAACCATAGTTCGCAGCCATTGCTGACTGATTCGTAAGTCGACCGCCTGAATTTCTGTGCACTCAAGAAAGGTTGGCAATGCTTCAGACAACTGAGTCTGCAGTTGGGTGATCCAGCTCGGATTCGCATTCGTGCGCGATTTGTTCCATAGGCTGATGAAGGTGTCGTCAAAAGGTTTGTAGAGGTTGATCAGTAGATCAAGGCCAGATGCAATCGGACTATCTGAAGAAGATTCGTCCAACGAAGGTGTGTGAATGGTAGCGTACAGCGAAATGGGACGGTGCTTGTGAAGTGCGTGTGTCCTGTCCGAGAGTGAGCGGAAGTGACCAAGCAACTAAAAAAAGTGCAAAAATGGTCAGAACCATACCTTTCTGTGATTAAGAGTAACCAGTAGAGAACTCGTCGCCTGGAGATGTCGAGTGGGTCTGTCTTGTAGGTCTCTTCATCATGCATCCCAAGAAGTTGCGCCAGAGTCGTAGCTTCCCGAAGGAACGACCATGCCGTGTTATCTCTTCCTAGCCCGAAAAAGCAGCCATAATAGAGCCAGGATGTTAAAACAGAGTTGTGTGTTGGGTTTTCAAGGTAATCGAACCCTTTCCGGACACGGACAGACTCGTCGAGGAGCATATGGCCTACGCTGACGTTGGACATCTGAGCCATTTCAGGACGCGGTAATAGATTGGGCGAAACTGTCATGTTCGATTGAATCATAACATAGGCACAAAGGGCTACAACCATGCAATATGCCTCCGTAGAGTGCTCCACATTTATAGATATTTCCTGGATGCGCTGGCGGTGAAGAATGGGTTGTGCCGGATACACGTTGATAAAGAAGAACTCGATACAGCTCTCGATGAGTCCTGGGGGTAGCAACCCCGGAGTGCGAGAAAAAGTGGTGGAGAGGGTTCGTCCTTCGAAACCCAGCTCAGGTGAATATCCAGAGGATAGTTGGGACTGGCGTTGATTCTCGCGAAGCTCTGACAGCACCTTTGCCCGGCTTCCCTTGGGGCCTTTCTTCTGTGGGATGGCATTGTAAGTGCATGCAAGACCTGCTGAAACGCAGTTCTTGCATGGGTTGGTGCCCTCGCCGATACACTTGACTTTCCGTCGATGGCAGCTGTTGGAGACGACATGAGCAAGCAGACATGGGAACACGAGCAGCTGGAATGACACACCTATCGCAGGCTCTTTTGACGGGAGTGGAGGTGACAGACGAAGACATGATGAAAAGTGGGGTCTGGGAGACACTGGTCGGCGCTCCCCTCAGAGAGAGGTAGTCTGTCTCCGAGAGGACTCGTAGGTAATAATGGAGATGGAGGCATGCTTTGTGAAAGGTCGGGAGTCTTTTTGCATGCTTGTGTCATTGTGCTGGAGAGAACGCCCACTCGCAACCTGACTGAACCTGGACGACTGCCAGGCCAAGCCACACTGCAGCCGCATTAGAGCCATTAGAGCAACGCTAGCATCTCCCGTTGGGCCTGCCAGGATGCGCCAGGACAAGGGCAGTAAACAGATGAGCCAATGGAAGACACGGGAGATAGCCCCAGGGTCTCTGAGTCCATGGTCCCAGGAACGAGCTGCAGCGAGGCGTGCTAGGAACGAAGGGAAAACGCTCACCACACACTTTACAGGCGTCTGCCCGGGTAATCGCTGAGCTAGAACGGGCCTGACAGCATCGGCGGGCTGGCCAGAAAGTTGAGGAAGACTGGAGGGTCGGGCGAGCGCCGGCGGCCTTCGCAGTGCTCCCAGGAGTGCGGTATGCTAAGGCGACTGTCTGACTAGCCGACAATCTCCCGGCCTGAGAGGCACGCTAGACCAATGCTGCGCAACGGGAAGGTCGGAGGGTGTTCGCAGTCGATGAGGGTAGGTTAGCCGGGATGAAGAGGTGAGGGTGACAGCGATTGTAACGACTCGAGACGTCGCTTCATTGATTTCCCTGCGCCGTGGTCCATATGGCCGTGCCGTCTCTTGCGGATGAACGGGGCCAGGAGCCCACAACGCCGATGTCTGTTTGAAGGCCGTTCCCTGTCATTATTGGCGAAGCATCGCGCGGCATTCTCCGACTGCGATGAACTGCTGTCGTCATTGTGGCCTGCGCGGAGGCCCCTGCGTTGTGGCGGCAGTGGTCGAGGGCGAGGAAGGGGGAAACGCGCCTGCAGGGTTGGAACGACGTTTGAGAAGTTTAAAGGGACCCTTGGACGGGCATTTATCGAAAAGGTTGCATCGTCCCGCGCCTCTTCCGTCACCGGATGAGCAACGACGTTTTCCCGGTGAGAACAGCGTGAGTTTGAGTGCCGAGACAGGAGTTGGCTCAGAAGTTAGAACCCCAGAGGAGGCGCTGCTCGTTTATAACCTCGACGTTCGCTCTCGAAGGCCCTTCTGCGGGCATATCTGGTGATGGTGCCCTTGAGGGTCCCCGAGAATGGAGCCGATATGGCTGGAAATTCAGCCCACAATGATTGCTCTTACGAATGAGCGCGCGAGTACGCATGCTAGAGTCTGTAATGTGACATCCACCGACATCTTAGCATGATCAGCTAGTTACGCCAGAGGATGTAGCTGTGCATTCGCGAAAACGAACCCGAGGAATTCATGCATTTAATTATTGCTGATGCATGTTCGGGCCTCGGGAATATCTTATGAAATCTGTGGTACCAGCATCGCCAAGGAATTCACCGATCACGGATGCAAGTCACAGGGCCTACAAATTGACGGCACCAGAATGTATATAAAGCAATATGAGCACCTAACTCAACAGTATTCATACAATGACAGCTGAGGATCCCCGTTCGCCATTGAACTCGCCTCTAACGCCGTGTCCTTGCCACCAAGTACTTACCAGCCCTGTCATCCGAGAGAAATGCGTAATCATCATCATACCTTGAAACCCCGGGAAATGCCAACCTGCCCCTATCTTCACAGCTATCATGAAAACTCTACTCGACTACCACCCATCCGTGCCTGCTTTGCTTGAGCCCTCTCAGCCCTCCGTCGTCTCCTATTAGAATCATAGTTGCTCACGTCAGTTTCCGTTCCATACATATTGGTGCTGGGTGGGCTAGCCAGTCCACTTCCAGCCGCGGCGGGAATTGGGGGAGGCGGAGGTAGTGGGATATGTTGAGCAGGAACAGGTGGCGGACCTGGGGGTGGACCAGGTATTGTTGGCTCAGGCATTGGAATTGGTGCTGCAGATGACGATGGCCCCTGTTGCGCTTGAGCAGCCTCCATCGCTTCCGCCCTCCGCCAGCGCTCGTTGTCGAGATTGCTGAGCGAGCTGACGCTGCCATTTCTATTCCTTCGTTGGCGATCTCTTCTCCTTGCCTCACGCTCGGCCGCTGCCTCTTCCTCATTGAGCCTGCGAAGTGTTACGTGCCGGCCATCATTGTGCATCTTAACTTTGACAGACACTGGGGGTGATGCAACACTGCCCTCACGACTGCTACGTTGTCGACTGGTATCCCTCCTTGACGGTGAGCCAGCAGATGCTGCGGCCGCTGCCACTCCACCAGCAAGGGCTGCGGAGGCTCCCGCACGGTGTCGACGGACGTGACCTATATCTGAGGTTGAGTCATGCAGAATTCCATGAGGATCCGGCGGTGCCGGCGGCATGGGGATAGTAGATGGTCCTGCCGTAGTGGTTTCCACGTTCGTGACGTTTGTTGTGCTTCTCGGCGGTGGAGGAATGTTGTGCCGAGACAAGGCTGGCGTGGTGCCCGAAATCTCATCCTCCGAAAGGATGGTCGATGGAGGTCGATTTCTCCTTGGCGGCGCCATTCCGTCTCCAGTGTACTTCCGTCGCTGGCTGTTCGCACGAGCCATCCGCTCCTCTTCGATATCTTGTGTCCGTATCGCCTCCACATGGGCATCTTCTTTGCGGTTTCTTCGCTTGCTCCATTGGTGCTTGAGGAAACCGGCGACACCTAACGCCGCTATTCCATTCCGGACGCCATGCGACTCTTTGTGCCGTGTCGCGTGCTCATCGCTGAAGCTCGTCCGGCTGTCGAACGAATCAATTGAGTCACCACTTCGTCTTGCACTTTGGCCATGGCGCAGAGGAGTACCAGCTACGGCTGCTGCTTGAGCTGCTTCTCTCTCCTCGACTCGGCGCCACCGATCATTCGCTGGTGACGCAGGGGCTCTCCCTTCTTCTAGTCGGCTAAGATCTGTCTGGGTGACCTCTGAAGGTCCAATTGGCCGTGTATAGCTGACATCACTCCCCGACTCGGTTGGGGTGTGCTTCTTGCGGTTGAAAATGGACCTGACGGCCATAATGCCACCAGCCGCAGCCGCAGCGCCAAAGAGCCGGTCTTTCCAAGAGCGTCCTCTTCGGCCGTCATCAGTATACTTTTCGTCGTCGACATACGAGTCGGAATGATGAGAGCTATGTCGAGAACTGATGACTTCTTGTCTACTTCCATTGTGCCGTCTACGACTCCTGCTTCGAGAACGTCGTCTTAATGCGGCTAAACCTGCTCCGGCTGCTCCGGCTGCTGCAAGGGCTCCCAGGCCGTGACCTCTATGGCTTCTTCGGCTGCTTCCCGTGCGTTCAGTGATGTAAGTCCCGCGGTCATCGAAGCCTATGTCGGGTTGATTGATATATGTCAAAATGAAGTAGAAAACTAGAATGGCAAAACCCCAGAGAGCGTACAAGATGAAAAGCACTTTTGGTGAACCATACAAAGTTAACCCAAGGGCTACTTGTATGACACCAAGAAGCGCAATTGCTCTTCCAAACCATTGATGAAGCTGCAACAAAGTTAGTGATTATTTTGGAAGCAGCCCTTTAACTTACCATCAATTTGAGAGGCATCCTAAATCGTTCCTTGCCCTTTTCTCTCCGGTGTATTACACACCCTCCAAATGCTTGCACCAAAATCATAGTATAAAGAGCAACTCCAATGCCGTGGTGAGGATTTGTCAGGGATCTCTTAGAGCCTACTGCTTGGAAACCGAGAATGAAGACGGCCGTCGATAATAGGACTGTCAAGATCTGAAGCCAAATATGAATTCGCAATGCCATGCGCGGGTTCCGGTGATAGAAGCCGGCTATCAGAATGGCGGCGGGCACGACCACGAGGAAAGTTATTGCGGCTACAATGCCGTGGCCTTTGATGACGCTGCGGTAGCCGACCATATTTCGAAATCGATTGCCCATGCCTACAAAGTCAGCTGGTATATCCAAACTTGCCATGTAAATAGGGCTGTACCATTATATTGAGTTGTCGCAAGATTGAAACCTTGTAAGTTCGGCAGCAAAAAGGTGTTCCTCTGCGAGTCCCAAGTGCCGTCACCCACATACATGGTGTCGGACGAGTAGACACTACTCCCAGGCGGCGAGAGATTATGCGACATTGCGGGGGGCCGTCCCGAGTTCGATTAGGAATGTGTAGGTAAGGGTCGAGGTAGGAGCTACTACGGACTCGAGTCCGCGACCAAATGAATGTCGAAAATGGATAAAAGGGTATCGCAAGGGTGAAAACAAACTCAAAAGTGAAGATACGCAGATTCGTGACGTCGTGCCAGATATAACAACAGCTTCTCTGTCCCGCTGTCAGGCTTGAATGTGTTGGCAGCGGTCGAGGCCTGGGTCGTGGAGCATGCCCGACGGGGCGGACAGCTCGATGGAGTACGTCAGTCTTGTCACTGTGTTATTCGACGTTGGTAGGGCAAGATTTGTGCGAATATTTGAACGGGGACAGTGTATTTGGAGAGCGAGAGGGATTTCGACAGGCCGTGGATGAGCACACACAAGGTTCTGCCGCTAAGGTGGAGCCACTGTTTACCCCACCTGACTGGGCAACCATTCTAACCTGTGCATGCACCGCCACACCGCCACACTGCCACCATTCACCCAATCAACAGCTGGATGCATGAGTTCAGCTGATGTGTTCCCTGCATCCTGCTGCAGCTGCATGTCCACAGCTCAATCGCTGCATTTGAGGTGAGCCCCTGCAAAATGCATGGGCAGGCCTAGATCATTTTGCCGCGTTGCATTCCATACACCGCAAACTCGTCTGAATAGCAGAACGCAGGTGAACACAGGCAGGGCAGGACGCACACAGTGGATGGTTTCCACCAAACTCTTTTCACACATTGTCAATACATTCCTCATTGCCAAAACCCATGGTATCCTGATTACAGAGACCGCCTTGTCCAAACTCCAAAGCCTATTAAAACGTGCAATCCCAATCCAATTCGTCAAAGCTCGTGATGGCTGAAGTTTCCATAGCAGGTTTAGTTCCCAACCTCCAGCATCTCCTTCAGCGCCTTCTCAGAAGCCCTTAGCCACCGCCCTCTCTCCTCGAGTTCATCTCCAATCCCACCTCCTTCCTCTCTTCTACGCCTTGCCTCCTTAGCTGCTGCAACCGTACCCTGCTTTTGTGTCTCCAGGGGCTTGAGCTCCCGCTCCAACTTCTCCAACTCGCGGGACTTGCTCGGTAGAGCAGACTGTAGCTTCAAGAGTTGTGCGTTCACGGCAGCAAGCTCCGACTCCCGTGTCTGCAGAAGCCTTGTCGTCTCAGGCAAAGGTAATGCCAATTCTGGGTTGTTCGATGCCGGAGTCTGCTCTCGCTTAAGCTTCTCAATGGTCGCTTCCAGGCTCTGGATTTCTGTAGGTAGAGACTCGAGCTGTGCTGTGCGTAGTTGTATCCCCTCATATCGAAGCGCCAGTTGTCTGCCCTTATCCTCGAGTTGTTTGAGCACTTCGGCGATCTCCAGCTTGCGCTCTTTCAGTTCCGCTTTGAGTGCCAGGATTTCCTTCTCCTTCTCGTCATTTTCGGAACCTTCTACTAGGCGCGGTGGATTGTCCGTAATGCTCCGTAAGAATTTCTCTTTCGTGACCTGCTCGACATAGCTGAATCGCAGCTTACTGAACAGTTCCTACAACATGTGTTAGCTAAACTCCACCAAGAAATTTAGGGGTGTAGAGACCTTGTAGTGCACCAGATCTGCTTCCAGCGCCGCGGGATGCGTGTCGCCATTCTGCTCGCTGTCATCGGAAACTGCGGAATTGCGCTTCTGGGCCGACTGTGGAAGATCTTTGGGAGACAGTGTTTCCGCAATCGCAAGGAGTTTGAGTGCCTTGGATTTCTGCAGCTGCTCGAGTGCAGACGAAGGGGTTGTTGCATTTTTGGGAGCCATTGTGGTGTTAAATCATTCTGATCAATTGTGGGGAGCGCAGTTTGTTTACCAAGGTTGGGGGGCGCGACCACACTGCCACCACCGCCACTATCCTGCCTGATCGGGGCTAGTGCTAAGACCGACTCGCGCTAACTTTCACATTCACTTGTGAACGTGCACGCCCCCCGCTACGAACACACCACATGCCGCAGCACATAACACCATGGCCGGGGATGATATCGATAATGATGACTACGTTGCCAATCTATTGAAACAAGATGCAAAGAACACGGCAAAGAAGTACGACATGGTGGGCCTTGATGCCTTCATCCCGAAACGGTGAGAACTCTCAAGCACTTCACGCCTTGCTCCGTTTTCTCATAGCAGACCAAAGAGAGCGGCTTTAATATTGTATCAGGTCACAATTAAGAGCTCCCAAACCGAACACGAGGTTTCTACGCCACATTATCCGCGAGACCGATTCACACAATGCCGCATTACTTGCCAAGGAGGCGGAGGAGTCCCGGGCACGTCTGCGGGAATTAAACAAGGAGAAGATGCGAAAGGAGAAAGATGAGCGCCGGAGAGAGCAAGGAAGGCTGACTCCCCCGGATATGACGGACGACGAGAGACGACATACGAAGAGAAAAAGACCCGACTACAGTGATGACGAGGAACAGGACAGAGTCCGGAGGAGGAAGCGGGAGTATGCCGATTTGGAGGATTACAGGTCTAGGAAGAGTAGGGAAACAGAGCGAGATAGACAAAAAGAAAAGGCGAGATACGAGCATGGCAAGACTGAGAGCTCTAAACACAGGTCGAGGCGAGAGAGGCGGCATAGGCACAGGGAGCGAGGACACGATTCCGGCAGTGAAGAAGACGATGATAGATCGTGTCGAAAAGACAACTCACACCCCAAACATAGGAGGCGGAAATATTGTTCAGAATCTAGGTCTAGGTCTAAGTCTAGGTCTCCTTCAACATCTCCCTACCCACAAAGGCACAAGTCATCACGGCAGCGACACGAATCGCACTCCCGTCGCCGTCAATCTGAAAACCCATGCGCCAGCAGATATAAACATAAAATATCGGATGACAAGACCAAACAAAGACGACAATCCGCAGGCCCTGGATCTGATTCCGATCCCCTTGAGGCCATTGTCGGACCTCTCCCTCCTCCTCAACCCATCGTTCGTTCCCGCGGCCGTGGCGCCTACAAAGCCAACTCCATGGCCATGGATGCCCGGTTTTCATCAGGCTACGACCCCTCCACCGACATCCACCTCAACTCCGATGTCGAAGATGATTGGGATGATGCCCTTGAAGCACTTCGGGATCGCCAGAAATGGAGACAGCAGGGTGCTGAACGACTAAAAGAAGCAGGGTTCTCTGCCGATCAAGTCAAGAAATGGGAAAAAGGCGACGTCAAGAACGAAGAGGATGTGGTATGGACGAAGAAGGGTGAAGGTCGAGAGTGGGATCGGGGAAAGGTTGTCGACGACGATGGAGATGTTGATTTGAGGGCTGAATGGGCCAGACTTAGATGAACAAAAAGCTTCTAAATGCAGCCATATATTCCTCCAATCGCCGATCGCCCACTCTTAACCACAATTTATGGGATAGATGGACATAGCTCGGATTCAAAGCCATATAGATGTGTTTCGATTACATCATCCCCTCTAATGCTTTTGCCTTCAAAGTAATACCTGAATCGACCAATCGCAACATTCGAGGGCTACTTGGCTCCAATCAGATCGGCAGAACATTCACCCCCCGCCATCGTACAATGACCTTCGCTACGCTTGAAACAATGTGCAAGGAACCCCCTATATCGCCGCCTTCCATTAACTCTATTGATGAATCTAGAATCGTCCATGGATAATACAGAGTATGCTAGAGGGAAGAAAAGACAACGAAAGAAGACTCCCAAGACGAGATCTGGCTGTATAACATGCAAGTAGGTGACCACAGCTTGCCTAAAGGAGTGCACCATCTTAAGCGGGATATAGAATTCGGCGCATCAAGTTCGATGAAGAGACCCTATTGCCAGAAATGCAGATCCATTAGAAGAAAATGTGACGGATTCGCAGAACCATCGGCAAGTGTAGGCAAGGAACCACCACCACTCATACAGCAATCCTATAGGAAACCTACGGGGGCGGATATTACTACTGCCACTACATACGCCACGTTCTCGGAACCTTCCGACGATCACCGGACAAACTATATGAACTATCCAACTACAACCTGGTCCTCCATTTCCCCATAGGCTTCCAGTCCATGCATCTTCCCGGTCGAGCATTCCACTATTTCATCCACCTTTCTTTAATCAACCTAACAGGTCCGCTCCACTTGCAAGTCTGGAACTCGTATATCACAGGCTTAAGCTCCCTAACCCTGATATCCAACACGCCGTCATAGCCCTCTCCAGGTTTCTCGAGCAGTGTTGTTTTCCGAGGTCAGAGTCAAACGAGGAGTTATGTTTGCGGGAATATTACGCCGCTGTAGAAGGCGTGAATATGTATTAGCGGATATTTTCCCGAAAGCAGGAAGCTGCAATTGTAATAAGCTAGTCTAGCGGCTTTCATCATATTCATTGCAATCGAGATCCTGCTCGGCAGCCAGGATACCGCAATCAGACATCGCCAAGGCCGCCTCGCACCTATCCGACAACATCTCCTCCCCACCTCCACACCCAAGCTATCCTCCGACCAAAAACCAGACTCCTTTCCCAAACCGTGGACACCCTACCGAAAAATATGTCACCTCTGACAGAATCCTCCCACCGAAAACCGCGCCAGCACATCTCAACGACAAAACTACTGATCTTATCTTCCTCTTCGCCCGCCTTGATCTACAAATCTTGATATTCCTGCCGGACCGCCATCAACCGCTTCTTCCTACCGCGAACACTCATCCTATTTCACAGTCTCCCGCGCTATCACCAATCGGGCAACTGCAACATCCACTTCCGAATTCGCCCTCGGTGTCTTTATATCGTGTTATTCGAAGGAGTTTATTTTGGCAACGGTATGTTGCGAACCATTTTGAGGGGGAGGAGGGAGAGGGAGAGGGAAAGGATGCGGTGGGAAAGAAGCTGAACAACAACAACAACAACAACATATAAGCACCACAGCCACAGATTTCGAAACCGCAAACCTACTCGGAGCATATCATCTGACGACGTTCAAACTCCGAGGCGTCTCCCCCCATTCTACCTCCCCACTAGTGCAAAGAATACAGCACCCCAACCTCCCATTGAAGGACAGCTCAGACAAGGATCTTGCATACTTCGGAGGTACCCTCCGATACAGCGCTATTTTTCTCAAAGCTCGGGCTTAGAACCAGCTTCACGCCTTATTTTTCTCCCTTGAATCAAGCACCATCGAACCTCTTTACTACACCGCGATCTACTGCTGCGATAACCTCGCTCAACATGAAGCCATCATGCAACTAAAAACCGCCGGGAGAGAGGATGTGTGGGATGGCGCGAAGATGGTGGAAAGAGCGCCACGTGGTATTTGTGGGAAGGTGGAAGTGGGCTAGTTATGACGTGTGTTGGATTGCGAGAAGCGAAGAGAGAATTGCTTGTGCGGGTGTGTGTGGTTGATGAAACTCCCCTAGTTCAACATCGAAACCAAGCATATACAAATGTCAAGAACTTACCACGAATTGAAAGACAGCAATCAAATTGGTTCTGTGATTTCATGTACGTGCCTGCCTACAGCGATATCCAAAGATCAATTTACCTCCGTCCTACCAGTCCACTAGACGCCATTCAAATGCCAGACCCGAAACACGCCAATGAGAGACTATGTAACTCGCTCGCTCAAAGGGGTATAGGAAAAAACTAACCGCTATATATCCTACAAAAGAAACAGAAGCAAGAACGAATCATATCACATGTCACCATCCGCGTGCCCAAACAAATAAAACAAAATAAAGAAACAAGAACATTACTCAAATCTAGACCAAGCCGTCCCCTCACCCCAACTTCCACCACCGATGCCGTTCATCCAACTCCTCACCCCCCTCCACTCCCCTTCCTCTCCCGTGTCCCCTGCCCCTGCCCCTCCCCCGCTCATCGCCATTAAAAAACCCACTTCTAAACTGCAATTCATACACATCTTCCTTCTCCCCCGCTAGTTCCTCCAGGCTCTGTCTCTTACTCTCTGGCACCAGCAAACTAGTCAACATACCCAAAAACATAAAGAGCGCGAAAATCTGCATGACGCCATGGATCCAGGGCGTTGGGTTGTCGTACGTTGCGCCGCGTTTGATCATGGGCGCGAAGATGGTCTGGGCAATTACGGCTCCGAGTTTACCCAGACCGGCGGAGATGCCGTGGCCGGTTGAGCGGACGCGAGTGGGGAAGATTTCGGCGGGCGTGATGAATGTTGTTGCGTTAGGACCTGAGATCATGGTCAACAAGGTGATTCAGGATAAAAGGGGGGATTTGGGTGGGTGTTACCGAAGTTGAAGAAGAACTGGGCGAGGACGTATAAAGCCAGGAGATGGTGTTTTTCAAGAGAATTATAGGCAAATCCAAGGATACAGAAGATGATAGTTAGGATGGCAAATCCACCAACTTGAATGGGCCTTCGGCCTAACTTGTCGACGGTGAAGACAGTCATCCAATACCCAGGAATTGCACCCGCACAGATAAGCACAAGTTGACCTGTAGCCGTGTTCTTCAAATTCACATAGACGTTTCCACTTTTGTCGAAACCCATGACCGAAAGCAGGGAAGCAGACGAAAAACCAAGTCCATAGAAGGCCAGGTCCAGGAAAAACCATGAAAATGCTGTCCCGAATAGCTTGATAGCATTGGATTTCTGGGTGTAGTATCGTACAGCTTCCATGACCGAAGGGCGAGGGGTCCGATACTTTGCCATTTCTCGGCGAGACTGCGCGCGCTGGAGATCGTTGAGGGTGTTGCCTTGTCGTCCAAAACGGTACCTACGGGCATCTACTGCAGCTTTCTCTATGTCGTACATTACATCGAAAGTGTATCGAGGGGTCTCCGGAATCGTAAGACGATAATACAGCGCAAACCATCCAGGTATACCCCCGAAGCCAATCAGGAAACGCCACATCTTGTCCACGGATTGAGCGCAGCCGCCTGTGCAGTCTGCCACAGACTTGATGGGTTCCAGATCATCCCTGTACGCAATAATGACGATGAGCGCCATCAGTGAGGCGGCAAGTTGGCCAACACCTTGCATGGCGAAGACAGCGGCAACAATGCCTCCTCGATACTTGGTACTGGCGAATTCAGCAGTAATGACAGCGGACAACGGGTAGTCTCCTCCTACACCGATTCCCATGACCACCCTATAGAAGATGATCACACCAACGATTGATAAGGCAGTAGATGAACCGCAAAGAGACTGGGCAAGGGTTGCGGAGATGATGATCATCAGTTCGACACCGTACATCCTCTTTCGTCCAAGGAGGTCGGCAAGGAACCCAAAAATGACTTGTCCGATGATAGCACCCGCGGATGTTGCGACTTTGATGGCTGTATCGGTATTGTGCGGCATTACCCCATTGTTTGAATCTTGCCAATACACGATACCGAGCATGATAGATGCCAGATTAATGGCGAACAGCTATAATGCTCTTAGCCTAATCCCCGACATCCCAACTGAAGATCAAGAACTTACGCTATATGCATCAGTGAAAAAGCCAATTCCCGTCACCACAATCAGTCGCACATGATACCATCCAAAGGGAGCCTTGTCAACTTCTGCTAGTGCCATCCGCCGCCGCTCGTTCGGGTCAGCGATGTGAGTCTTTGCACATTAGCCATGATTCCAGTCACAGGATTAGAGCACGAACATAGACTCCCGGAACATCTCGATAAGCTGCATTCCCGTAGCGCTGGAATGACAGCATGAGGGCTCGTGGTTTGGATCAGTGCTCTCGCCGGTAGGGCCCGTTGTCGGCCCGGTCACTCGGTGTCGATAAGGCAGAAGGAACCTAGGTTTCGTAGTTCTAAGGTTCAAGAAATGGAGGATCTACAGAGGGAGTACTGGAGGCAATAATTAGACATGTACGGCTATTTGACGATGCAACTGCATGCCAAGGGTGAGTATTGCTTCTTATCTGCGCTTTTGCGGGCCAGAAGCGGACAAGGAAAAGATGCGGAGGGAGTGCCATATTGTTGAATATCAATTGGATGACTTTAACTTGGCCGCTAGCGGAGCCTCTTGGGGTTTGGCTCAGCATGAACGCCATTCTGCAGCAATTCCACGAGGAGGATGCACGGGCTGCGATAGCGAATTTAATTGGTCCAATTCGTCTTGGTCGGTACGAACGTGCCGCCACTTCTGCCCTCTGGAAAAAGTGACGGGTGCATCATGAAGCTACGCGATGCCGTGAACATGGTCTGAGAAGGCTGATGAAATGGGGATTCTTGCGTCCATTTGCCATCGGTCGAAAGCACAACGCCACGAACCAGGACGTTGGAATTCGTCTTTGCCTCGTCCACCACCTTGGATCCCTGCGTAGCCATCTCGTGAACGATGCGCACATGGAAGCCTTCATTCAAATTTCCATAGTGCGTGCGCGAGTTCAGGACCCTGATCGGTGTATCCTTGTGTCATGCCGACCGTTGACCGGATGTTCCCGGCCATTGGCCTGCATGTTCTCACACAATCTGACAGGAACGGAGAGGTGGGGGGAGGGGGGCCCGATTTGAGATATCAATGAAGCACTGCAGATAAGTAACTGAATCCCGCAGGTAGCTCTTAGACGCTCCGGCGCCGTTGTGGCTGCTGTCTTCTGTTCTCAATTGCGGGGTGCCATCTACGAGGTGAAGCCTACAGCCAGTCAGCCCATGACATACTCACCCGAGCGATGGAGAATAGAGTGCATATTTTCAAAAAGGGATGAATCAAAGTTGATGAAGATGCACTGATAAGAATGTTTGGAGGAACCCGTGATGCTTGGCATGGTGTCTGAGCGTATATCCCAAAACAGGCTAGCGTAGACTAAGCGAGCCGAGAATTGACACACTGAGATTTTGGCACCGACTCCGACAATGAGACCAATTCACCTTTTGATACTAACCACAGCCCTACGAGGTATGTCAAATCCACGTCCTAGAATTCTCAAGCATTGACTAATTATGCTTTGTGAACAGTTCCTGAACTACAATGAGTACGCCCCGTCCACGACGAAGCCCAATGAGAGCGAATTTCGAGACTGACGATGAACATCAGCGAAGGGAACTTCCAGCTTTGGCAAGCGCCACAACAAGACGCACACCTTGTGCAGGCGTTGCGGTACGTTAAGACACCATTCCTTCAACTCTGCAACGGCAAGAGGAAGAAGTATTTGAGGATAGTGGGAGCTCGAGATTGATGGACATGTACTGATGGGAGATATCTACAGGTCGTCGCTCCCTTCACATCCAAAAGCACACCTGTTCCTCATGTGGATATCCTGCTGCTAAGGTCCGCAAGTGTATGTATCCCCGAAAGCCTCCCTTTGCGAGGGATATGGAAAGGGTGTTGGATTGACACTTCTTCAGTCAACTGGGGCGAGAAGGCCAAGCGAAGGAAGACCACCGGTACCGGCCGCATGCGATACCTCAAGCACGTCTCTCGCCGATTCGCCAACGGTTTCCGAACGGGCGCACCACCAGGGGCTAGGGGTCCATCTACTGCGTAAGCGACGCTGAGTTGAGATGAGTGGAGCTCGCTTGGTGTGGATGATGTAGCCATGGAAGTCAAAACAGCAGAAGCATGATGGGGAGAAGGTGATTTTCACAAGCAAATGGTATTGCTCGGGGCGTTACTTTGCTCTCTCTCCCGGTTAGCTTTCCATCCAGATGGGGCGGGTCAGGCTTTTGCGGCATAAATTAAGGAAAATTTCATCATGCTCTGTCAAGAATGAAGACATGGAACTTCAATAATTGCACCAAATTGCGCTGGGTAGAACTTGTTCGGTGATGCTGATGCGTGATAGTAGCCTCTTGCCTTGATGCAATGTTGAAGATACAACAGGGTACTAAAAGCCGAATGTCCTTCCCAGCATCCTCTAGATCCATCCCAGCTTCTCAATGATGACGATGCATAAAAACAATTATTCCTAGCAAATGGAATGACGAACACACATCAAGTTATACAAGGCCTAAGTCTCCTCCTATTCCCTCTAAATCCTTATCTGCATTCCCACACCAGACTATCCACCCACCCTCAACAACCTTCCCCTGCCCCCCTCTCAAACACCCTCACCGACCCATCCCCCTTAACCAAATACAACAATTCCCTTCCCTTTGTACTCTCTTCATCTTCACCCTCCAACATCCCCAATACTAGCCCCCCACGAACCCTATTCTGGGTAACCCCAAGCACCCCACTAACATCTCTCGCAACGCCCGTATCCAGCACCCGACAACTACAGATCCTAGTACTCATATGCGCGAGCTTGACGAGGAGATTATGTTCATCGATTTCGAGTGGGGAGGAGGGCGAGAGGAGCGGGGTGTCGGCATTGAGGTGGACCAGGATGTGGGATGCAGGGTAAGGGGGGTTGGTTTGAAGGGTTAGGAGAGTGGAACAGAGTGTTGAGGAAGTTAGGGTGGAGGTAGATGGGGAGGGAGAGGTGGCGAGGAGGATGGAGGGGGAGTCGAGGATGAGGAGGATTTTCTTTGTGGTGGTGGAGGGTGGCTGGAGGTATGCGATTGCGGATGAGATGGTTGATGAAAGGGGTTTGAGATCGGGCGATGTGAGGGTGAAGAATCCTGGTGTAGTAGATGTATTCGGTTGGTTTTTCGATGTCGAGTTCCAAGTCGTAGTTGATGCCACTACTGCAGCCGCTGGGTCCCTCGCTGGTGTCCTCCCAGGTGGGCCCCTCACCGGAACTATCGACTGCGGTGTCCTCCTCACCAATCCTTCTGCCGTCTTCGCTATCTGTGGTATCCTCTCCACCTCGTTCTCCATTTCCTTCTCCCCCTCCACCCGGGGAAGGAACATCCCCGTCAACCCATCAACAAACGCAATCCTCTTCGCCATCATCAATCTCTCCAAATCCAACCCCCCACCCTTCCTTCCCTCACTCTTCCAAAACTCCCATTCCCTCACCCAACTAACCAGTACAACCGCTGTTTCTTCTGGTCCATCCGCTCCATTCCCGCCTTCATTATCGGATTTGAAATCAGTAGTCAAAGCATCGCACAGGAACCGAATGATGAGCCAATTCGCGCTCGCACCCAAGACGCTTGTGAGGAGAATGATCGAGTCGTCTTTCGGAAGTCGCGTGTATGGTTGGAGAAGCGGAGGAATGCGCGAGGAGGGTAGCATTGTGAGAGGCATGCTGGTAGTCGACTTGAACTTTTGGATATGTTAGATATGTTATCGATAAGGGCTTCGGATCGAACATGACTACATCTCACCTCATCTTTTTTTGTCGTCACGGCTCGAGAGGATGGCTAAACACAAATTTCATATTTTTTTGGTTTTTTTTTAACCCGCTGCACCTCCTAGCACATACAGTGACAACGATGTCGAGAAATTAGGAGTCTAGTCCTACTAATCATCTCTTCATCGTCTTGAAAGCACCCCTCCAATCTCCATCCTCAAACCTAAATCCATTATGGAAACGCGAAATAGCCATCCTAGGGTCATCAGCCCGGAAGTATGAGCAGGCCCAGTGAGAGGAGCTGCTGAGATGAGCCGCTGAGATGGAGCCTGTAAAGCCACTACCACCATAATCCCATTCCCAATTATTATTTTTTGGAAGATTAAGTTCGTCTTTCCTAACTTTCTTAAGCCCACCCTTCCTCGCGCTAGCCTTATCCAAGACGGCGAAGCCTATCCATTGCCGATAGCTTCTTTTCTGGCACCTTGACTTCCTGTTCGTCTCCCTCGTCTTCAGTTTGTTCAACCGGTTGAACTGGTTTAATTAGTTCATTCTGTTTGCTTCCTTCTAGGGTTAAATCCTCTGAACTGGCGATTATGCTTTCTCCTCCACTGAAAGTTTCCATATGGACATCAGCTGTATCACCACGATACGACTTGTGAATATCCTCTGAATCTTTTTGAAGTACCTGAGCACCGCCACCTCTAGAATGAGAATGAGTAGGTTGCTCGGCTCCAGCTGGGCCAAAGTCGAGCTTCAATAGTTCTCCGTAATGCGTAACTCCCTCGATCGTCTCAATGTCTACGACTCCTAGTTTGAGGTAAGCGTCTTTCTTAGCTTTCTTCGAGACACCTAGAAGAGTCCTGGCAGGCTTCCATTGACTCCACGTCTTACCACTGGTGGCTATTTCCCCCAATTCATAGACGAAGAGCCAAGGGAAGCTCATGAGAGGCATATGTTCCGGATCCATTTTGCGGAACGGGATGTTCTCGCCCCCAACGACCTTGCTCATGCTGCACTCTAACAGTGCCGCTTTCAGCTCTTGGGCAGTAACGGTGTACATAGCCGCAACGAAGGGAGCCATGCGGGTGAAATCAGCTGCACTAGTCGCCCCGGCTGCTTCACGGCATAAATCACGGAATTGTTGTTTTAGGGCGTTAACAGTCTTGCCAAACTCCTCAGCAAATGTGTAATCCCGGGCCTCCTGGTTGTGCGAAAGCACAAAAATTGACCAAGCCTCAAATTCTGTACGAATAGAATGTTTGGCCATCAGGCGCCGTAATGAAGAGTCATATGCAGACTTGATGGAGGCAGCGCTCTCTAAAGCTTGGTCATCAAGCTCGAACGCATTTAGTATACGTGGGTCGAATTGATTCTCATACCGAGGCTTGAAATCAACAAGCTTGACTTGATCGAACAATATCCCCAAAACGTTTGTGGACTTATAGATCTGCTCCTTGGTCCTGTACTTGGAGTCCATGAAATGCGGCCACTTTTTAGGCTTAAGTTCAGGCCCCATTATGGCTGGGATTCCGCTCTTTGGGTAATCAACAGCTTGCGAATGTAGCTTTGCAAGCTCCAAGCCTTTTGTATGGTTAGCATACTTACTTCAGGAAGTTTTCTGACTACTCACATTTGTCGCTCCGAGCTCCTGCCTCGTTAAAATCTGCCTGAGCTAGATGGGAGAGTGCGATCCTAGCTAGGCTATCATTCTTGATGTAGGTCACAAAGAATGCCATGATGTCTTGGATTGTGATCGTCCCGTCCTTTTCATGCGACTTATCTGGGGTGAAATCCATCGGAGGCTCGTTGATGTCTTTCGGTAGGAAATCACTATCCCACATGACGAGATAATCATCACCATCCAAATCGCCACCAGAACACATATTAGCTAAGTCTCTATCCCCAGTCTGTGGAAGGACAACGACATTTTTGAGATGATGGAGGTCTTTGACATCAATAGCCCGAACCACACGGATGTCACCGGCGTGGAGGGACGGGTTACGGGCGAGGATGCAAATGCCTTGTACAACCTTGTACCGGCCTTTATGTTCAGGATCGGATATCTGAATGAAGATTTCAGGTAGGCTGGCGAGTTTCTCTTCCCTGCTAACTCCTTCTCGAGACTGAGTGTCGTTATAGTGCCCTTGAAGTTTGGCAGTTTCATCCACGCATCCCAAGACAAAGGCCCCATCATCGATGGCAATCCTAGCCTTTTCTTTCAGGGATTTGATATGAAACGCTCTCCAAAGCTCCAGTAAAGACATCATGAAAGGGTCTCTGCTCCTCATGAATCCATGTAATATCATCTTGGCCATCGTGAGGGTAGTCTGATTGAAGTCAATGTTTCGTTGAAGCCTCTCGAGGGCTACGCTCTCTTTCTTCGTTGCCCTCTCGAGATAGTTTACCATGTGTTGTTGCTTCCTGATGAAATTGTAGTCAGGAACACCCAAAGTTGAGAGAATGATTATGAGCTGTCGGTTGAAGCAAGCGGTCGCAAACGCTGAAGCGCGGATGATTTCCAGACCTTCCTGTTTAGTTTTAAACTTATATTGGCTAGGTCGGGTATGAAGCTCGGGGCCAGCTAGCTTAGGGTCCACTGCAAGGACGCCTTTATATCCAGCTAAACGAAACTGGTACAGCGATGGAGGGTCGTCAAACGGATTCTGAAGTCCAAGTTCTTGGGCTGCCATCTGTGCTACAAACAGCGACAGCTTCCCAACCCCATCGGTAAAGATGTAACCATTCCTTATGATATCAGGAATCTCCTTCAGTATGAAATCCCGGCCTGGGCTCTTGATGGCGCGCGTGGTCGAGAAACACTGTCCAATGCGAGCTCCGTATTTGGCCACAGTCTTGATGTGGTCAAAAGAGCCCATTGAGCTGCGGATATCGTCTGCATTCAAAGACGTTGTTGGAGCAAAGAAATATGCACCGTGCTCTCTAAACTGCGAGTTCCCGAAGGCCAAGAATTGATAGAAGCGACCGGCCACGATGATCCCTTGAGTCATTGCATGTTCAATACGCTTGAACAGTGCCTCAGATCGGTTGTCTCCTTGGCTACCGATGCGGCCTTCCGTTTTCTCATCAGAGAACTTGACGCGAAGGAACCGATCCGCATCTCCGTTGAATTTCCGAATGATGCGATTTGAAGTCTCCACGACTGGCGTTGCAACATGTATCATCGTCGGAGTGATGTTCGCAGTGCGGGTGAGAACGCAATAGCTGGGTATTTTCTTTGCTAGTTTGGTCTTGACGTGAATGTGGAAGATCTCCATTGGGTCATAGTAGACAGTTTGTTTGTCTGCGACTATTTCGAGGATGTGCTGTGCTTCAGCAGGGACCATGGACGCAAGGCGCTCAAGGAATGTTTGTGAAATGTTGTGTTCTTTAAGATAGCCGTTCGTTAGGCAAACTTCCAACTGGTATCGGGTCGGGAAACTCAAATGAACTTGGCTTGTAAGGAGGTCGTCCAATGCCGATGGCAAGGAGGAAGAGCTAGGCCGCAGATGCTCCGAGGAATATTCCTCCTCTAACGATGTCCAGAGCGGAGGAGTTGCTTTGCCTACAAAGGTGTAGCCGACTTGGTCTTTGATGAGAACACCATGGTCAGCGAGGGCGGCTGTGAACTCTTCAAACTGGGAGGATGCAAGGGCAGAGGGAGAGAACAACAACTTATAAATTGTCCATCGCCCTGAACGGATTAGCGGTGGCTCTATAAAACAATTCATGGTATGAGCTTACCAATGTTGAGGATTACAGAGTCCTTATGATTCATGATTGGTTGGAATTCCATACGACGCTTAGTCTTGTCATCTACGACGTCAGTCTGGCGGTACCAGGCAAGCCAATCAATCCAAGTCCGCTCCGACTGCTTGAAGGTCTCGTGAATTTTCTTCCGCTCGACTTCTTTAAAAAATCGCGGTGGTGAGTTGAAGGGGATGATGAGCGCAACTTGACCAGTTTTAGCATCGGGAACCTTATAGATATGCTCGAGAAGAGAAAGAGGGAGTTGGAATCGATATTTTTGTGTCTCCTCATCAACCTTTAGAGGGAACTTAATGTCAATCACTTTCCGCTTCAGGTTGAGCATGACTTGAACCTCATTTTGCCCCCCAGTTGTGAGCATTGTCATCATGCTAGTGTCTCCGACTCGGAGGCCAAAATCGATTGAATTACTGAGGAGAATGTTGACTTCTTTAAATACTTTCGAAGGATCGACCGGGCTTGGGACATAGAATACTCGAGGTGGCAGTACCTGAACCCTCACGGGCACATTAGCAATGTTGATAGTTCTGCTGAGAAGGTTCTGCGGTGGCAGGGGTCTAACCACGTTATCAGTAAAACCCTGGACGCTGTGTAGAAAACCTACTGGAAGATAATATAGACTACGCTGTCTATAATCCCCGGCTGCATCTCAATCCGCACAATGTTTCCATATTGGGACAAAGCTTTGTGAATATCAAACGTCCCGGCGGTTCTAGCTACGCCGAGAATACGCATCCTGAGTTCTTGGCTATTGGCCCAGTCCTGCTCCCCTCCACGAATGATAGATCTGTCGGGTGCTGGTTGCCTACTGGTTCCATAGTCACTGCGGCCTTGAAATATGGTAGACGTCGAAGTCAGAGATCGTGGGTTATTATAGTATTGCCGTCCATTGTAGCCTTGACTTGGGATAGGACTTCCGGCTGGTGTGGATGGCAGAGACCCTGATCCACGACTGATATTGGATGAGTGGTAAGTGAGCCGTGGGGAATGTCGGCTGGGGCAGTCTGGTTGGTCTTGTCGACGACGACCTAGAACCGTCGATAGTGGTTGCCCATTTGGGCTCGTGTTGAGAATCGGACGGCCGTGGTTGTATTGCCCACCAAAACCTGAGCTGCAGCGGTCGTTGACTGATGTATTTGAGGAGGTACGTCTCTGCCCAGCCGGTGGGGTGCCTTCACTCCCTCCACGGCTGCGCGTGTTTTGCATCTCGTCGCTAGACAAACCTCCAATATTGAAGGTGAAGTCAAATACAGGCTGGGCAGGCGGTTCAAGAGCGGCAGGGTAGGCCGCGTGATATGCCGTAGCTGCATCGGCACTCGAGTCGGCCCAGCTATATAGTGACTCCATCTTTGTAGGGGCGCTTGCCTACGCGGCGAGTTCTGGTGAGTTGCTCTGGTGAGTTGCTCTGGTGAGTTGCTTTGGTGACGCTGCACAGACGAAGGCGGTGAGTAGCAATGGAGGAGATGCGGTGGTGGAGTGACAGTCGGTGAAGGGGGAAATCGGTTTGACTACGGAGTCGTTTGGGAAGCCGCGGTTGCTCGCTGGCGTCACTGTGAAATGGAAGGAGCTTGAAGACGCCTTGCAGGCTCAAAGAAGCGGTCAATTTTCTCAAGCTTAACTGGCGAGACAGTTTTTGGCGGGGAGGATGCCGAAAGGTTGGGAAGAGGAACTACGTTGGGTGTGACAAACAGTTTGAGGATTGGGAGAATGGTTGTTGTCTGGTCTCAACTCTAGAAGCAATCTGAGGAAGCGATGGCCCTAGAGAAGGTCGCAGAGCTGTGCTCACAAAGTGGTTGTCGGTTGTTTGAAGAGCAAAAGCTCTGAATCTGGAGTGCCAAGCTGGAATTTGACTGAGAGGCTGGAACAGTAAAAGAGGTCCGAGGAGGAGTAGCTCGGAAACAGCGCGAGGTATATTGGCGATGGAGATTGAGCGGGGGTAAGCCTACAAATTAATGACACCTAGATCGTCTGAGGTAAAGGTTCGGCTCAGTTGATTAAATATAGTGTGAAGTGATGGACTGACAGTAGTGATATAGAGATGATCACAATCTAACTTGGTGAAGAATTGACTTTTGAACAAGAAAATATTGCGATGAAAAAGCTAGGGAAAGACTTGGTATTGGGGTTGCCGCGAGAAAACAAAGCTAATTCCTCACCCGAAAACTCCTGACACCATAGCTTAGTAGAGCAAGATGAACAAGATGAGTTGACACCCGCCGGGTATAGGAAATTTGTCCACCCTTACAGAGCAGGATTCTTACACAGAATAAACGGTCATGCACAAGCAACTAACTGCTGCCTAACGTGTCAGACCGCAGCTGTTCAGTAATCTTAAATTATTACTAGACTTATTTCATGGGGTATCTATCGATTGCGCCGTCTGGACTCCAACACTGATCCCAATATCCAATTCCATACAAGACACGGAGTAACCCAATGAAGTCCCTTGGCTAGAGCGTGGGAGCGCTAGGTCGGATTGTGCATATGGCACGCTCTCATCAAACATTCTGGAAGGCTATACGATCCGGGAAGCCACCCCTAATCCAGCCGCACTATCCGTATACGCTGATTCATAGTTCTGTTGTCTCTTCAGCCTCCTCGTCTGGGTCTCTTCCAGTGCCAAACGCGACATTTCCGGGCGAGGACGGGGTCGTAGCGAGAAATCCATCCACGTCAAACAGAGCCTGCCCGGTCGACTGGAAACTGCCTCGCCTCTTTCCAAGCCCTTCCAAGTCATCCTCTTCCTCATCCTCCGTCATTACAACGCCGACCGTCGTATGCCGGCGGTTTGGGGAGACAGCTTTCAGAGCGGGTCGCTTGGTAGGGGAGAGTTTCCTAGGGACCGACTTTGATCCAAATCCGATCTTTTGGCTGTGTGGTGTATGTATGGTGGGTACCTTGAAGGTAGCTCGGGGTTTGGGGCGTTTAGGTGTCGATCCATTCTTTGACGAACCCGTCGAGTTAAATGATGCATTTGCCGAATTCTCAGTAGCTGTGTTAGATATGGCCTGCGTGCCTGCGTGAGCAGCTTCATGAGTAGGAAGTGCGGATTTCCGACGCCGATACTGGCGAGGCGTCGTGGGGGGAATTGGTTTAGTGTGGGAGTGCTCTCCGGAATACATGGGCCAGGAATTGTGTAGAGGGAGACCCATAGATGCAAGAACTCTGCTCCGTAGAGACCTGAGCTCGTGAAGTTCCTGGTCCTTTTCTGAGCAGACATCTGTAAGTTTTTGGACCTCCAACCTGTCAGCTAAGGTTGGGTTTTGGGAGTGGATACCGACCTTGCTCTCTAGTGCGTCGATGGTGCTCTGATTGAGCTGAACTTCCCGTCGGCCAGCTTCAAAGGCATCCTGAGAGTCCTTGACAGATGCGAGGGCTTTTTGTAGCTCCTTGTTAAGACGATCGTATTCCTCCGTGGCCTATCAATAATGAGTACGAGCTACCCATGAGGCGTGAAGTGGAAGCTCACCTTGGTTGCAGCCGCTTCCAAGTCATTTTTATATCTTAATTTAAGATCTCTCAACCTCTCCTCTGAAGAGCGAATCGACTCTTGATGATGAACTTCAAGCTTTCTTAACTGGGCCGTGGTAATCTGAAGGTCTGTTTCAGTGTCGCATAAACGGCTTTCCAGGATATTTCCGTCACTCTCAAGTTTTGTGATTCTGTCTGCTTGTTGTGTGATAATGTGACGCTCTAATTCTAAATGCTTCTCGGACTCATTGAAGCTGGCTTGAAGAGATCGATGTAATTTATTCAAAGATTTGAGATCCTTTTCTTTTTCTTGTGTCTCGTCCTCCAAGTGCCTCACTTCCCGGCTCAGATTCTCAATATCCTTGTCTCGTGCTAAGAGAGCTTCTTCGTTGAGAATGATTGTGGATCGGTATTGTAGTTCTTTGGCATTGGACTGTTCTTGAGCCACACGCAACGCTTCGCCCGACTGCTTGTTGGCGTTCGTATATTCTTTCTTCAATTCCTCGAACTTGGCAGATATACCGTCCTTCGCACTTTCAATGCTGCTGAATTCGGCTTCGAGGCCGTCAACATAGAGTCTCTGGTTTACTGCCTCCGTCTCCAAAGTTGTCATTTGCGCACGGAGGTGGGTTATTTGAGCAGTAAGCTCTTTTACTCTTGCCCTCTCCTGCTGGAGAGGTTCTTCGACGTTTTCGCACCTACTCTCTAGCTCTTGACAGATTTGTGCCACGGACCTAATGACAGAGTCACGTTGGTAGAAGTTTTGGCGTTCAAGTTCCGCCCCGAGGCGTTCTCTCCAATTCTGCTGAGAAGACCCTGTAGATGGCGTGCATTCCTGTTCAAACAAAGAGAGAGGTGAATGTGTAGGAGTGGATGTCGAGTGTGAGCAGCGATCAGAGATGTGTACAAGTTGCTGTTGTTTACTTATTAGAGCCTGTGCAAGACTCTGTGAAATCCCTGATTCCGCTGGCATAGAAGACAGAGCGGAAGTAAGAAACATGGTGACGGTATTCAGTTGAAGTTTTCGGCGTAGCAACATGATAGAGGTTGTACAATGCTGCTCGCCAGCACCTCCGAAGATGTCGTCTTGGATAGGTTCAAGAAACCGCTGCACACTCCCTTGAAGTTCGCTCGACGACAGCGCAAGCAAGATTTGAGACCGTATGGGTGCAAAATTCTGGACTACATTTGTAAGCTCCTGAGCTAATACAGTGAGACTCAGGATTTCAGTCGGCGAAGAAGACTGAATGCAGATTCGAATTGTCTTAGATAAGATGGCCTGCAGTGTTGACTGTCTTAACTGGGCCTATTTCGAAATCAGATAGTGCATTGCCGATAAGTGGAGACAAGCTAACAGCAAACAGTGGTAGAGAAATTTGCAATGTTTGTCGTGAAGAATTCGCATCCGTTTGAAGTCCGGCTACTTTTAAGAGGGCTTCCTCGTACTGCACAACAATGTCAAATGGGAGGGCATTCTCTCCCACGATCAATGCGTAGAAACAGAGTGCCTACAAACTAGTTCAGTAAACTAGAGGACTGTCGAAGTTGGAGACGCACCTCAATTTGAACACTCGGGTGTATACCTTTTCGCAGAATTTTGGTGGCTAGTTTGGGAAAGCTGTTCTTTGCAAGAGCACTGCTGCTCGGCCAGCCTTGACGAACATCCTTTGGGATGAACTGCATTGTCCTAATGGCAATCTTGATGCACTCGACAGCTTCAACATCTGAGACACCCACGCCTCCTTTCGTCGCCCAAATGACGCTGAGGTACGTCAAATTGATGGTTTTGTGTAGCCCACTGGCAGATCCAAAGAGCTTGCGGCCGGATATTGTACTCCACTCTCGCGTAGGGGCCACATTGGGGGTATGGATTTCAGAGCTGGTGAATGAGCTCGATAAGTTGGCGACTTCTTGAGGACGCTCTGCAAGAATTATGATGCCAAAACACCAGAGCAGAAGCATGGAATTCGGTCCTGTAGAGTTCGAGGAGAGAATTTGGCAGAGCTCTTTATCAAAAGTATGCCTTGCCTCGGAAGGCAGCAGAGTGAGGAGGTCTCTACATGCACCATTGAGCATGCAGTAAATCGGCTTCAGAGTACGAACCTCCGGTGTCTTGATAGCTCTCTCGAACACCCGTAGAAAAAAAGACTGCGCACCTGCAGGCAGTGGCACGGCTTCAGGAAGAGGCTTTGAAAGCAACAGCACACAAAGTTCGCTGGACTGGGTTAAAAGTGAGCTTGGGGAGAAAAAAAAAGTAAAACTAAAGCAAATAGACATTAGGTACGTTCCACGACGCACGGTGTCGTGTGCCATGTATCTTCCCCTGTTTAGAGGCTGCACTTACTTCGTCGAAGTCGTGCTGAGAAGCATTTGCCTTTGTGAGTAGGGCTGTAAGAAGGCCAGGATGTTGAAAGAGGAGTTTGTCTCGAAATTCGGAGGAGTGACCTGTCATCGCATGATTAGCTGCATGCAGCTTTGTCGAGCCCGACTGGGGGAGGTGGAAGCGATCTCATACAGAGAGACTGCAGAATGCGCAGCGTGTACGCCCAGAGGGGTAATGCTGCGGATATGATTGCAGCAAGCTTTAGAATGGCACAGGGGGGCCGATCAAGGATGCACTTGCGTACAGCAAAGCCATTTGCACGGGCGAGGATGTCGGCCAATTTCTGCGCCCGCATGTCAGCATGAAGGTGTCCATCGCCCAAGTGCATAAGCTTTCAATCATGTGTTCTCGTCGTGCAACAGGTGGTAGCACCAAAAGTCTGGGGCAGAATGTGGAGAGTGAGGAGAGGGGAGGCGTGTAACTGACCGTTAACGAGGCTGGATACGGACATGCAATGATTCTGGTCAATTCAAGGGACAGCTCCGTCTCGGCGTCGGCCATGGTGAAGCACTGTTTGCGATCCGCGTACACCGTATGTTCGGGAGGGAGACAGGGTGCTTTGTCTGTCGGGCGATGCCCAACGTCGACATTTGTTTTTCGCGGTGTTGTTGGCCCTGACAACGGCGCGAATACGCCGCTTCTGCATGGAACCTGTAGCAGCGTCTCTTGTACGACGTTGAACACCGCATCGCACTCCCTGGTCCCAGCGCGCTCAATGTTCACTGTCCACGTTAGAGTTGACGTCAGGCCGTTAACACCTCGCTGCTGCGCTGAGATTTCGAGGATGGTCACGCTCTGGAATAAGGAATGGTAATATTCGCGAAACCCTGACAGACTCATTGGCCCCAAAGCACACTAAGCTTATTGCCCTCCTCGTGGCTGCCAATGGCCGCAGTCCGACGCACGTCACTTCTTGTCCTGCATGCCGCAGAACGTCTCTAATGTCTTTGGACGACACCTTTCACACTGGCCTCCCCCGCCGCCAGCGGCTCGTAACCTTCTACTGCGGGTCTGCGGTATTTTTTCTTCACCGTCTCCGAGGCCCAGGCGTCATCGACGGAGGTTTTCAGCGGGATGAGGTGGAGTCGTGGCGTGCGCTGGGCAAGAGTGGTGATAGCGGGACGTCCAGCCTGGAGGTTCCCCCACACTCTCTCCAACACGAGCGTCCCGGACTCACACTGCCTGACAGGGCCTCCAGTTTTGAGGGGGTAATGTGTACTACTGGCGTCCAATGTGACCACTGGGGCGTTTGAGGAGAAAGCAAGGGAGGTAGAAGATGCTCACCCCCTTGCACAGTGCACTTCCAGGACGTCGCCGCGGATGTGTGCATTGAAGGCTCGTAGCATGGGAGCCTCAAAGCCATGGTCAACGGTGAAGGCCCAGCGCCCCCTGGCAGAGCGCCTCAGGACTTCGATCCCCGCTCGATCAGGAAGTCAGGTGCAGCAACATGGCGGCGCAAGAAAGGTACAGATCCAAATCCACAGCGGCGGTCCTGGAGTGCGAGGAACGGGACGCCTCGTCCGTGCTGTCACGCGACAACCCCAGGATGGTTGACGAGAGCGACACGCACAAATTATCACATCATCTCGTCTCCACGACACGCTGTGGCTCTTGTTCATCCTAAGTGCGCACACTTGCGATTGCCATCATGCCTTTCCCCGCAATTGCTTTTCCTTCTTCAATTATCCCTGCAGCTGATCATGCAGCCCTTTTTCCTTGCAATTTGTTGCATGAGCCGACTTTTTGGGGCACACGAGCCGGGCATGACGGCAACTTGCTCCTCTGCCACTGGCTGAGCCCGAGCTGTACAAGCAACTGGGAGCTTTACTGCGGCCGTGCCTGTGCGTTGGCTCGCGTTGCGTTGCAAGCGACGCTCTAGGAGTGAAACGCGCCAACTGCGTTTAGACACAAATAATAGCTTTGTCTGCTCCCCGCTCGAACTACAGTGCCATCAAACTACCTCTACTACAAAATGTGTAGCGGGGTCTGCGTTGGTACTGTTATGCTCTCCCCTACTTCTCTGAACTTTCTTATGCGGCCAGACTGATGGCCATTGCAAGCAGCTACAAGAGCCATTTGCTACTCCAACCCTTAAAGGCTGGTGACAGCCTCTGACCCCCCCCTAGACTCTAGTTTTCGCCATGTTCCGCCGTCCAGCGTCGCGATTGAGGCAGCTGGCCTCGCCTCTGCTGGGGCGGGGTGCTCTCCGGGCGCAGACGAGCACAGCCGAGCAGACAGCCAACCTGAAAATTGGACAGAAGCCTTTTTGGACCTCAGGCCGAGTCCTTCTCTTCACAGCTTTGACGGGTTCTGCAGCCTACCTCTACGGTGTCAACGATGATACCCCGCGATTCCGATTCCCCTGGATCAGGTCGTTAATTCCCCGATATGCTTCGAAGACGGAGATGGAAAAGGTTGGCTGCAAGAGTATCGTTTTTAGTAGGTCCAGATACTAATTGTCTCACACAGGCAATTGACGAGTTGAGGTACTTGCTGGGAAGCGATGCTATCAGCACCGACGACGAAGACCTCCACTTACACGGATATTCGGAGTGGTCATCTATCAACATTGATCAGCTACCAGTTGCTGTGGCTTATCCCAAATCTACGGAAGAAGTCTCCCAGATTGCCAAAATATGCCACAAGTATAAGATCCCGATGAGTATGTTTTCTACAGGATCTCCACTCAAAACTTCTCCCGACTGACTTTCTCTATAGTCCCCTATTCTGGCGGATCCAGTCTTGAGGCTAATTTCTCTGCTCCGTATGGGGGTATGAGCATTGACTTCTCCTTCATGGATCAGATCATATCCTTGCACGCAGACGAGTGAGCGGAACACACTTTTTGGCTTCTGGACGCTATGGTTGACAAATGAATGTTAGTATGGATGTCGTCGTCCAGCCCTCGGTGCCCTGGATGAGCCTCAACGAGGAAATTAAAAATTCTGGCCTTTTCTTCCCTGTTGATCCGGGACCATCAGTGAGTTGTTAATCGAAGCCGCTCGGGATACTCGAGAAGGCACCCCGGCTCACGTGTTGACAACCGATAGGCTAGAATCGGCGGAATGGTTGGAACTAGCTGCAGGCAAGTTCATTTTGCGGAATATTTTTGAGAAACAGGGAGCTGACACCTGTCAAGTGGTACTAATGCCGTGAGATATGGTACGATGAAAGATTGGGTTATCAATCTCACAGTGGTACTTGCAGATGGCACCATAATCAAAACTCGTCGACGTCCTCGGTATGCTGAATCCTGGCGCAAACTGAATTCGAGTTTCAAGCAGCTAACCATTACGTAGCAAGTCCTCCGCTGGATACAATCTGACCAATCTTTTTATTGGCTCGGAAGGCACCTTGGGTTTGGTGACCGAAATCACTCTAAAGCTTACAGTCATACCGCAAGACACTAGCGTCGCCGTCGTGACATTTCCCACTATTCGCGATGCTGCAGCGGCGGCAGCAAAGGTGATGCGCGCAGGGATACCTGTAGCTGCGATGGAGATCATGGATGAAGTTCAGATGGCTGTGATTAACAAGGCTGGATCCACCGCAAAAAAATGGAAGGAAGTTCCAACCATGTTCTTCAAGTGAGTAAACGTAAACGCCTATAGTCCAGTAAGAGCTATAAGGACTAATAACAGGCGACAGGTTTTCTGGGACAAAAGCAGGGGTGAGCCTTGACCCTGAACGGTGGGATTTCCTAGAATGGAACTGACTGCATAAAAGGTTCAAGAAAACGTCCAGCTAGTTAAGTCCATCGCGAGAGCGCACAAAAGCGGGGACTTCGAGTTTGCCATTGATGCAGAAGAACAAAAGACCTTGTGGTCGGCAAGAAAAGAGTCCCTGTGGAGTATGCTTGCCTTGCGCAAAGAAGGTCATGAAGTGTGGTCGACAGATGTCGCGGTACCGCTTTCTCGGCTTCCAGACATTATAGGTACGAAGTTCGCGTGGAGATAAATGGAGACAGTTACACTGATGAGAAATATAGAGGTATCCAAGAAAGAAATGGATGATCTAGGTCTCTTTGCAAGTATTCTTGGCCACATCGGAGACGGAAATTTCCACGAAAGCATCATGTACGACAGTAAGAACCCCAAAGAACGTGCTGCGGTCGAGAAGTGCATCAAAGATATGGTGAATCGTGCATTGGAAATGGAGGGCACGTGCACTGGAGAGCATGGTGTTGGACTCGGGAAAAAGGACTCACTCATGAGAGAGCTTGGTCTCGACACTATCAATGTCATGAAGAGCATCAAGAGCGCTCTTGATCCACACTGGCTGATGAATCCAGGAAAAATCATGGACATACCAGCATAATTTGCTGGGTCGAGTGCGGAAGTTTCCCTTGGTTGGATATTCTCTTCCAGAGTATCAAAATCCATTGCATCGGGTGGCCTTGGTCGATTTGAACTGCATAACGCCGCGGGGATTTAGATAGACTACGCATCCTTTCCAATACCTTTTTTTTTTTTTGGCGGCTTTCAAGCCCCTATCTGATACCGAAAGCGTGGCATGTTGTGCAAAGCCATGTTGATGATGATTATATAAATTTGCATAGACCGGCCTGGATTGTGTTGTGGCAAAAATTCAAGTCCACACCCCGCCACGAAACACCCCACATCCGTCATTTTTCAGGCACGAGGTCAAGAGATCTCCATTGACTCAGAGACACCATGTCTTCGCCAACAACCATGGATGCTGAACATTTCACGTCGCACAATCGAAACTTTCTCAAGAAGAAATGCGGTGAGTTTCTATTCCCAATTGCTTTAGGTAAGTTTCTTGCCTGATTGAAGCTCTAGGTGTGCTTGGGGCGACAGGCTCAGTGGGTCAACGCTTCATTTTGTTGCTTGCTCTTCACCCGCATTTGGTTTTGCATGCTGTTGGGGCGTCTGAACGATCGGCTGGGAAGAAATACAAGGATGCTGTCAAGTGGAAGCAGGCATTGCCATTCAATGACCGAATTGGTAATCTATTGGTCAAGAAATGCGTTCCGGAAGAGTTCAAGGAGTGCGACCTGATCTTTTCGGGCTTGGATAGCGATGTGGCGGGAGATGTTGGTATGAAGCTGCCTTGATAATACTGGAGAACATTGCTGACTCCTGTTGCAGAAATGGCCTTCTTGAAAGCAGACTTCGCAGTATTTTCCAACGCGAAGAACTACCGCCGAGATCCATTGGTCCCGCTCGTCGTTCCTACCATCAACCTCCATCATTTAGACGTAATCTCACATCAAAGGAAGCACTATGGACTACAAAAAGGATTTCTGGTCTGCAACTCGAATTGCGCCGTAATTGGCATCGTAATACCATTCGCGGCCCTACAGTCGAAGTTCGGGCCTGTCGATCAAGTTTCCGTGGTCACTATGCAAGCCGTTTCCGGAGCTGGCTATCCTGGCGTCAGCAGCATGGACATTATCGACAATGTGGTTCCTTTCATTTCTGGCGAAGAGGACAAGCTTGAGACAGAAGCACAGAAGATCTTGGGCAGTGTCAACAGTGAAATAACTGGCTTCGTGGATCAGCCAATGAGGGTTTCCGCGGCGTGTAACCGCGTACCTGTTCTCGATGGACATACAGCTTGCGTATCGCTCCGTTTCCAGAGGCGACCACCGCCAAGCGCGGAAGATGTCAAGCAAGCGATGAGAGAGTATGTTTCTGAGGCTCAAACCCTCGGATGCCCTTCAGCTCCGAATAAAGCTATTGTCGTGATGGATGAGCCAGATAGGCCGCAACCTAGGTTGGATCGCGAGACCGACAGGGGTTATGCTGTGAGCGTCGGGCGCATAAGGGAGGATGAAGCGGGTATCTTCGATATCAAATTTGTTGCGCTCAGTCATAATAGTAAGTTAGCCTTCAAGTGACTGATGTCTTCGAGAAGCTAACATTTCCCAGCTGTTATCGGAGCAGCGGGATCCTCGATATTGAATGCTGAAGCTGCTGTGCTGAAAGGGTTTGCATGAGTACACAGAACGAATGGTTGAAAAAAGTGCTTCAATTACTAGTGCAAGATACCAATGGCTAGAATGCTTGGAATTATAATACGTGCTAGCATGCGTGAGGCCTTAGATGCTTTTGTGAGGCCACTGAAGTGAGTCTGGAAAGGCGGCGTAGGAGGACGTATTTTCTACCCAGTGGCGCCAAGTGCCAGCTGAGTCAGCTGCCCACAATTTGGCGAGACATCAAAATTGCACCACGATTTCCCACGATTCAACCAGCAAGGACCTCTTCTTTGACCACACTCCGTCGACACAGCCGCCATCATGGGTCGTGGACCGTAAGTGACCCCGAGTCAATATCTTACAGCAGTTCTACTCCCAAATCTTCCTCATTTATAGCGAAGAAAGCACGGTCATTGTCTCAATCTCACTGACATTGCAATACAGAAAGAAGCACCAGAAGCGCCTTAGTGCGCCATCGCACTGGCTCCTCGACAAACTGTCTGGTATGGAACGAATCTTCAGAAGCTGGCTACTCTTCAGCGCAAAATTGACAATTCTCAGGTGCCTATGCCCCGAAAGCCTCCCCAGGTCCCCACAAGCTTCGCGACTGCATGCCCTTGGTCATCTTCCTCCGAAACCGTCTGAAATATGCCCTCAACTCTCGCGAGACCAAGGCTATCCTCATGCAGCGCCTCGTCAAGGTTGATGGCAAGGTCCGCACTGACTCAACCTTCCCTGCCGGTTTCATGGACGTTATCACAATCGACAAGACAGGCGAGAACTTCCGCCTTGTCTACGACACCAAGGGCCGCTACACCGTCCACAGGATAACCGCGGAAGAGGCACAATACAAGCTAGGCAAAGTCAAGCGTGTTCAGCTTGGCAGGGGTGGAATTCCCTACTGTGTTACGCACGATGCGCGAACGTAAGTTTGCCGCCTCCGTCAGCCGTTGGGCACAGTTTGGGCAAGATGCTTGAAGGAAACCTTTTTCACATCAGGCATCCGATCAGGCTCTAGCGATGTCATGAAGGAATTTATGCTGAATGTGCGTACAGGATCCGGTACCCTGATCCTGCCATCAAGGTGAACGATACCGTCAAGATCGACCTCGCCACTGGCAAGATCACCGATTTCATCAGGTTCGATACTGGTGTTATTGCCATGGTCACTGGTGGCCGCAACATGGTAAGCCTGTTGAATATCATCAATCTAGGCTGAGCCTGACAGATGTAGGGTCGTGTTGGTGTCATCACTCATCGTGAACGTCACGACGGAGGTTTCAACATCGTCCACGTCAAGGATGCCGTCGACAACGAGTTCTCCACCCGGGAAAACAACGTTTTGTAAGTTTGAGAAAGACTGGATCTACAGAGTCTCGACTGACGTGATTGACAGCATCATCGGCCGTGAGAAGCCATGGATCAGTCTGCCCAAGGGCAAGGGTGTCAAACTCACTATTGCTGAGGAGAGGGACCGCCGTCGGGCACAGGCTCTGGCTGGCCATTAGGTGTGAGGTGAATGAAGCAAGAGGAGAAGCAGCATCTAAACGGACCACCTGGGTAAGAGAGCTGTAGTGTGGTCTGGACATAGGTTCTGTCTAAAATCAGGCGTTGGTCAGTCGTGGGGAAGCTTGATGGGGCTCTAGCTTTCTCCATATCAATGAAATATCACAGCAGAATCAAACAAATGAGCGCATGAGATTGCCAAGTGATGCAGCGGGACTTCGGGGATCACGGGGGATCGTAGTACCTCACAGACAGTGTGTGGCAGTGGTGGGAATCTTTTATTGCTATTTTAGGGGGGGTTTTATAGGTCCGAAACGTCGCGGTTTGCAGAAGAACGATAACGGGAGACGCTCTAATGCCCGCCAGTGTCAGGGAAGAGGTCGAAAGGGGCCAATGGGAATGCTGGAGGCGGATGGCAATTCGATGAGCCGGGAGGGATCTGACACAGAGGCTCTCGTCAGGTTGAAGTGTTTGACGTAGGGTGAGTGGTGGCGGTGCGAGGCGCGCCCTGTGCGATTTGGTGTGTGGAATTAAGGGCTAGGAGCATTGGCTTTTGGTTTTTCGCCTTCGCCTTCGCTAAGAAAGAGATGAGATCGGCCTCACAATCAGGAAAGTTGTCACGACTCGAGAGCACGACGACACGATTATAGCTGCACTGGGGTGCAGGAGGCGAAAGTGTGTTATCTGGTCTGCGATAAATCTTTGGTAAAGGCGTCGACGAGCCGGCTTCGTCAACGGCAGTGGCTTGGACTCCCATTGGCACCATTGGCTGCCGTCCCGTCCACCGCTCGCTCGTTCGCTCGCTCGCCAGCCAGGCGCCTCAGGCCCTCAGAGGTCCAACTCCAACCCTCCACTCGTGCGTCCCCGCAGTGAGCTGCCAACCTTCAACTGCCCTCCACCTGCAGCCTGCGACAGAACGACGACGAGCAGGCTCTGACGTCGCCGGTCCAATGCAATTACAAGCATCGCTCGCCTTGTTGAATCCGTCGCTCGTTTCTCCGCCGCGCCGCCCCGTTTGCGACCTGTCTCACCAGCGTAACTAGCCGTTTGCGTACCCACGATCGCACCCACTCCGCACCCAGCACGCCCTCAACACCACCCCAGAGTCTTGAAGACCGGTCTCTGGCGAGCCGGTTCTTCGACCAAGACTCGCTCTATTCTTCGCCATCATGCTACGGCCGGCCACGCCCTTATCGATCCTATTTTTCGCCGCCTTCGTCCTGCTGCTTCTGTCCACTCTCTCGACCCCCATCATTCGCGGCATCCCGCTCGCCACCTTTCAAGGCGTCAACTTTGGCGTCTTTGGATATTGCGACGGCAGCAAATGCGACGGCCCGCGGATAGGTTACGACACCGGTATGTGTTCAGGAACACCAACCCCCAATGCACTCAGCATCAACGACGCCCATCGCTAACCTGTCGATTGCAGATGGCCTATTTGCTAATGCCTCTGACTCTGAATTTTCGCTGCCGTCAGCGACCCGACACTCGTTATCCTCGATTCTCATCGTCCATCCGGTTGCGACACTCCTGACGCTGGTATGCTTCTCCCTCGCCGTTGCCGCCCACTTCCATTCTCCCGCCCACTCGCCTCGCTACCTCCTCGCCCTCCTGATCCTCACGTTCCCGACGCTCCTCGTCTCGTTGCTAGCTTTCCTCGTCGACATTCTGCTCTTCGTTCCCCATGTGGCATGGGGTGGATGGGTTGTATTGGCGGCTACTATCATCATTGTTGCGAGCGGAGTGGTCACTTGCGCCATGAGGCGGACTCTGGTTAGTCGCAAGGCAAGGAAGAAGCGGATTGCCGAAAATCCAGATATGAATGGGCAGAACTACTTTGCCAATCGCACCGCGACGCAAGATGTCCTTCCAAAAGCGGAGTCTCCACCGCCGTTGTCAGGTGATACCGTGACCTCGGGACCAGACAAACTACCCGGATTTGCGACCTATGATATGCAGAATCAACATCTTCAGGATGACATGACGCCCCTGAATCCCCGAAACCCTTCGCTTAAGACGAATAGCAGTGGTGGGAGAGACGGCCCGGACCGTTCCCAGAATCCATCCCGTGGCCCTTCAGGCCGTGGACGGCAGCCAGTTGATCAGTATGGCAACCCCATTCCGCTCATGCCGAACGATGGGTTCGCAATGCAGAATATCCCGCGCATGGGACCGCCGCGCATGGGACCGCCGCCAAACAGGGGAGGCCCGCAGGTGTATGGCCGTGGCAGAGGCTATCCGCCAAGAGGAGGGTTTGGCCCACCACCAAGAGGAGGATTTGGCCCACCACCAAGAGGAGGGTACGGTCCGCCACGAGGAGGCATGCGAGGACCACCCCCTCCAGGCTGGAATGGCAATGGAAGAGGAGGCATGGGCCCTGGTCCAATGCCTGACCCTGGAATTGTGGGCCGAGGCCAAAGGGGACCTCCACCAGAATACAGCAATGACTTCTATGGCCAGGCTCCACCGCCAGGTCGTGAGCCCTCACCGTATGGACAGAGAGGCGTGTCGCCAGCTGTACCCATGCAACCGCCAATGCCAATCGGCCAAGCTATTGAAATGAATGGCCGGTCAGGTACCCCTTCAGTGACCCCGAATCAAAATTACGGGCTGCGTGAAAGCGACGGGGATGTTCAAGGCATGCTTGCGCTGCAGCAAGGTGGATTTGAAGCCCAGCCGCCAACACGACGGCCCTCAAACCCCATGAGCCCAACGAGTAACTACTCGGGCGAAGAGTAAGATTGGTCTCTTTTGTCTAGTTGTCTAGAATGGTTCATGTTTTTAACCTTTCGCAGGGATGCATATGTTCCACCTAGAGCCAATTGGAATCAGAACATGACCAACCCGTCGGATCAGACACTACCCACTAACAGCAGTAACAGCCGTGGTCTCTCACCAATTCAGGATTCTCCTGTCGAGCTACCCGCTCAACTATCTACCATTGGCGTACCGAATAACGATCCGAGAAGCTCTAACTATTATGAAGACGTAGATCCCCAATTTGCTGAGCCTGTAAATAGCAAACCAGCTCAAGCTCGACTTCCATCCGCCTTGGTTCCAGGAGGCCTTGCCTCTTCCAATCCCAATCGCCTTAATATCTCCAACCCTTCCCTGAACACAAGTGATCCAGCTCTGCGCCGCAACTCTTCGTATGAGGACATACCCGATGGATCTCGCTCACCCGCTGCTTCGGAAGCCTCCCACTTTACCTCGGTCTCACAGCGAGGCATCAATCCAAATTGGAGGCCCCCACCGCCGGGTATGGGTGGGCCACCGATTCCGGGGCAGTACGGACCGTATAACGCCCGGCGGCCGATGAGGCAAGAGGATGTAATCCTGGAAGCCAATGCAGCCAATCCGGATTTTGCGGTCCCAGGAGCTGAGTTGGGACGAGGTAGAGGACGAGGAAGAGGAGCTGCAAGAGGAAGAGGCGTGCCTGGCCCCTCCATGATAAATGGTATGGGCATGGGTAATCAGGGACGATATCCCGGGGCTAATGCAATCTAATGCTGGTGTCGATTGAATTTGGGATCTACAAACGATCTCAAACCGGTTGTCAGAACAGGCCTCTCCATCTCGAGCTGCGATCTGGACATCGCTCGTAGCCACTCTTTCCAATCACGACCTCGATACCCTTATTATCCTGTTCTTCGGCTATCATGATCAGTGCCGGCTTTCCCGTAGACATCTGTGTCATTCTCCTGCTTTCTTGGGGCCATTGGATTCTCAAACCTTTTCGAAGATATGGATATCACGATTTTTTGCATTCACTTCTGTACAAAAGTTAGCCTGACGACCAAAAAGGCCAGGACGATTTACTTACTCCTCTTTTTCCCCGCTCCCAGGACCGGACCTCCAATAGACACGGTGAATCTTCCTTCATGAACGAGCGAGGCTTCGTACACTTCCACACTTGCATTGCTGCCAGTCTATTATAGATTGGAGAATGCGGACGTATGTTTGCATGAGCGTTCAAGTCTTGCGATTCCTACCTGCATCATGGCATTCTCTGTATATACTTAATTTGTAGTCTGCAGACTAGCTCACTTTTTAGAGTTGCAACTGCGATGGATGGATATTCCTGTCTCCAAACTTCCCATACTTTTCTTGGGCTTTTTGGTGCCACTGATTTCCATCATTCATTTTTTCCTTTTGGTTTCCAGTACCATGGACTCTGTCCGGGCTGGCCGCATTTCAGTTCAGGCGGCAGGCATCATTTTGCGGTTTGCGGCTGTAACTCTACAATCATGCTTTTTTTTTCTTACTTCTGGTATTGGCTGGCATGGATCTTATCTCCCTTTTTATGTTTTCCTTCTATTCAATGAGGGAGCACAGGTTTGGTGGAAAGAAAAAAAAAAGAAAGAGTTGCTCGTGTTCTGACTGTGTCATATCGCATGCTCGATTACGCGCCCGATCGTAGGCCAAGCCTGCTGAACTAACTAGAGAGGATTCTCTACAGCCGTGCCCTCAGCTGGGGTTAGGGCCGTTGTGATAGTATGGGTCTGACTGGTGCGATATATATACGGATGGATGGATGGATGGATGGACGGAGGGAGGAGGGGGGTCTGGGTTGTGGGTGTGGTGTAGTACAGTGTAGTACAGTGTAAATCAAACCCACATTGACGCATGTGCTGACAGTCTTTACTACTTGCTTGCTTAGTGATTTGCGGTGATGGCGATTGATCGGGAAGCGTAGTTTTGCTAGGACTTTGGCTTTGCTGGGTATAAAGTTTCTTCACCAAGGACGTGTTGAAGAATTCCGATTCCGCGTAGGATCATTAATATGTTGAAATTTATATTTTGGATTATTCTCCTATTATATTATACGTGAGGTGACAAGCAGCAGTAAGTATATGATGGATAGGATAGCCTACTCTGTCTAAGATTTAGTCACTTCAAACTGATTCTACCTTCCAACCTGACCCTGTGATCTTCTCATATGCCTCCCGGTATTTTGACGCCGTTTTCGCTTTCACATCTTCTGGAATTGCAACACCCTCTTGCCCTTTCAGGCCGTTCTTCGTCAACCAGTCCCGTAGATACTGTTTATCAAAGCTCGGCTGTGGCTTCCCCAGATTCGCTTCCCAAGTCTCCTTTGACCAGAATCGGCTACTATCAGGCGTCAAGATTTCATCCACTAGAACAACTTCATCCTGGTTCTGCGAGTTGACCCCAAATTCAAATTTAGTGTCTGCAAGAATGATCCCCACTTCCTCAGCTCTCTTTGCCGCGACCTCGTAGATCTCGAGGCTTCGATTCTCTATTTTTTTCGCATAATCCTCGCCAATCAAACGTCGTGCCTCCTCGGGACTGATGTTTTCGTCCTTTCCGCCAGCCTCTGCTTTCGTGCTCGGCGTCCATAGTGGAGTTTCGAGCTTCTGCCCCTCGACCAATCCAGCAGGTATATTTATGCCATTGATGGTGCCCGATTTCTTATACTCTGACCACGCAGATCCCGTGATATAGCCTCGAACGATTGATTCTAGTGGAAAGATGCGAAGTCGGTGCACGCGCATGCTCCTTGCGCGAAGAGATTGAGCCAGTGAAGGAGAAAGGGAGGCCTCAAGGGACGGAGGGAGAGAGTTGTCGATAAAGTGGGTTTGAAGTCCAGGGATCTTCTTCTTCAAGTATTCGAACCAATATACACTAGCAACATGGAGATCAGGAATTAGGAATGGACTAGGACGCTAATAACGGCAGAGACATACCTCATGGCCGTGAGGAGGCTTCCCTTTTGTGGAATGCCCTACAATATTGTTAATAGCCACCACTACCTATGTCTCGGCATTGAATGAAGGATTCGAAAAGGGATAAAGTCTTGAAACTTTCTCATACATTTTGCATAACCACATCATACGCAGATATTCGGTCGCTCGCGACAAACAGCAAAGTCTTCTCATCGATAGAAAACAAGTCTCGGACTTTCCCAGAAGCCAGCTTCGGTAGCTTTCCATCCAGGTCCACTTGAGTTAAGGCGGTGGAGGTCATGATTGTGGTTGAAGAATTGGGAGCAAGTGGAAAATTGTACCCTTTAAGCCGCAATTAATGACGCACAAGTGGGGCCTCATGTGGCTTGTATGTAAGAAAGTGGCGCAATGCCAAGCATGCTCGAAAAGAAAACACCTAACAGTATTTAAACTGGACGATATTAGTGAGAGTTCACAGGAAAGACTAGGGTGAATAATGCGAGGTGGAGCAGTTGGCGTGGGTGAGAGTTATGCCTTAGGATGTAGTGAGTAGAGAGAACGACTGACAAGAGCACAGACACGGGAAGGTGACTGAGAAAGCGGACAGACATGGCATTGCATATGAAGCCTACACATTGAGAATCTCCCCTATGCCTGGTAGATCACTAGAGACACCTATATCATCTAATCCCTTAAACCCTTCCTCAACCACCCATCTTTGGTGAAACTTGTTCAGAATTGTGCATGCGTTCCCAACAATTAGAAGACCAGGCGGCCGACTACCTTCTTCTTCAATCGCAGCGCACACATGCTCCAGCGTAGTCCTGATGACCCTCTGATCCGGGCAGCTGGCACGCTCGAGAACAGCGCATGGAGTGTTGAGTGGGTAGCCTTTGCCAACTTCAACAAGGCTTTCGACCAGGGAAGAAAGCCGATGAAGAGCCATTAAGAAAACAACGGTGCGTGACGAAACATATTCCGGCGGATCCGGAGCCGCTCCTTTTCGTCCCGTGCCGGTGCACACGAGTACTTGATCGGCAACGCTGCGGTGAGTTGGCGGAATGGCTGCGAAAAGTGGCGCACTCAGGGCACTGGTTATGCCAGGAAGAACAGTCGGCAAATACCCGTTAGAACGAAAGAAATCATACTCTTCTCCACCTCGGCCATAGATATAGGGGTCACCTTGCTTTAATCGCACTACAACCTTCCCAGCTTTGAGGCCCTCCAATCCCATCTGAAGAAGCTCCTCTTGGGCTTTGTCGGCGTTGCCTGGAAATTTCCTCGCAATATGTACAGTCACACGGCGTGGAACGAGGTCAAGCACCGGGCTAGGGACTAACTTGTCAGCGAGAATGAGATCCGCTGAAAGTATGGCCTTGTGCGTTGCTCGAGTCAAGAGGTCAGGATTCCCAGGTCCGGAGCCGGCAAGAATGATACGTCCCTTGTGTTGTGTTCCAGGCTCTCCGGTACTGCTAGCCTTGAAAGTCTTTGGGCTCGTGTAATTCCGAAGGAGGGTTTCCACATCCACATCTGAGATAGCAGCAAGACGGCGGAGCGGCCAATACTCGCAGATTTGTGCTAGCCAACGCATGCGCCTGTTCCGGGCCGCCTCAAAACTTTCCGCAGCGATCAGCTGGTTGAAGTTGGATGGTTGGCCAATATCTTCATCTTCAGCTTCTAGGTCTTGAGAAAGCTCAAGGGCATGATCCTCTTCCCATATACGCCTACGCATTGTCCCCAGTCTTTCGACGGCTTCGCCAAGGTGTAGAGGCAAGGAAGCCGCGATCTCCCGCCGTATTCGTGTGGAGAGTTTGCATCCTTTTCCGGACGTGGTAACACCAATTTGGAGAGGTCCGTCGGAATGGGTGGACAGGAGAGTGAACGAACAAAGATTGGGGGCATCGACGACGTTAACTGGTATTCTCAATCGCCGGCATAAGCTGGATATCTGAGTGGCTGCAATGCTATGAGAATACGACTAGAGGATCAGGAAGTGGATGCCTACTTTGAACCTGCTTTCTACCAGTTGTGACGAATACTGCATCCACGACGCCATCGACCTCTGAGCGACCAAGGCTCGTCAAATCGTCTTCTCTGAAGCTACGTCGGACCCATTGAATCTCCCCCTCATCAATCCGTTGCATGAGACCGTAATGGACGGTAGCGCTCTCTGGGGCGATCAAAATCGGGGTGGCGCCGACTTCGATGGATCGTGTGCAGCGAGCGCCGGCCAGCGGGTTTGAGCCAATGATCAAGTGCACGTGACCCGTACAGTTAACCGCCGTGAGCAGGGCGGGACCCATGCCGATGGTTCGCTGGATCAAGGAAGTCCTAGAGAAGGTAGAAGTCGGAACAGTTGAAAGCGCGTCAATAATATACCAAGCCCAGGAAACCCCGAGTCGTTTTTTCTCCCTTATCGATAAGCAGATTTTCCACTATTCCATTTTCAGCGGAAGCCGCGGAAATGCGCCGAGAAGCGATTCAACTCCGTCTTGGGGTTTAACACTTACGACAGAACATGACAGGGACTTAATTGAGAGTAGAAACTAGCACTTTCTTAACAACCTCTTTATTTCCAGAAAGCGATTTGACAGATCAAACCCACCCTAGTCATGTTCCGTGGTAAGTGATAACACACTGTACAGTATGTAATCACTTAGCGCGGGACATAATTAGGATAGAGTTAATTTGTTCAAACCCTGACTGGAACAAGATAGAGTGTCAAGATAATGAAATTCCTGTCCTGAATTACCCGAGTCGTGTCCCACGTTAGGTGACAAGACGCAGTAGTGGGAGATTAGAGAACATCATTGCCCACCTAGTTGACGAACTTATTCAACTCATCGCTTCCTGTGCCCTACTATTCATCGCGATCCATTACAATGTTGAGCGCTTTGCGACTGAGCGTCACGCTGTGTTCGAGAGCATTCAGTTTGGCCATGGCTGAAATTAGTGCTGGATCCTGGCTCTCAACTCGAATCTTCTCCTTGACCCGCACCTCTTGTCCCCGATACATAAATGTGCGGTCGGCTTCGTCGTGCACTGGAGGGCGTGTACCGCCCAAGGCCACGGCCAGCCGGTCTCTGATACTAAACCCTGAGTGAAATTCCTCGCCTGGAGTCTGGACTTCGAGGGTTCGGATTTCAAGGAGAAGGGCGGCATCGAAGACGAAAAGGTGGAAAGAAACAGTCGGAGGCAGAGGCGGATCGAAGGTCTAAGTGGCAGTGTCAGCATTGACCAGCGACGAAGGACCTAGCATGCATACCTTCTCGTCAATTGGGCTTTCCCACCATGGTAGCTGCACGTCCGAGTAGCCTTTCAGCGCTTGCCGTGCTTCTTGTATGTTATCGTGTAACAGGCGCAACTGACCAGCAACAAAGTTGCCGTTGGTTGCATCACCGGTCCAGGTCGTTACGTCGATGACATCCAAGCAAGCATTGAGCAGGGTTCTGACCGAGGTCAGCTGCTGAATGACAAGAGTGGGAGCTTGCGGCGACGAAGATATGGTGAGGTCGTAACTGGTGGACCCTCGAGGCGGCGGGAGGCTTGACAGGCGCAACTTGATACTCTAGGGTTGGTATGGTTAGCTTTGATAAGCGCCCAAGGGCATAGAACAAAAGGCGATACGTACACCTTTCACGACTCGTGTGCCAACGCGAGTGATGAGGCCCTTGAGGCTCTCAGATCGCACCGAGCTCAGAACCAGTGTGGATCCATTCTCAGAGGGCGCGAGGAGAGCAGCGCATTCTTCCAGGCCAGCCTTCAGTGCCTGCAGTGTTTCGCGCAGCTGGACGAGGAGCCACGCGAGCTCTCGAGCCTGTTGTTTGAAGTGAGTAGTTGACTCAACAGCAGGGTTGGGCGAAATTATACCTGTGAAGCAGCTTGCTCGCGGGCAAGCTGATCGGGCTCAATGGGTGGCCAAATAGCGGTGGACATTGCGAAGATGCTTGGGAATGAGAGGAAACACGAGAGCGTTGTCGTTTATGAAAGCATCAAGCCTCAGTACAGGCACTATGATAGTTGAGAAAATGGTCCGGGCGAGGTCTTGGCACTAGCATCAGCACCAGCGATAGGCCACACCATGAAGCATTCTCTCGCTTTCCTCCCCCAGTCGGGTCCCGGAGCTTGGTGATGATGCAACGTGCAGATCAAGCAGTGAGTGACCTCATGGCAGGCCAGCTAGTGCGAGAAGTTCCCCAGCACCAACAAAGCCTGTCCGATGATACGTCACCACGCCCTTGGCCATGCAAGACCTGGTTCTTAATCAACCGTAAAATGCGAGTAGAACTCCAGCTGGAAGCCTTACTTTTGAAACACTTCTGAACATCCACCCCGGTCTTCCGGTCCCTACCATCGGCACCTTTCTTCAAAGCATATCACTGTTGTTTGCCATGGCTGCTAGTATGTACAGTCGCCTACCAAAAGTGATTGGCCACTTTAGCGAGAGGCCTAGGCCACCCCACAATGCTTCGATTTCAATCAATTGTAACTTAATCAAATTACCACCTTTTTCAATGGTTACAAAAGCAAATAAAACCTCGCGCAAAGAGCTATCT